TTGATAGTTAGTAAGCTTGGAATGCCTACAGGCCTTAAAGCAGAGCTCATTTAATACCAACACACAGGGGTCTTCGTTCCAGCTTTTTACCTAGGTATTAATTAAACATCTTTTTAAAAAGACTGCGTGTCTAGAAGAGTTCTTCAAAGTTTTTGTTTTGGTCTGGTTCTGGCATTGAGGCCTGAACCCAGGACCTTCTCCATACTAAACACACAGATGTTCCAACCCGAACGAGGGTGCTTTACTCATGCTGAATTACCACTAGATTTTACATATAATTCTTGACGGCATGGCTGGCATTGTGCTGGCTGAATCTTCAGTGTAACTAGTTTTTATTTTAAAATAAGTAGCCACTGTCTTATCTACTGCTGCATAGAGAATTACTGTAGATATCACATTTTAAAACAGCTACTTATTATTTCTGTGGACAAGAATTTGGTCAGTTTGACTGGGCGCTACTCAGGGCTCTCCTGCAAGGCTGTGAACATGGTATTGCTTGGGACTGGAGTCTCATCTGAGTTCCCACCAAGGAAGCTCACTTACTGGCTGACACAGCAGAATCTGGACCAAGAGCTTCAGTGTGTGGTTAGCTATGGGTCACAGACCACCCACAACCCTCCCAAGATAGCAACTTGATTCCCTAAGGCCTACAAGGAGTCTGTTAGCAACACAGTAACAGTACTTTTGGGAACATGACTACTAGTGTGCAATCTACTGGAGGGAAACTGGTTAACTCTGGGGAGGAGGTTGCATAAGGCTGTAACAGTGGGTGGCTGGGATCACCATAAGCCATTAAAGAAACCGTCTAGTACATCTTCCATACTCTATGGTAGTAATACAAAGTGTTTTTAGAATGTTGCAGTTCTGAACATTTTTAAGTTGTCTGCTTATCCTCCTATTGATAATAAGGTAATAGAGGAGATGGTACAAAACAAAAACAAGTGAAATAGATAATTCTTATCTAAGAAAAAATAAATTTAATACCCTAACTGTTTAGCTTACTAATGTCACATGTTACTGGCCTGTGGCTAGAAAGCACAGTAGTGTCTCTGTGAGATTCCTAGATGTAGGAGGAGGTTTGGGGACAAAAGGTTCAGAGTGTTCAAGGCAGAATGAACCACCCAAGGTAAACTGGCAAGGAGTCAGACATGGGGTAGAAATTTACAAAATGGCATTTCAAAATTCAATAAAAGCCAGCTGGGAAACTAAAAAAAAATACAACCTGCATAACATTTGGGGTCATAAGGTCAGATACCATTGTCTGTGGCTAGTTTGGGAAACAACAAGAAACACATACATCCAACCCAACCAGGGCTCACAGTCTTCAAGAAGACCCATGCATCGGCTCTCACTGGAGGAAAAGACACACAGAAAACAGTTCCATTCAGGAAGAGGCTGGGAAGAAAGTTTCTGGCTTCAGAGCAAGACTGTCATCAAAACTCTGTAAAAGTAAAAGACTCCCCCACATTTAGTATCAACATTCATAAAATGCTGAACTGAAAAAGGAGGAAAGCTGTGTGTGTGTGTGTGTGTGTGTGTGTGTGTGTGTGTGTGTGTGTTTCTTGAGACAGGGTTTCTCTGTGAAAAGTCTTGGCTGTCCTGGAATGCATTCTGTAGACCCGGCAGAGATCCACCCGCCTCTGCCTCCAGAGTGCTGTATTAAAGATGTCCACCACCACCCGTTGGTGAGCAAAGCCATTCAAGAAAGAGCAAATAGAACAATTTCAGAGTCCTAAGAAACTGCCCAATTTGATTCTCTCCCAAAATTCATAAAATATTTCCATTATACACATAAAGTCATCCTAACCTGGAATTGAACTGAAGACTGAAAACAGATGTCCTCTTATCCAACCTTGTTCAGGACTAATTAAGTCAGCAATGATGCACATTAATCACCAAACTAAGGCTATAGGACTCCAGGTCTTGCCTGTAAAGTGTCTTACCTGATTGACATGACCTTTTTACTCTACAATGAGCTAAGGCAGCAGAACACACAACTGCTTTACAATCATAATACAACTTCTAAGGTGATCATAAAATGCAATGTTCTCATGAATTATGTCAAGAATAGCCTCCATTATCTACAACTGGATGCTCCAGTTAGAAAAATGAAGGTTTGAGTCCCAGCCCACACCCTATAGCTATGTGACTTGGCCAATTAACCTCTCTGAATTTGTCTTTGAAAGCTTCAACTCTAAACCAGACCTGCTTCTATAAGCCCACCTGTTAAAAATGCTCCTTCAGTATTGGAACTGCAGCAGGAAGAAAGGACCTGTTTCAGCCTACCCACATAAAAAGCCCAGTGTCTACCAAGTCATTGAGAAGCATGACAGAGGTACCTGGCTGTCGATAATCAATTAGCTCTGGTGGCAAATGTTGTGGAAGACTAGAGGAAAGCCAAGTGAGAAGCCTCAGTGGGGAGGGCAGCCATGGGGATGCATGGCTCCTGAGAAGATGAAGTTTAAACAGCAGGAGGCACATCTAGGCACCTGCGAGAGGGTGGCGCTCGGAAAAGCTCCCCGAACAAGAGCATATCAGGGATATGGCAGGTGCTGCTGGATGGCCAGTGACGGGCAATATGCACGCCTTGAGAGGTGCTGCCCAAGGGCTGGAGATGCCTGGTGAGCAAGGAGGTCTTGGTTTTCCACTTCCCAGTCTACATCTTCCAGGCAGGAGCAGGCTAATGAGGAAACACCTAAGGAAGATTGCAGGAAGAGGAGAGGAGGGACACTGCGCAGAGAGAACAGATCAAGAAGACAAGACCCCTCTGACCTTGGATAATAATCAGGAAAGAACAACAATGTTCCAAAGGACTTTTGAGATGGGGAAAGAGAATGGTTCAGGTACAAGAACCCTAGACAGGCCAGCTGGGGATCAGTATGTAGTGGGTGTGAGGATTCAGGTATCATGCTGACCCTGCCCCCAACAACTGGCAGGGTATGCATACCAGCATTCAGGCAGATACTTAAGACAGCTCAAAGGGCCCTGTGTTGCATGCCTACATCATGTGTTACATGGCTGCATAAGGACTCTGTACGCATGTGCAAGCTTCCCCTTTTAAGGGAGCACCTCCCACCTGTTCACCCCTTATTCCCCCTTCCACCTCCTCTCCTTCCCCTTCCATCTCTGTTCCCAGTTGGCCAACACCTACCCCTTCCTTTACTCCCTTTCCCTAATAAACTCCATGTGGGTGTTCTTGCTTTGTGATTGGTGTTTCATCACCTGCAGCTGCAGCAAAACAACAGTGGGAATGTTCGGGACGCCTTGAAAAGCAGGCAGGGCTCTCCCTGCAGAGGATGGAAGGCCTCCTGGCCTCTGCGTTCCTGTAGAACAACTGTGCACAAAGATAGGCAGGAGGCACAGGCTAGGGTTTAGTCAGATGTAGCTCTGCTTAGGTGCAAAGAGGTTCCAGGGTCACCGTGGTAAAGGTGGCCTGCAGAGGGCTTCGTTCAGACAATTATTAAACTGTCGGCTGATGGCTAGGGCTTCTTACTGGCTAGCTCTGTCTTAATTATTGACCCATTTCTATAAATCTATGTGTTTGTACATGGTCTTGGCTTACTGGAGAATGCCCAGACCTGTAAATCCTTTGTTGGCTACATTGCATCTCTACTGCGCCTCTCTCCCCAGCATTCTGCCAATCGGTGTTTTATTCATCAACCAATAAGAGAAACCTATCTACAGAAGGACATCGAGCATCACTCAGCATTGATGACAGGCTCAGGAATCAACTAAGGAATCCAGCTGCTCTCAAGACTCCAAATGTCATGTTCCAAGACAATGGGGCTGAAGGTCCACACGTACATGGCCCGAGGTAGAGTCATCTTTAAAGTGTTCCATGTGTTTTGATTCTTCTTCTCCTGAGTGTAACAACGGTAAAGCAGCAGTTTCCCAGAAACAAACAACACAACCTTAGGAAATGAAGGACCAGAAAGAACTTTACACAACATGCACTACTCTTAAAACTCCTAAAGCTGAATATGGTCAAATGCCCATGCAGATGAAGTGACATCACATGTGACTTACAAAACCTATAATAAGCTGGATCGGGAAAAGCACTACTTGCTTGTTGAAAACTTTTGCAGAAAGCCAAGAATGGTGGTGGCACATACCTTTAATCCCAGCACTTGGGAAGCAGAGGCAGATTGATTTCCATGAGTTCAAGATCAGCCTGGTCTACACAGTGAGTTCTAGAACAGTCAAGGTGACATAGAGACCTAGTCTCCAAAAGCAAAATAAAACAAAGAAACAAGTTTTACCAATTCCTCCCTTCTTTTTCTTCTTAAATACTGGTTCTCACTCGATCCCAGGTTGGCTTCCCATGCCAATCCTCTTGCTTCAGGCAAGAGTTGTATGAGTTATGGCATCTGGGTTTGCAAGTCTCATCTCTAGGCAGGAGAAAATTGAGATGCAGAAACTCACTTTCCTTTCAGACTCACAACCATTCCTTTTAACTGCAGCTGGGTATAAGTTATCTAAGCTTAAAATGCTACCCAGACGAAATCCCAGGTCCACACAGCACCAACACCTATGCTTCTCAGAAGGCTGCTGGCTGGGCTGTGAGCATGCTCAGGAGATGCACCGGTGACTAGCCGGAAAGCAGTCACTCACCTTCACCTTCTGGGTGGCGTGCTGCCTTCCTGACCTCACATGCACTGCCCTTTAACCCCTCCCTGTAGGATGTCCTTCCCATCCCCATATCCTGTCAGGCAGTACACACCTGCAAAGTCATGTCCAAACTGCACCCAGGAGCAGCCGTCTCATCCAGCACTAAGTACAGTAAGCAACACTAGGAAACAAACGAGCCTCCCGAGCACTGTCGTTACACAGAATACGAAGACTATCTCAGCAACCAGCTAGCAGATACAAGAATTTCCTAGGGGAAAGGAAACTGTGTAATAAAGGAGAGGAAATCGGAACACACTCTGAAGCTTGAGAACAATTAGAAGGATAAAGCCATATTCTAATTTTTATAATGTGGCATCATATACAAAGACAAGTTCATTGAAAAACTCAACTTTATTTCTGAATACACCACATTAAAACATATGCTGTATTTATTCAGAATGTCATAATCAATTCAAAATAGAACTTCTCCTCTGTACATGTTAACACTGTGAGCTAGGTACATGATATTTAGTCAGGGCTTCTGGACTGAATTCTCTAAAAACAAATCTATACTTTATACACATTGAATTTATCATACAAAATATATACAACAACATAACTTTGGTGTAGAAAAATAAGATTGCCAAAATATAACAGGTCATTTACACAAAATGTATTCTGGCTAGCTTTTTCCAAGGGCTTCACCAATTAGCCGAACAGCAATGCTCTTGCCTTCATCTGTCTGGATCACAAGCAAAGCTTCGAATCTGCCCACTGCCTCTGGTCGGAAGTGCACCGGGATGTGGATATAGTGTCGGGCTCTGTGGAGACAAGGAAATGGGAGGAAGGGAAGTGACAGCAATCTGCAGTGACCTGCCACAGCACAAGCATGATGGAAGGATGAGACACACAAAATCCTACTCATATATTTTTTTTCTTTTTTGGTTTTTACAGATAGGGTTTCTCTGTGTAGCCTTGGCTATCCTAGAACTCCCTCTGTAAACCAGGCTGGCCTCAAACTCAGAGATCCACCTGCCTCTGCCTCTGCCTCCAGAGTGCTGGGATAAAAGGCATGTGCCACCACTGCCAGGCCTATTTCTAAATTTTTTTAAATGCTAATATTTAACAAGATGCTGAAAGAAAGGAAAGGGAAATCTAAAATGGAGATAGTACAACTGAAGAATGTCTGCCCAGCATGCCTGAGGCCTGTGGTTTAATCCCAAGCACGGTTTTTGTTGCCTTAAGTAGGGTTCTCATGCAGCTCAAACTGCTCTCAAACTTGTTGCATAGCCAAGAATGACCTTGAACTTTAAATTCCCTTATTTAATCTTCCAAACTAGAATTCTGTGATGAACCCAGGGTTTCATGCACCACAAAGGGAAGCACTCTTCCCAGCTGAGCTACACCCAAGCTCCAAAACAAACAAAATGAACGTCAAACAAAACAAACCACTCCAATTAGACTAAAAGTATGGAATTCTATCTATGGGTAGCCAATTAAAACAGGAAAAAGGAGCCAGGCAGTGATGGTATACACCTTTAATCCCAGAACTAGGGAGGGAGAGGCGGCAGATCTCTTTGAGTTTGAGGACAGCCTGGTCTATAGAGTGAGTTCCAGGACAGCCAGAGCTGTTACACAAAGAAACCTTGTCTTGAAAAAACTAAAACACAACAGGAAACAGAGAATGTACATTGCTTCTTTGTACCCCATATACAAACACAGGTCGCTATCTACCTACAAATAAGAAAAAAACCTAAAAATCCTGGCTTTGCTTAATTCAGGCAGCAATATTGTACTGTAAAGAATTTAAAAACCTGCCCCATTCTTACCAACACTACTGTGCAATTCAATGCTCTAAAACCTGGTACTTTTATAAAAAATTATTCTTAAAGAGAAGCTTTATTTTCAGATTACATAGACTGGCAAAGAGTGCCTATTTGGGGGCTAGAGAGATGGCTCTCAGAGGTTAAGAGCACTGACTGCTCTCTCAGATGATCTGAGTTTGAGTCCCAGCAACCCAGCAACCACATGGTACCATCTGGTACCCTCTTCTGGCCTGTAGGCATACATACAGTCAGAATACTGTATAATTAATTAATTAATTAATAAGAGCAATGCTAATGAAGGTTTGTTCTTGTCCATAAAACTGTATCCGCAGACACACTTTCGGGCTGTGGTGAATGCTCTTTCTATTCTTTATTGCACAGCCTGCCCATGTGTAGCCATCAGCTTTTGATTTAATCACTCTAAGTCAAAGATGGGAGTTTTTCAGACTTTCCCTCCCAGCAAGGCCCTTCATCCTAATGGCTTCCCAGAATGGCAAGCTTTGAAGTTTGGTGATCAGAAGCAGCATAGACTCTCACTAACAATGTCTTCATAAGAAACCCAGTACTGGCTTTTGGATGCAGAAGAGCATGCTGGGTTGGAGATATGGCTCAGTGGTTAAGAGCACTGCACTGGACCCAATTTCAATGCCCAGCACCCACATGGTAGCTCACAACATCTCATACCAATTCCAAGAGATCTAATGCCCTCCTCTAGATTAGCTGGTACTAGCACGCACACTGGTTTTACACACACACACACACACACACACACACACACACACACACACACACACACAGTTGCAGGCAAGGATTCATTTACAGAAAATATAAACAAATCTTTTTAGAAAGTAGGAGAGAACAAGATTCCAACTGCTACAGCTTTTAAGGCACAAGAAATGACAGTGTATGCCACTATGACTGTTTTTAAAACTGGTTTTTGGAAGCTGAGTAAAATGTTATCTCATATGAACATATGTATTTCTCATTATTTCTTACTGTGGCTGTTATAGTGCAATCCATAAGAATCTATAAGCAGCAGCAAAATGACTAAATCTAGGCAACTTCACAAAGATAAACTACACCTTGTTAAAAATTGAGACTAAGAAAAACATATGAAATAATCTGGTATTTCAATTGTCAAAATTACATTTGAGTTTAGGTGATGTCAGTACTTAATAAATGTGTAGTACTCAAAGATAACTAATTCTGTTACCAGCAACAGACTGAATGCTTGTGGCCCTGCCCCAAAACTTGTCTTGCATCTGGTTATTTTCTAGCTAACACCTGCAATGGCTCAAAAACAAACAAAAACCCAAAACAAAACAGCACTAGCTTCTGGATAAAAAGAAGAACACAAGGTCCAGAATTAAGACTAACCCAGTGCTCCTGAAGGAGGACAGCTGGGAAATAAATGGTTCCCCAATTCACAGAGTTTTTGTTTCAAACAGTGAAAACTTAAACTCCTGACCCCAGTATTGAGCAGTGAAAACAGCATCTGAAGCATGAACTAACTATTCTACAAGTTAGCCATGCGGTTATCAAGCACTGGTTCAGAGCCTGCAGGGCTACCACAATGTCAAGTGACCCCTAGGGACTAGCGACACCCTAGGCAGGACTCTTCCCTTCCTTGGCTACTTGCAAAGAGTGAGTCAAAAGCTCCTCGCTTCCAGGGCTGAAGAAGAGAAGCTGCAAAGAGGAGACCCCCTCCTGCCCTCAATCCCCAGAGCAAGCCCTGTACCCTCAGAAGAGCACGATGATTTTTGATAAACTCACCTCAAAGAGTACTTGGAATGTTTGATGTAGAAAGGTGCTCTGGGGCTCAGAAACTTCAGCTGGAAATGAACAGGAAACATTTTGTGACAGTAGGTAAATTTGGTATTTGTCAGACATAAAACTTGGCTTTGCTTTAAACATACACTGCATAAATGTAGGTTCAGCCAAAAATTGGGCAGGACAACGAGAGTTGCATGAACAGAAACACATTTAAAGAGTTTTGACTAATATAAATATTATCTAGAAATATACTGCATGGCAGAGGACACAGAAGAAAAACAAAAGATTAAATTTTTTTGATTTTCAAATAAAAGATTATGAACTACAAATGAATTTCTTTTCAAATACAGTAAAGCATTTTTAAAAATTAATGCGTTACAACTAAAATATTATAGAATATGTTTCTAATCATTAAGAAATGACCTTTTGAAAGTCCACAGTAACATTTTTAACTTACTGCATGAGTGAAAAAAGAATTATTTCGCAAATTGACTTTCAGTGTCCTGGATTCCCCAAGTTTGGTTGGCAGGAACATGTAGACATCCTTTGGGGCATACACTCCGCGGTGACTCAAGTCAAGCTGCCTGCTTAGGAAACAGGTTTACAAAGAAAGGTAATTACTCAGTGTGTAACAATGTTTCCATGTACTATGGTATGAAGTGCAGTTTTGTGCTTCATCTGCAACTCAAGACTTGTACTGGAGCTTATCTAGTCTATGGGAATGATGCCACAGGGAGGCTCTTCCAGGAACGCTGGGTTAGGGGCATTGTGAAGGTACCGTCTTCCCATTTCTGCTTCTGTTCTTGTCACCTGGACCACTCATACTTCCATGGGCTGGCTATTCTGAATTGTCCAAAGACAATGGCCTCTCTGATACCCTTGACCTTTCCCATGGAAATGGGCACACTGTATCTGTTTCAGTCCTGATTCCATACATTGACTTTCTGCCACTCTTTGCTAACCTCTCTGAGCTTTAAACTGCTAGCATGACGCTCTTCCCCAGGCAGTTGTCTGTCACCTTTCCTGTTTACTTCCCAGTATTTTTCAGGGCTATCACCCAACTTAGCAGTATGAGGACAGGACTGTCACGGCCCCTCCATTTGAAAACTGTGGAGGCAAGACCTAGACGACCCACCACCACCCCTACCCTCATCTTTAACATTTTTTTAGCATCATCAGACTTCAAGGAATATGAGACGAACAGGTTAAGTGGATGGCAGAAAAGAGGGTGCACTTTCAGGGCTGGAGAGATGGCTTAGTAGTTGAGAGCACTTCCTGCTCTGACCTCTCAGCACCTACATGGTGGTTCACAGATGCCTGTTAACTTAGTCTTAAGGGATCTGATGCCTTATTCTGGATTCCAAGAACACCTGCACTTAAGTGACAAACACTCACACACATACACATGCTAGTCAAATAAAAATAACATAAAGCTTAAAAAAATAATGATAAACTTTCACTATGGACATGATGGCCTGTAACCCTACTTCTTGGGAGGCAGAGGTAAGAGACAAAAAGTTTAACATCATCCTCAGCTACACAACAAATGTAGGCTAGCCTGACCAAAACAAACAAGAATCCTACTTTAAGAGTTTGTTTGTATTTGTGTGCCTTTGTGCAGTACCCATGGAGGCCAGAGGAGGGCACTGGATCCCTTGGAGTTGGAGTTACAGGCTGTTGTAGCTGCCTGGCAGGGAGCTGGGAACTATAACCCAGTCCTCTGTAAGAATGGCAAGTGCTCTGGACTGCTGAGCTATCTCTCTAGCCACGGAATCTATTTTCATACTTTTATTGTGGAAATACAAAACAGCACAAACACTTTGGGGGAAACTATTTGCCAACTTGTGTTTAAAGTTAAAGATCCAGCAATTTGGGATAACAATAATTTTTTTTTTATCCAAAATGAATAGAAACATTTATCCTCAGAAATGTATGCAAAACAGAGGCTCAATGATGCACACCTTTAATCCCAGCACCTGCAGGCAGGTGGATCTCTCTGAGTTACAGGACAGACAGGGCTATACAGAGAAACCCAGGAGTGTGGAAGTGACTCTTGAAAGCAGAAAGGTGTGTCAATGCTACACTATCTCACTGACATGGACACAGCATACACACCCAGGTATGTGAACGGAGGTGTCCAGCACAGCACGCCTCCGAGACACGCCTGCAGGATCTACTTTAATGAGGCTTTCTCTGGAGGAGCACGAGTCTTCAGGGTCATTTTCTGCTCTGATGCTCTGTATAGAAAAGAATCACAAAGTGGGAGGAGAAACAGTGACTACTCCAGAAAACACAAGGACATTTCCTTATGGGAATTCCATTATTCTCTTTAAAACACTGTAGAGACAGGATTATTGTTAAATCCCTTATAACTGCAAACTCTGTTCAGTCTAGTTCTGTTGCCCCATGCAAATGCCCATACACGTACATACATACAGATAGCAACTTTCAAACATGAGTTCTTGAGGACTATAGACAAAAAAGCAGACCTCAAAGGTGTCAGTTAATAAAGAGTGGCAGGAATCTTAAGATATGAGGCTACAACAAATTACTGAAAAATGAAACCAAGTCAGGAAATTATTATGCATTTTCAGATATTTTCCCACTTAGGGTTTTAATATAGGCAATCACTTGCTCATGGTATCTAAGACGACGCTAACCTGTCCGGAGAGCTGGAATCTCAGCGTGTGTTTCATGTGAGGCTCTTTAGCAGGGTGGCACTCAACATCCCAAAACTGGGCGTAATCCCCTCTATCTCTGGGCAGAAACAGGATGGAGACCTACAAAACACACGAGATGAGACACACAGACCCAACTTTAAATGCAGATTAGGAATCCAAAGTTTAGTGTAAACCAAGTACAATAGCAAACACATTTACATTGGCTAGTTTTCCCTTTGATAAAAAATGGATTTGAGGGCTAGAAAAATGACTGAGAACCCAGGTTCAACACTCAGTACCCACATGATGGCTCACAACCATCCATAACTCTTGTTCTAGGGGATCTGGTGCCCATTCAGGCACTGTATGCACATGGCACAGATATAAACAAAAAACACTCATATACATAAACTAATAAAATACTTTTAAAAGAAAGATATGAACAACTTTATCACTACTATAACATATCCAAAAGATATTTCTTTTAAAGCTATACATAAAATTTCCCTCAAATGTGTAGGCTTTTTTGGAGGAGAATCCCACCACGGAAACAATCTACTTTCAACCTCATCACTGAGGTCTTCTCAGTGCAGACATGAGGATGGTGGAAGGCTAGGGTAATCAGGACAATAAAGCGAATGGTGCTAGATTATAGTAACTCACACAGTAATTAATTCAGAATGCTAGTCAGAGCTAGCAGTCCTACTTTCTTACACAGCTTAGGAATACATACAACCTGAACATGAACAAACTATGAATGTTCAACTGATGGGGCTAAAGGGGCCCCAAAGGCAAGTCTGGCTTGTGACAGCAAGAGGAAGGCTTCCAACAGTGATCTGAGCCCTGTAGCAGTATCCAGGGCCCAAGAGCCCTGCTGGCTGAGGACGACCACTGCAACAGCAACAAAATGGTTCCTGGTAGAGAAGGCAGGAGCTGCCCCTCTCTCTGAAAAGATTATTAGTCACCAACAGCAGACGAAACCTGGGGGAGGGTGCCCCCTTTGACAGCTAAGTATGTGCTGCCCTGTCACCCTAGTGACAGGGACTAGAGCCTACTGACCTAACTGAGCATTTTCTTTACCCTCCTGGGTTTGATGGGAGGGAGAGCTCAAGAGAGTCAGATATATGGGTCAGATTGTCTGAGGAGGAGGAGGAAGACTTGAGAGCCTGCCTGCCTCCCAGCCAGAATCCACTCAGCCTGCTCTGTATCGAGGAAAGAAGACTTGAGTCATGACAGACCCATATGTGGCTTGCTGCAATGGCAGCTCCTGCTTCAAATAAGGAACTCACTGACACTCCTAATGCTCTGCCCCACTCCAGGATTCAACCTACTGCTGCAGGTAGGGGGACTTGTCCTCGCCCCAGCTCCCAAGATTCAAACAGAAATCCATTTCTGTGGCTTTCTATCGCCTTCAAGACATGCCAGAGACAAGGGGCTTGCTGTGACCTGCTCTCTGCAGACTTGCTCTGCATGGAGCTACTGTTGGTTTGCATCCGGAGACCCTCTGAAGGCTTCGCCTGTAACCCTTGCTGACCGTCTCTGAGCTGACACCTTGAGTAGGCACAGCGCTGTATCCCACATTCCCACTTAAGCTGTTGCTCCCCTGTGGCAAATAAAGCTCCGTCTGCTCCCTTCACTCTTGGATACCTTGGGACAATAGAACTTACTGTCTCACTGTAACAATGGGATAATATTTTAGAGTAGTGCTGTATAAAGTCAGTGTTAGAAGCCTTGGCTTTACAAAGAACAGTGATCACCAATGAGTCTGAACTGGAACATCAAAACACATAAGTAAACTCATTCCAGCTTTGCATAGATAGCAAAAGGACAATAAGCCAAATTCTGAGAGTTTAGAGGGAAAGGTAAAACAGACCCAGGCGAGGGCACTCTGCCCAGCGAATTGAACACACAATGAAGAGAAGGGGGCAAGCATGAAAACAGTAACATCCTATACAGGTACAAAATAGGCAATTTGTCTGGAACATGGACAGTCATGCCTCTTTAAAAATTAAACTCAGGGCAAAACAAAGAGGAAAAAACAACTTGCATTATTGTACAGCACACACTCAATACCCCCTGGAAATTTCCATGTTTATTACCTCATTCACTTTTTATATACAACTGATCAATACTTAAAGGTTTACTGCACATGACTGCTATTTTTCAATGATGAAGCTGCCCAAGAGGCACCCTAAACCTATTTAGGCTAGACTTAGGTGCAATTATTTCTCTGGTTTATTGTCAGTGTCTTATCCTGACTGACTGAAAGTATATTTGTTCACATTTTCCTAGAAGTCACACAACAATAAAAAACTAAAATAAAAAAAAAAAAACACCACAGAGCTTACATGCCTAATTAAGTATAAATAAGAGAAGTCTTGGCTCTCTACCCACAGTGAGTGTAGCTCTGAGACCTCACCAGAGAAGTTTCTTTGGGCAGTGGATGGTGGTTAATGCATACACTCACAAATGGCTACAATGCAGGGGATGAGTATCCAGGGAGTTGTCAGTTACAAATGGGACATCTCAGCAGGACCCCTGGAGCTGGAGACACAGGAGGTTATGAACCACCTGACAGGGGTGCTGGGAAACAAACTTGAGTCCTCTGCAAGAACAGGAAGTGCTCCTAGTCGCTGAGCCATCTCTCCAGACCTCTAGCTAAGGTTTTAAGTAAGATTATGTATTTACAGATAATGAAAAAAAAAAAAAAAAAGGCCATAAATTTGAACAGTAAGGAGAAGTAATGGGAGATTCTGGAGAGAGGAGGGGAAGGAGGAAACAATTAGGTGTATTATAATCTCAAAAATAAAAGAAGTAATTCTAAAGCTCACACTTTGAAAATAATAAAAGCTCCCATGAAAATACACTGATAACCATGCATGAATGCTGAATTTTTCCCTGAAGAACAATGGATTTCAATGGCTACAACTGGTAGGTAGAACTACTGTCTTGATCAATGAGGGGTGTTTTTTTGTTGTTGCTTTTATGAACACTAGCAGCTGCAACCCTTACCACCAAACTACGCTGCTCAGTAGCTTCCTACCACAGCACAATGGAAGCATGCTTGTACCACAGAGACCTCTTCTCCAGTGGACAGCTCACCGTAAGGCCAGCTCTGGTATGAAGGAGACAAACTGAAGCAAACCAGGTCACATGATTCATTCCTGGTGGAATAATATCATGTTCTCACCAGGTGCCCACGAAACTTCCAAAACTCACCTTTTGAATTCCATGGCCTTCCAGTGTTCCAGAAATGGGTGAACATCTGAATGCTGTGTAGGTAGCTCTAAAAACATCCCCAGTTTCATCAACTCCCTGGAAAATAATCATTTAAAATAATTAAATGGCTATTATTATTCAAATGATAAAGAATCTCATAATCTAATAAATTAATTTAAAAGATCCCATTATTCATCTCAAAATAGGTCAGGAACACTCAGTACATTCCTAAGGAAGGGCTTGACCCCAGCTGAGCTCTGCCCATGCCATCAGCAGCAGCTCCCATGGACTGAAACGGGATAGACGTAACAGCAATGAATGAGCACAGAGCACAGTAGGCGTGGAAAGAAGTAGTGTGTGCACGCATGGGGTTCAATAATAAAACATTTCTCAAACTAATGTATTCAGGTAAAAATTGGAACTAGGAAAACTTAATGGAGCAAACATTTTTGTTTTGCACTTTTAAATAAAAGTTTTCTAATTTGAGTCTCAGAATTATCTGGTGAAAAGAACAGCTACACGCCATCCCTGCCTACAGAAAAGCACACGTGAATAAACTGCTGGCACAAACAAGCTACATCTTGACCTGCACTTGTATTCAGACTGAAACGGCCCACCGCGCCTGACCAGTTTAGATGACTGACCTTGACATATGGGGGAGCGAAAGAAGACAGGTGCCACTTCACATCTGTGGGGCCACAATTCTCCAGCTCCAGGTAGTTCTCTGAAAGATAAAATCCTCACCCTTTTATTCCTGAGAGGGTGGCAAGCAGCTCTATGACACACCTCACGACCTTGTAAGTCACGTAGGAACTACAGAATTTTCTAGAGTCTTTTTCAAGGTATAATGCAAAGATTGAAGGGCTGAGACAAGAGAACAAGATGACACTACAATGGGAAGACAGCTGTCAATGATTCACAAGGTCAGACTAGAGGAGACGAAGGTTCTGTCCTGGGCACAAGACCTCTAACAACATCACCTGAGCAACAGCAGAGCCAGTCACAGTTTACAAGCCACTGCTCAGGGAGACCAGAAAGAAGGTGGAAGGCATGGGGGCAGCAGGGTGTACGTGGGCCCAGGGCTCGCATGTAACTTTAGACGCTGGGATACAAGAGAGACTCAAGGTATTCTGAAAGGAACGAGGCAGGAAAATCCAGGAGCACCAGCACTCCAGGTATGAGAAGTCCCTGGAGGAAGGGGTAGCGTCACCTAAGAGGCTACAGATATGGCAAAACAGCTCTTCGGAGCTCTGATCAAGCTGGCTAGCCGTAGTGATGCCACCTAGCCAAACTAAGAAAGGGAAGGCAGGAAGCGGGAGCCTTCCACCAGAGGGTGTGCTGAGAAAGACAGCATCGCAGAGACAGAGGGGAGTGGAGGGAACGGAGCACACACTGAGGGCTCGCTGGAAGGAACAAGCGGGGAAAAGGAAGGCGCGAGCAAGGGCAGGGAGAAGCCTGAGGAAGCAGAGTAGATGGACTAGACTTAAGCAGAAGCTTCCTTTGTGACATTAAACAAGGATTTCATTTAGCCTGATGACTTCTCTAAGTGTGAGGCAAAGTCAGGAGTTCTACGACATGAGAGAGCTCAGGGAACAGCTGGGACATGGGCTGCTGGTGAGAACCCATGATAAAGGGGCATACGAGATATGAATCAGCAAAGCCCATGTGGTTTTGCCCATTAATACCTGATGCTGGGGTGGGGGGACACAAAAGGCCAAACAGCTAGGTTTGACCAAGGCTTAACAAGAAGGCACAGGAAGTCAAGGGGGAGGAGGTTATGGTTATCAAGACGGGGCACAGGATTCAAGGAGTCTACGAAAAGAAGGTCCTGAGCCAAGTAGTAGAGGCCATGAAGGTTGTGGGCCTTGGAATGGAGATGTCAACAAGGTTGGAAAGACTAGACTGAAACCCCTAGAGCAGGGGAAAGACAGGAAAGGTCTTAAGATGAGAGTGAGAACAGAATGAGCTACTGGAGTAAATGGTTAAGGTCCAGGAGGCCCACAAAGAAGGAAACAAGTCAATGAAAGGTATAGTATGTTTCAGTGAGACATGGATGCAAATCCTTTTTGAACACCCAAATAATAATATTCATTTAGCAAAAGTCAGCAAGGAGAAGGAGAAAGAGACATTAACTACAGAGTACCTACTAGACAGTAAAGACCAGGTTCACTGCTTTATATACATGACTGAACAAACAAATGACTGAATCTACCTTCAGTGTGCCCCAAGAAGGCGATGGTTACAATAGCCCCTTAACACATGGGGAAATTGAGCAGTGAACCTAGCCTGCTGAGGACCTCAAAAATCAGTCAGGATCAGAGCTGTGGTCCCTCATCCACACTGTGGTGGACTCAATGAAAATGACCTCTATAGGCATAATATTGGGAAGTTTAACCATTGTTGGAGAAGATATGGCCTTGTTGGAGGAAGTATGTCACTGAGGGTGGGCTTTCAGGTTTCAGGAAGCCCAAGGCCCCCCCCAACAGGAGCACTCTCTCTTCCTGCTGCCTGCCAGTATCGATATAGAATGCTAAGCTACCTCTCCAGCACCATGTCTGCCTGCAGGACACCATGCTTCTTGCCGTGATGATAATGAACTAAATCTCTGAACTGTAAGTCAGCCCGAATGAAATGTTTTCCTTTATAAGAGCTGCCATGGTCATGGTGTCTCTTCACAGCAATAAAGCCCTAAGACAACTATCTCCTTTCTTCTTTAACTACTAGGTAAGAGATCTGGTTGTAACAGCATAATAATAACCATCCAATAAAACCTAAATACCAAGAATACAGTTATTTGAGCCCATGATTCAGATTTTAAGATTGTGTTTTCAAATCCATTCTATTATTGAAATGACTGCAAATGATTCCATAATTTTCTCAAGTAGGAGTAAATTTTGTACATAAATCAAGATTAACTTTCAGCACAAGAATCTAGAAGCATATATAGTTTAGCAGGAAAGCACTAACACGTGTGATGCCGTGGTCTGAGACCCAGCAGACAAAAACAAATGCATGGATATATGAAAAAGAAAGCACTAAATTTCATTGGCATAGGACCGACCTAATTCTGTGATACAATACCTGAAGTTTTACCAGATTCTGTTGGAGGAAAAATCACTGTCTTGTTTCTAATTTCAACTTTTGTGGAAGGTGGTTTTGTTATTGGTTTTGTCAAATGACTAATGGAAGGCTCAGGTCCTGGGCCAAGAGTTCCAAATGTGCTGGAGGCCAAATGAGGTAAAGGTTCTTGACTCAAATCTTCTCGTATTTGAACTTTTACCATTTTCTGAAATAAGTCAAATGAATAAGACACTAAAGTAACCACCAGTTTAAAAGGCACATTCTGGTTTTTAAATTATGATAAAGAGGTTCCAAACAAATGAAACACTAATGAATTTAGAAACTAAAGTTTATTTGAAACTTGAAGCAATCCTTTGGTTCTATCTCTTCTCTCAGCATTTGCCTTTCCTCTCCGCCCCCTTCCTTCTATCTTTGTATTTATGTGCTTGGGTATGTATGAGTGCACATGCGTGTGGAGGTCACAGGACAACCTTGGGTGTTGGTACTCATCGTCTACCTTGTTTAAGAAAGGCCTCTTGTAGGTCACTACATATCCTGGCTAATAGGCCAGTGAGTTCTCAGGGATTCTCCTGTCTCTGCCTCGCATCTCGAGACAGGAACACTAGATGTATGCTTCTGTCTGTCTTTACACAGGTTCTGGGGCTTTAAACCTAGGCATTGACACTCGGAAGGCAAGTGCTTTAACTATGGTGCCATGTCCCCAGCATTGTTCTTTCCTTCCTTTTTGATTTTAAAGCAAATAATTATTAATAGTTTCTAGGTCCTCATTTTCCATGCCCAGTCTCCCAGTAAAACTGTTCAGATTACTAAAGGCAAAATTCTGTACTAGGTGCTCTGAGAAGTATACTTAGTGGGTTTCATCTGACTTCTGAAATGTAAAAGTTCATAAGGACTGTTAAACTGTGAAAATAAAAAGAATGCTGCCCAGAAAAACAATTCAGACGTACCTTCTGTCCGTTATCACAGTGTATATAGATCAAGCCAGTCCATGGGAGCATTGATTGTCTTGTGGACAGGGAAGAATTGGGACTCACAAGAATTTGTATTTTACTCCTAAAATAATAATAATAATAATGAACACTGAGACTATTCTTCACTTTTATAGTAGTAATGACAAGTTACAAATACTGTTCTGCCAATAACCAATCATTTCCTGTGGCTGGAAAAAACTGACTGTGGTTAGCTCTTGCCCTAACTTCTTCACATGGCTCATCTGGCCTCAATACCCAACAATGGTAAACTGTCTATGTGCTGACAGTGCCTATGTAGAAATAGCTGATCCCAGAAGACTCCCTCTCAGGACATTTTATTTAGAAAATTATAATCTAGTCTTCAGAAGAAAAACACAAAAAATAAATAAACAAACAAAAAACAATGCACATTTCAATCCAAAGAGACAGAAAGCAAAACAGCTAGGCTATGTCACAAAATAAGATGGGTACTTTATTAGCAAAGGGCAAACTTCTACTGAGTAATTTTATTTGCTTATTTCTGCAGTTCAGGGAGCAGAAACCAGAGCCTTACACATGCTAGGCAAGAGCTCTACAACTGAACCCTGAACAACGTGTATGAGATAACTTGGTCCTTCAGTTGAGATGAGGAAAGGAATTAGTGGAAGTGGGAACAGAAGGGAAATATGACCAAAGTACGTGTAAAATATTTATACATGTATAAAAGTGTTCTATATCCATTATGAATAATGAGTACATTGTTTTAAAAGGCCAGCCTCAAAAAAGCCAAGCATGGTGGCACATGTCTTTAATCTCAAAACTCAGGAGGCAGAGATGGATCCCTGTGAGTTCGAGGCCAATCTGGTCTATAGTGCAAGTTCCAAGACACCCAGGGCCACACAGAGAAACCCTCTCTTGAAAAGAAAAGAAAAAGCCTCCATGATGGCATCTAAATAACACTGAAAAAAACAAAAGACATACTTACTCTGGTGTGATAAATCCATGTTGTGGTGTGACTGTCAAGCAATGTGCTGGCCAGTATAGCTCAAATTTCAGTAGCCTAACGGTGTTATTTATAATCTGGAAACGTCCAGTTTTTGCCATGTCACCTATTGTACCAGATAAATAATGTTAATTTCATTTAGCCATAGTGAAAAAAAAATGTTAGTAATCCCGAATCCTGAGTAAATGCACCTGTGTAGTAATAGCTTATTTTCCTTTTCAAGAGTTCAACTATAGGAATCTGAAGTCTGTAGTTTTTGCCATGTCACCTATTGTACCAGATAAATAATGTTAATTTCATTTAGCCATAGTGAAAAAAAAATGTTAGTAATCCCGAATCCTGAGTAAATGCACCTGTGTAGTAATAGCTTATTTTCCTTTTCAAGAGTTCAACTATAGGAATCTGAAGTCTGTGTTAAAGTAGGTCTTATTGATAACTCCTGAAACTACAAAGACACTGGCTACACTGAACCAGGCTAGAGAGACTATACCCTTAGGATGCTCCCACCTGACATCACTTTGGGAAACACGTATGTAGCATTTGCTCCTGCCCTGAACCCAGAGTTATCAATCAGTGTTAGGTCAATAAGCAGCAGGCAGAACTCCTTAGGTGGAGTACTGACTAACTGTCAGGTCTCCAGGTGGGAGCTGCGGATACAGGGAAGCAAACCTTGACTCCTAAATGGACTTCTGAAAAGTTCTTACCCAAGTACTCACAAGAAGAAGAAGCTACCAGAATCAAGTGTTCCGGATGGACAGCCCACCTTTCTTCAGAGGGTGGTGTGCCCTGAGCGGGGTGGGCAATTTGTGAGAGAAAAGGAGGCCCTTGAGGGCCTTTAACTGGTAAAACATCCAAAGAGACATTGCCACTTTGTTTTCCAGAAGCTCCAGATTCACTGGGGAAATTTTTAATAAACAGAAAAGAAAGAGACATTAAAAATACTAACAAATCTAATTGTTTCACATTTTATATCAGGACTTCAAAAAATAAAAAATTATGGCACAAGTAAAAGGATTTGATACGCCATATATCTTAGTAAATATGAAGACTCCATATTTTATATACTTAAAAGTACTTTACAAGGCTTAGGATGTAGCTCTGAAATAAGGCGATTGCCAGACACAACAATGCACTGGGGTCTAACCCTAGCACTACAGGAGAAAAAACAGTTTAAGAGTACATGTAATCAAACCATTTGATGATTTCCTTCTTTTTTTTTTCTGCCTGACTTCTACATCTTAAATCTCTTAAAAGATTTAATGGAAAGTGACCCAACAGAACGAAAAACCAAGTTCACTAAACATGATGGAGCAGCCTTATGGTGCCAAGACAGGCAGTTTTCAGTGAGTTGGAGGCTATCCTGGTCCACACAGGCATTCCAGGCTAGCCAAGACTACACACAGTTAGACCCTATCAAAGGAAGGAAGGAAGAGACGGAGGGAGGGAAGGAGAAAGAGAGGGAGGGAGGGAGGGAGGGAGGAAGGAAGGAAGATCAATTATTTTTCAACATATCTCTAACTGCACAACAGTAACTAGTTTTACAACAGTGACACCAAAATCCATTAAACAGCAAAGTCTTCGGGAAAAATGCTAATCCAATCTAGTAAGACTCTCACTATTTCCTAGTAAGTCTTAGAAACAATTCTAAGTCAAAACTATTTTGTAATCACAAAAGTACATATCATAACTAAAGTTTTAATGCACAGTGTCCAAATTCTTCACCCTCAATGAAATTCCAGCTTTACTTCCAATCAACACAGGTCACTCTTACATGACTAAGACAAAAATTTCCATAAAAAAGAGATGGCAACATAAGTATGTTAACAACTAGGAAATCTGAGAATGGGTTTTCAGGACTTTTGGACTTTTCTAGGAGTTTTAAATAATTTCAAATTAAGCTAAATAGGTGGGAAAATGAGAGAAAATAACATGATATAATATAGTGGGGAGAAGAGATAGATGAGCTGCAATATGAATCAGTCATGAAATCTAGTCAAAGATTTCTATTTGTGTATTGTTTTACCTTTTAGATTCCAACCTAGCACTGGAAGAAGGTTGAAGAAATTCTCTGCTAGAAACGGAATCTCTGAATTCTCCAACTACTGACAGGGTAATTTTACGCATGCTTCCATAAAAGAGCTGAATGTCATTAGGCCGCTGAGGAAGATCACATGCTGTAAAAGAATGCACTTTAAAACATAAACCCTCATGCGAGCACAGCACAAAACAGCACAGCAGGAAGCATCTCAATTATCACTATCACTGACTGCTACAGACTCCCACCATCAGAGCAGATGAACCAAATGTGAACAATCATCTTTGCTACTCCGTAACCTTTGGCAAGTTGTTAAACCTCTCTGAGCTTTAGTTCCCTCAGCTAAGACCTGGAATAGCGGTAATCATCTATCTCAGGGACACTGTGAGACTTAAAACATGAACATTTTTCAAGATATGTATAGCACAAAGCACATATAGTAAGCGAGGAGTTCTTCAGGTTAACTAAATTTCCAGAGTGACTCTTGGAGGTAGGTATTATGAAGTACACATTTAAAAGGAGGAATCTAAAACATTCAAAGGCTAAGGGCAAGTTTCACAGTAAAGCAAATCTATGAACCAGTCACTGTTAACAACACTAAGTATTTCTAGATTAATTAAAATGAGAGGGGGCATCATGAACATCTCTAGATTAGGCTGCCCAAATGTATATATGCAAGAGATTTTAGAGCGTATTTCATTCTGTCATCCTTTAAAAATTATATATGTCAAATGGAAATCGTCAAATAATGCAGTAAATTTGTTTTGTTTTTCTCGAGTCACGATCTCACATAGCCAAGGTTGGTCTTGTACCTCTGATCCTTCTGAGTCCACTCCCAAATGCCTGCATTACATTCATGTCTCCAAGCCAGATAGTAAATTGAAATTTACAGTAACTATGCCATGACTATAACTTATGAGAATAGCTACTTCTTATTTATTAATGGGTTTGCCAAAACAACCATTCTTTTCTCTGTATTGCTTTGGAGGCTGTCTGGAACTCGCTCTGTTGACCAGGCTGATCTCAAATTCACAGAGATCCACCTGCCTCTGCCTCCTGAGTGCTGGGATTAAATGTGTGTGCCAACACCCAGCCAAAACAGCCCTTCTTATAACACATTTCTTGAATTTCTGGACAAGGAGCTGCCCTGGAACATCCTTACTTCCCTGGTCCATCTTTTCTACTTTGTCTCCATTTCCTGTTCTTCAAGTAGATTTTGACAGTCAACTCAATTCTCAGTGACGGGCCCCTCTGTGCCTCTCCCATTCCTAAACCATACCAGTGCTCTACTCACAACACACTTTAGCCTTCTCTACACCTGTCTTCTGTATCTGTCAGTCCTTTATGGGTAAGGACTACAGTCTAGTGTCCACACAGATGCATCTACTCAGCAGGAGAATGGACTACAGTCTAGTGTCCACACAGAGGCATCTACTCAGCAGGAGAATGGACTACAGTCTAGTGTCCACACAGATGCATCTACTCAGCAGGAGAATGGGGACTACAGTCTAGTGTCTACACAGAGGCATCTACTCAGCAGGAGGATGGGGACTACAGTCTAGTGTCCACACAGAGGCATCTACTCAGCAGGAGGATGGCGACTACAGTCTAGTGTCTACACAGAGGCATCTACTCAGCAGGAGGATGGGGACTACAGTCTAGTGTCCACACAGAGGCATCTACTCAGCAGGAGGATGGGGACTACAGTCTAGTGTCCACACAGATGCATCTACTCAGCAGGAGGATGGGGACTACAGTCTAGTGTCCACACAGAGGCGTCTACTCAGCAGGAGGATGGGGACTACAGTCTAGTGTCCACACAGATGCATCTACTCAGCAGGAGAATGGACTACAGCCTTCTGTCCACACAGAGGCATCTACTCAGCAGGAGGATGGGGACTACAGTCTAGTGTCCACACAGAGGCATCTACTCAGCAGGAGGATGGGGACTACAGTCTAGTGTCCACACAGAGGCATCTACTCAGCAGGAGGATGGACTACAGTCTAGTGTCCACACAGAGGCGTCTACTCAGCAGGAGGATGGCGACTACAGTCTAGTGTCTACACAGAGGCGCCTACTCAGCAGGAGAATGGGGACTACAGTCTACAGTCTAGTGTCCACACAGATGCATCTACTCAGCAGGAGAATGGACTACAGTCTAGTGTCCACACAGAGGCATCTACTCAGCAGGAGGATGGGGACTACAGTCTAGTGTCCACACAGAGGCATCTACTCAGCAGGAGGATGGGGACTACAGTCTACAGTCTAGTGTCCACACAGAGGCATCTACTCAGCAGGAGGATGGGGACTACAGTCTACAGTCTAGTGTCCACACAGAGGCGTCTACTCAGCAGGAGGATGGCGACTACAGTCTTGTGTCCACACAGAGGCATCTACTCAGCAGGAGAATGGACTACAGTCTAGTGTCCACACAGAGGCATCTACTCAGCAGGAGGATGGGGACTACAGTCTAGTGTCCACACAGAGGCATCTACTCAGCAGGAGGATGGGGACTACAGTCTAGTGTCCACACAGAGGCGTCTACTCAGCAGGAGGATGGCGACTACAGTCTTGTGTCTACACAGAGGCATCTACTCAGCAGGAGGATGGGGACTACAGTCTAGTGTCCACACAGAGGCGTCTACTCAGCAGGAGGATGGCGACTACAGTCTTGTGTCCACACAGAGGCGTCTACTCAGCAGGAGAATGGACTGCAGTCTAGTGTCCACACAGAGGCATCTACTCAGCAGGAGAATGGACTATCGCTACTGGTGGAATTATGCCACTGCAAACTCTACATCTTCACCACAGCTGCAATGTTACTATGTATGTCCACAGCAAAATGAAGTTCAGCTCTAGCTGGAACTTTCCTCTGAGAAAGGGATGATGATCTAAAGTAGCAAAGATGGATCTTAACCTGAATGCATATATTCAGGTATGATTTTAATTACATAAATATTTACATATTATCTTACCAAAATGACACTTTGCTATGAAAAGATTTAAATGGTATTTTTCTTAATAAATGAAGACTTTTTAATCACAAATTCTTATCACTGTTCTAACAGCTATAAATATTCTGCCCTGTATGCTTATATATTTCGGTTACTTCTAGCAATATTTTTTAATTAATTGTTTTTATTTATTTTACATACCAACAGCTTCCCCTCCCTCCTGTCTTCCTGTTTCCTCTCCCATCTCCCATCTACAACCTCATCGTTTCCGCCGTTCAGAAAGACGCAGGCCTTGGGAGTCAACAAAGCATGGCATATCAACTTGAGGCAGGCAACTTCCTGAATTTAACAGCAGTAGCATAGACACTGAGATTGACAATTAATATATGGGACCTCCTGAAACTGAAAAACTTCTGTAAGGCAAAGGGCACAGTCAATAAGACAAAACGGCTCTCCACAGAATGGGAAAAGATCTTCACCAACCCTACATCTGATAGAGGGCTGTCTCCAAAATATACAAAGAACTCGAGAAGCTAGACACCAAAATACCACATAATCCAATTAAAAAACAGGGTACAGATTTAAACAAAGAATTCAACAGAAGAATCTCAAACGGCCAAGATACAGTTAAAGAATTATTCAGCATCCTTAGTCATCAGAGAAATGCAAATCAAAACAACTCTGAGACACTTCTAACTTTACTTCTTGCTATCAACAACACTGTAAAAACTATTATAGCATAAAAATTATGTAGCATTTTTACAGAGTTTGTGTGTCTTGGTGTATTTCTTTTGTATGGATAAACAAACACAATTAAATATTTGAATTGTTTCTCTCCCGAGTGAGGCTAAGCATCTAGGCTGTATTCCATGTCTATTTGGGACGTCTTGGACACCACTACATCTCTAAACATGATCAAGAAATCTGAAACAGGCTGGGAGTTGGTGGCATACACCATTAATCCCAGCACTCAGGAGACAGAGGCAGGCAGATCTCTTTGAGTTTGAGGCCGGCCTGGTATACAGAGCGAGTTCCAGGACAACCTCCAAAGCCACAGAGAAACCCTGTCTCAAAAAAAAAAAAAAAAAAAAAAAAAAAAGCAATCTGAAACAGCATGAACCTGGGTGTAGTAATAGCCCCTATCTCCCTATCTTCTTTCCCTTCATGAGCCTTACTCTTTACTGATACCTAAATACTTTACTGAAACCAAAAATATTTATAAAGCAAAATTCTTCCATCTGATTTTCAAAACCCTAAGGATGAGAAGTAAATGCCATTCTCACTCCATAGAGGACACTCAACTCCTTGGTGTGGTTTGTTTAAAGTCAGAGGTTCTGACAGCTCAAATTCAGCTAACCACATCCAAACTAACCTCTTTGACCCAAAAGATCAAGGATGTTACAATTCTTACCTTCATCTATGAGTAGCTCATCCTGAAATGCTTCAACAAAATCAATGTTTTGCAGCACACTATGTTCCGGAAGTATCTGCTTTATTACTCCTGGTTTATGCAACAATGCTCTGCCAGAAGAGATTTTTATTCACTTTATATATGAAGTGACCTAAATCAGATTTCAAAGTATTCGGCAAGGATGCATTCATACATAGAACACATATCTAAAGTCATAATATAAGTACCTTTTAGAGTAAAATCTGTTTTGAAATGGTAGTGAAATCATTAGTTTTATTTAGTTTAATAGAAGTATCAAGGCAGGATTTGTAAGAGTAAAAAGAAAAACAGATCCTCTTGAGGGCTTATCTTTCCATTATTTCTGACAATTTGGTGATACAATTTGTCTCAGTGGAAGAAAAAAACAATAATGATAAGCTGTTTTGCTGGGTGGTGGTGGCGCACACCTTTAGTCCCAGCACTCAAGAGGCAGAGGCAGGCAGATCTCAGTGAGTTCAAAGCCAGCCTGTTCTACAAAGTGAGTTCCAGGACAGTCAGGAGGATTACATAGAGAAACCCCGTCGAAAAACCAAAATAAATAAACAAATAGATGGAAAGATAAATAAATAAATAAATATTTTAAAAGTGATAAGCTATTTAGGGAAATATTTAAGTAACCACATAGCTACTGTAGAAATAGGCATCTTCCAAAGGATCTTTGTAGTGAAAAACAAACTATAAACATCTCTGTAATTCTCAGTGCTCACAACCAAAGCAAACTTCAGTAACTTAAGTTTGTGGTAAATAGGAGATATGAAACAATACTCTGTACTTTTTATGTTTCAGTAGAGAAAGAGAAACAAGTAATCTGATTTCTCCAAATCATTCTAAAATAATTAAGAAATCAGGTTCAGCTGTGCTGGCACACATCTGTAATCCCAGCACCCAGCAGGGCAGAGGCAGGTTAATCTCTGTTAGTTCGAGGTCAGCCTGGACTACACAGGGAGTACCAGGACAACCAGGGCTACCTAGAGACCCTGTCTTAAAAAAACAAAAAAACAAACAAACAAAAAAAAAGACCACATAGTGAGCTATCACTCTCAGCATGAGCTTCATCTATCTTCCGTAGCCTGAGAACTCAATTTTACAATAAGAAGCCCCCAGAATTTATCACATAATAATGTACTGTTTTTCATCACACTTCAGCTAGAGCAGCAATATTCCCAACTTTCCAACTCAGCATATTAAGTCACATTTATATTAGATGTGTCAAATTTTATAATGTATCTATAAGTTAAACCATCCTACACATTATCTTTTCCAGTAATTTATAGCCTTCCTAGAAATATGCTAAGTTAATCATGTAGGTTTATATAATATAATCTGTCAGTAGTTCTTAAAATCTTTTCTGAAACTGATCTTATATATTCTGAGTAGAGTCCCAGTATAAAGTATGAAGGTCCTATTGGATAAAGGAAAAGAGGACTAATCCACATGTCAAGAAAGAAAGTGAATGTAGAAAAACACAGGTGTTTTCCCAAGTATTTCTAACTCACACTATGCCAATTTATGAGCCACACTAATTTTACCAATGGTTTTCTTCACCTATCAGTTGACTAATAAATAGTAAGGTATGTTCTAAAACTTCCAAATCATTAACTGTCCTTGCTTTCACTGAACAGTTCCCAACATTGTCTGAATGAAGAATCTACCTTCGATACTGCTGTCTGGAGATTTCATCACCACCAAAGAAGTATACAGTTAGCAGTTCTGTTGCAGGCTTATTGTCATTCTTTCTGATTGATGGATTGTATATTAAAGTAATATCCTGATACAAAAAAATAGAAAACCAGGAGTATTAATATTCAGTATTTTTCCTCAGCTAGTCATCTCACTCTGAATGAACAGTCCTGCAATACTTCACTGAACACAGACACAAACAGTCACTGGAAGACAGAGGCAGGGAGAGCTCTGTGTACGAGGCCAGCCTGGCAACAGTTCCAGGACAGCCAGGGTTACACAGAGAAACCCTGTCTGTATAGTTCTTTCAGAAAAAACTAGGTAAATACATCTATCCCATACTCCTTTCCAATATGATTTTAGCTCTTGGCCATAAAATGTATAATTAATATTAATCAAAACGTAACTATTTTGGGAGGCAGAAATTTTATACTTACTTCTTGGGTTCTTTCCTTAAGCACAAATTTATCTGGAAAAATCCTCAATACTTTAGGATCCATCAAAACTTTTCTTTGAGAATCTTTAAAACACACTGCTTTAACAAAGGCTGCTCTGGAGCCAGTGTTACGAATAGAAAAAACAACTTTACTTTCTCTGCCAGGAATTAAGTCATTCACTGTTACCAAGTAACTGTCAGATAACTTCTTAACATCTTCTAAAATAAGATTACTTGTTCCTCCATAACCAGACAAAGGTATCTAAAAACAAAAAAGAAAAAACACACATCCAAAATTTTTTACATAAGAAAGCAGAAAATTTATTACTGTCAGAAGAAAATATAGATTTAACACAATTAAAGTTTTAGGGCTTGTATCCTTGGGATAGCAATGACCAAACTTCTAGTCTACCATATATATTATACTACATATTTATTTGTATATATTGTATATGCAGCACTTCCGAGCTGCATACCTCCTGACTATATAAAGAACAACCGTTTCCTGTTGCATAAGCCAAGTTTAACAAAAGAACAATAAAAACTAGTATAGCTATACTGCATACATTTGTAATGTGAAGCATAAGATTGTAATTTATTTTGAAATGCCTAGAAACACAGATAAACTAGTAGGTGGTCAGCTGTATGGTAAAAGAAATATACCAAAACATGAATTGTAGAATATAAGTAGTATTTTTTCAACTCAGCAATTCAGAAAAATACTTTAGGAGAAAAAAAAAAACCCTACTATCTCACAGTCTTTTAGCAGGGCTATTGTTAAAGAGAAGCCTGCAAACAGGACTACACTGAGGACCAGTACTCAAAACTCCATGCACAAGCAAGCTAGGGATTTGGAACCCTGAGACTGAAGCCAGAACTGAGATGCTTGCTGCAGTTTTTACAGTTGAGCCTTCCAAAAAAAAAAAGAAAGAAAGAAACAAGGGCTCATGGATACTTCCATTATTAAGAAAGGGAAACAATTACCTTGCTAGAAAATAACCTTTGCCAGGTGGTGGTGGTGCATGCCTTTAATCCCAGCACTCAAAAGGCAGAGGCAGAGGCAGGCATATCTCTGTGAGTTCAAGGTCAGCAGGGTCTATAAAGCTACACAGAGAAACCCTGTCTCAAAAAACAAAACCAAAAAATGTCTCTGTAAGTCCAGTATTTGGAACATAGTCTACAAAATCATATTTGTCCAAGTCTGAATGAATGCTGGTGTCTCACAAAATCCATATGCCAAAATAATCCCCAATATAACAGCATTAGGAACCAGGACTAACAGAAAGAGCTGAAGTCATGACAACCATGCTTTCAAAAATAGAATTAGTATGCTTAGAAAAGAGGAGGGGAGGGGCTAGAGAGATGGCTTAGTGGTTAATAGCACTGGCTGCTCTTCCAGGGGTCCTGAATTCAACTCCCAGCAATGACATGGTGGCTCACAACCATCCATAATAAAATCTGGTGCCCTCCTCTGGCCTGCAGGCATACATGCAGGCCGAACACTGTATACATAACACACACACATACATACAATACATACATATATACATAAATCTTTTTTAAAAAAACAGGTAAGGGGAATGCATCACTATTACTCCAAGTGAAGAACATGGCAAAACCAAGTGTCATCTTTGAAACAGAGTGCAACTCCTTGCTAGACAGCGATTTAGGGCATCCAGTTTGAGGATTATGAGCATAAACATTTAAAAATTAACCAGTGTGGGGTGGAAGAGATGACTCAGCAGTTAAGAGCACTTGACAGGTTCATTTCCCAGCACCCACATGGCATCTTACAATAGTCTGTAACTCTATTTCCAGGGGATCCGACACCCTTTGATGGTATCCATGGACACCAGACACATATGTGGTACAGAGACATAAAGGCAAAATGCTCCAACAGATAAGATAATTGTCTAGCTTGTGGTATCTGTTGTTTACAATGGAGAGCTCTGATTCCCCCAAAATGTGCTTATGTTAGGTATGTTTCAAATTTCTCAAGCTGAAATGAAAATTTAAACATTAGGATATTTGACGGTTATATGAATCTCACAATGGTTACTTTTAATAACTTGATAATTATCCTATAATTTGTTTATAAGGTCTATAACTTAGAAAAAACAGAATACATGATCTATCAATATTAAAGTAATGGCTATAACTTAACATCAACTCCATGGATGAAAAAAGGCAGTGAACTTCTCTTACCATAAACTTAACACCTGGCAGTGAACGATTTCCAAGTTGTTTGATTTCTAGTTTAGCCAACATACAAGATAATCGAGTAGGTGCAAACAATACAGAGATTACATAGTCCTCTCCTGGGCAAATTCTGATCTCACAGTTACTGGTCAATCTCTCTTCTGAGCCAAAAGTATTCTTAATCTACAATTTAAAAATAACCACTTATAAACTCAAATAGTAGCACAAATAAAACACCCATTAACACAAAACAAACTCTTACAGTTAGTCTTGGTGGCTGAAAGATAGTTAAGCAATTAAGAGCATTTAATGCTCTTTCCAGGGACCCAGGTTAAGTTCCCAATGCCTACATGGCACTCACAAGCATCTGTAACTCCAGCCCCAGAGAATCTGACACCTTCTTCTGAAATCTATGGGCACCAGCATGCACACATTGCACAAACATACATGCAGGCAAATACTCAGACACATAAAACAGAAATTTAAAAATCTTTAAAACCTATGAACAAAAATCAGTTGGTCTGGATGAGGAAACAGCCCAATTAGTACAGAGCTTGCCTAGCATGTACAAGACCCTGGGTTCCCTCCCCAGCATTGGGGGTGGGGGACGACAGATACAAAACCACGTGTTGATTTAGGTTGAGTATGGTGACATACACCTATAATAGCACTTGAGAGACAGAGGTCGGCAGATCTCTGTGATTTCAAGACCAGCTTTGTTTACATAGGGAATCTCAGGCCAGTCAGAGCTACACAGTGAGGCCAATTTCAGACAAATAAGACAACAAATGGTCTACATATATTGAGTATTCTGTACTCAGAAGAAACATCAGACAGAAGCCATGTGTGGTGGTATAGGTCTGTGGGAGGCAGTAGGATCATGTGTTTCAGGCCAGCCTAGGCTATACACTGAAACCCTGTTGCATAAACAAAACAAAGTAATTTTTAAAGGTGTTTTAATCAGACAAAACAAAAAACATAGTACGAACCTGAAAGCAATCTTGATCCTGCCCTTTAATAAGGAGTCGCAGGGTCTGGGCTGTGGTTGTAGAACTATTTCTTAAAACTAGTTTCTGAAGCCTGAAAACAATTACACATTTTAAATGTCTTCTTTTCCATGGATACTGCTTCAGTGGCAGAAAAACAAAGCCAAGTGAACCTGACCACAGAGTCTAAAGACAGGCTGACTGTACAACTCACCTTGATAGGCTAGAGTCGTCTCTCCATAATTATGGAACTTGTTTGTGGAAATACGAGACTTATTAAGACTCAACAGGGAAGGTTTTTAGTTTAATTTCTCTAATTTATCCTCTCAGATGGCCTTGTTCATACATCAAATCTTTAACGGAGCTGGAACTCTTTGGGAAACAAGGTCAGAGCTACCAGGCTCATTTGTACAAAGTGGTCTTTTCAGCAGTATGCAGATTAGACATTAGAATATAAGCAAAGTGGGCATATAAATAGCAGGTTGGTAGTATGAAAAACCTTGAATCTTTGAAACTAATTCCTTTCTTCACTTAATACAAATAAGAAATCCCTGCTGTGTATAAAAAAACGCAGACCATTATCACTTAATTTGGAGTCTGTTCTAAGCATTTATCAATTAGCTTGCAATCTCCCTAAACAAGATGCAGTGCCTCGATTATCTTTCTCTGCCTTTCCATGAAAGTAGCCCTCATACTAATCAGAGAACTCACCAAAAAGCCTAAGAAAATAAAAGCCAGTCTGAGGTGCATCTTAAAAATTAAACATTATACATTTTTTAAAATGTAGGCTCATCATATGAAGATTGAGCAAATACATGACAGCTTTATCTCAAATCTAAACAGACACATACAATCATATTTAACACCTGAGCTAGTAACATAGGTGATCAAACAGCAAAACCTCAGTGCTTTTGGATGGTTGCTGTGAACACTTACTGTGTCCTGCCAAGAGGGAGGCCTCCCCAGGTCAGAAACTGCTTATTGGACAGAATCAATGGGACATCTGAGCAGGAAGATCCAGGTGGTGGAGGTTTACTCCCAGAAGGAGTGACTTCACCTTTTAACACCACTTCATACTGAGGTCCTAATGGCTGCACAAATATTCTCAGGATCCTAACCAAGGAAGAAAAAACAAGCCAAGTGTCCCACACTCAGTTCTATTAGCAACTATATCCTATACATTCCCTTTGTCCAAGAGACACCAAAAGTTTATGTTCCAGGGGGAAAGAACACACAAAAGAAGTGATAATCACAATAATGTCTACATGGCAGCACAAGAGAAATTTCACAAGGCTTTTTTCATGAAGAATTCATGAAAGTCCCAGAAGTCAGCACAGGACTGAGGGCAAGCATTTGAGGCTTAAAACAAGTGTCTGTTCTTTCTAAAAGACTCTATTAATGTACTAACTAGACGTGGGTATTCTGTACTCCATGCTGGGTATAAGCAGTGGATACCTCTGCGGGTGCTTGTGTGACATATGCTAAGCTAGTTCTATGCAGTCAAGTTGAAAGACAAACAACAATGATACACTGACTGAGATGTCAAAGTCACAGGTCCTGGAAGAGACCTGGGGAGAATTGTGAAGTGATAAAAAACGAAACTTTTCTAGAAGAAAAAGTTTAAAGAGGAATATCATAATTCATACTTTATTGTTTATTTTGTCTGAATATACCAGAAAACAGCAACTTGTTAACTTTGATTCACTTGGATTAAGAGAAGCATTTTACTAACAAAAAAGATGGGCCAACAAGATGGTTCAGTGGGTAAAAGCACTGGCTGTGCATGCCCGAGGACACATGCACCAGGGCATGTATGTGACACCCATACTATACACATCATACACAAAACAGTGATACTATAAATTACATATGTATACATATACATATACATAAACATACATACATACATACATATATACATACCTATATATAAAGGGTAACTGAAAAAGATTAAAGCACAGCAATATCATTGTATTATATATTAGGTGAAATAAAATAGGTACCTGTACATGAGTGAAAAACATCTAAGAAAGTAGTCATTATAAGTATTTTCATATTACCTTTCTTCATATGCTTTGGAATCCTTTGGTGTAAATGAAACTATAACTTCATGTTCTTCTCCAGGTTTAAGAAATAGACTCTCTGGATCCACTGAAAACTGGCTTCCTTGTTCTGCGACCTACAAAATTATATAACCACAACTTGTATTGTGTGCCTTTCTTTGCCAGTTTTTAGATTTTTGTTTGTTTTTTTGTTTTTCCAGATAGGGTTTCTCTGTGTATGTAGTAGCCCTGGATGTCCTGGAACTCTCCCTGTAGACCAGACTGGCCTCAAACTCATAGATCTGCCTGCCTCTGCCTCTGCCTCCCAAATGCTGGAATTAAAGGTGTGTGTGCTACCACCACCTGTCTTATTCCTTTTTAAAAGGATATTTCCTTCCTCTTTCCTCCTCCATTTCAAATCTTTTTCCTGTCCCATCATCAACTGCTAATTACTACCGCAATCTCACTCACCTAAGAATCTCAGAAATAAACCTACATATGCAGACTATTCTCTTCCAATTCTGCATACACATAGATCTCACACACACTTCTAAGGAACTCCTCAAGAATTTTTATATTCAAAGCATTATGCTTCAATATCAACCAAGCATATACTTCAGGCTAGGGAGGCTCTCAACTTTTACAACACTCTTGGTAATTCCCACCCTACTCCTCATAACATCTTAACAAGGTTGCCAGCACAGTAGACATCAGAAAGCTACCAAAGCACTCTTGCAGAAATTCTTACCTTGATGTCTAGATAAACTTCAATATTTCCAGCATTTTTCAAAGGCAAGGGCTGCTTTGTTGAAGAATTTACATCAGCCAACAAATACATAGTCTATGGGGTAGGGCAAAGATGCAATCAAAAAGGAGTTATAACTAAAGAGCAATCAACTGAGCACAAGCGAATAACAACAGACAGAAGATGAAGCTGGATACCTGTAAGTCCCTGGGGGCATGAATTCTAGCTATTCCTGCTCTTGCTCGGAGGTCCACACTTCTAAGAACTGGGATAGGGTTAGGGCTGTCAACTTCTATATCCACTCTGGCCAGGAATTCTTCTGCTGAGCCTAGAATTTCTATGAAAGTTTACTTTTACTTCAGTAAACAGATATTTAATCCCAGATTTCACCAGTCATGCAAAAGGATGTCCTTAGAGGTCCAAAGAAAATTAAGGAGTCAGGGAGATGGCTTAGTGGGTAAAGTGTTGCTGTGCAAGTCTGATGACCTGAGTGTGATCCTTAGAACCCATGTAAAGACAGAAGGAGAAAACCAACCTCATAAAATCATCTAGTGACCTTCATACACATGCCCACAGATGCACAAATAATTAAATAAATTAAAAAGAAAAAGGGTAAGGCTTTTAAAACAATCCAAACCTAGGTACGACTAGAGAGACAAGTAGAGGAAATGGGTTTTCTGCAGTACTTGCTTGAATTACCTACACTTACATAGATTTAACCTCAAGTATCATACCATCTTCCCCTTTTTCCAAACAACATATAATTCTTGGCAATAACCCAAAATATTGTCACTTAATTAACAAGAAAGTAAACTGAAAATCTGAAGTTTAATAAAATACGATAATTCAAAAAGAAAAAAGTATATATACATATATGATACCTGAAGTGAGGCGTTTCTTTGGGCTATGGAAAATAACCCAAACTATCAGAAATTCTGGATCCTATTAAATGAAAAACAAAATTTTAATGTATATTGATACTATAGCTGAAATCCCAATATGATAAAAGTAGTTTGCAAACTTGTCTTTACTTCTAAGCCATTTCTTTTAAACTGACCTGTCCATCATAACTGGCAGGCATCACGTGACTGACTACAGATGGGGCCACCAGCTGAGCAATCACGTCAGAGTAAGGAGCAGCTTTCAGAGAAGCATGGATGGGCTCTTTGGAAAATGTGAAGCAGCGCCAGGCTAAGGCATTCTGTTCAGAAACAGAAAATCAGTTTCAGCAAAGTCATAGCACTATATTTGTTAATGAGCTCTTTAGCAATATAATTTACTTCTACAAGGAAAAGTTAACCAAGAATATCAGCCATGCCTATAATTTCAAATTAATATATTCTGTAGGCAGCCTCTTATTCTAGGTTAGTACTTACGGCACTAATCATCAGTCTGATCGGCACAGTAGCATGTGTCCTATTTATTAACTTGAGTGGGAGAGCTTTCCAGCCTTCATAGGTCAAGTCACCAAAATCCAGAACACCTTTCTTTTCTGTTTCTACCTAAGTATGAAAAAAGGGCTTATTGATAAAAAGCAGTGTATTCCTAATGAATAGCTTACCTATGTGCTTCGTTTAGCAACAGTTAAGAGTCAGCATGACTGGTAAACTTAGATCTAAGTTTTCCCATTCTACTTTATTTCCATTTTATTTTATTGTTGTCTATAAAACTAGTAGGTTAAGTACTCAAATATAGAATAAGGCAAAGTGGCTACTGATACTTTGATAAGATCTAATAGTGTTTTCAATCATTTTATAAAACTAATCTCCATTTAATTAATCCTATCATCAGACTCTTAATTCCTTTTACAACTTCATGAAGATCCTGGTATATTTCAGATTCTGTCTGATATAAAAACAATTTAAAATGATGTCAAATAGACATTTAAAGTTAAGTGTGTACTATGTATCAGACTGGTGTCTCTTTAAACATTGGAGAGCAACCTAACAAACTCGTCCTCATAGCTACACATGTAAAATTTTACACAACATTTAAAACATATACTTTTCTTCTATAGTTTATGAAACTACAAGGAAATCAAAGACATATTAGCAAGTGGGAACTGAATTCTACAATGGCCAATGAAGGTCAGGGGTTCAAATTAACCCCCAAGATAGTTAAGGTTTGACATTTTCCAAAGGTAGTATATTTCAAGCTTCTTGTGGATAAGGCAAAGCTAGAATGGAATGTAAACACCATACATAAAGTACTGAAATTCAGAGTGCCCTTTTAGGAATATTAAGAAATAAAAACAAACTAAACATCTGCAAAACTGCCCTAGTGTTCAAAAAACAACAGGGGACTTTCCCAGGAATGGGTACATTTCAGGATTGTTTGCAAGAACGTCAGACCTTGAGTCTAGGCCACACCAGCACTGCACCGAGCCTTCTCATCTCCTTTGCATTTCCACAGTGTGCCCTCAGGATAATGAAAACACACGGAAAGGAAGGAAAAGTTTTGGCTGACTTTTCAGGACACATTGTAACAAAAAGATGTTAAAAGAAATCCCTTGACAAAAGAGATGACATAGAAAGGTCAGCACTGGTCAGACTTTAAGCAAAAGGGATGAAAGAATGGCCCAGTTCTCAGTTCCAGTTGTCACTGTCTAAGGGGACAACTCTAATGGCCTTGTTTGTATTGACTGCCATACCCAAACACCCTCCTCTAACATACACAGGCACACATGCAGTGCACATATATACATGCAGACATACACTCATACACATAAAAGCAAACAAAACTAAAGGAAAAATTCTTAAGAAACAGCTAAGATTTAGCTTGAAGCACTGTGGCACATCTGCCCAGAGATTCTCCCTTAGCAAAGGACAAAGGGTCATTTACAAATAGTTACCTCGATTACAGGGGTTTCAGCAATAGCAGTGAGAGTGACTCTGCTTCCCAAAGCCTCTGCTTGCACTACTGTATCAGCATCTGCTGAAAATGGCCAAGAAGTAACACTGAACGTACATCTGAAAATTCCAGGATTTGTGGGTATAAAAAGAATTTTTATCTCTTCTGTGGCATGAGGTCTTATAACAACTTTATTCTTGAAAACCAAGCATGTTTGTGTTGAAAGATCCACCTATAAATAAGAACAATGTGTTATAAATGGCTCTAACTTTCAAGGCTAGTCATTTAGTATAAGATTCCTTTTCCCAGTCAAACTAGGAATTCGTTACATGTTAACACATTATTTGAAAGGTATAATTAGTCCAAAAGCAAAATTCTGATGAGATGACTTGTAGGTAAAAGGTACTTATGTCAAACTTGACAATCTGCACCTAAACCCTGGAACTCATATGGTAAAGGAGAAAACCAATCCCTACAAGTTAACCTTTGACCTCCACACCCGTGCTATGGCATGCATACACCCACCCACCTATACACACACACACACACACACACACACACACACACACAAAATAAATAAATAGTAATAATAAAAGTAAATAGTTCTCACTACACATGCACAGTGTCGACTCCTAGTAGATTTTAAAGTGAATATATTTACCTAAACCCTCACTCTTCAAAAAAGGACACTGAACACAGAAGTACTTCACAGCCCCAGAAACCTGTCTAGGATGATTTCTCTTTCTACATGTGTGTCAAACCTTCCTTCAACCTACAATTCCTTCCTCCAGTTATTTTTTACTTTTATCTCATTTAATGATCTGGTAACAGATGGGAAAGTGAGGAAAATAAGAGACATCAGAAAAGTGATGGTTAATGTTAACTGTCAACTACAAAACCTACCATCTCCTAGGAAATGGCCTCGGACATGCCCGTAGAAAACTATCTTGACTGCTCTATTTGAAGTGGGATCCTAGACTATGCATGCACCTAATGTTCTTATGATTATGAACATGATGTGATCAGCTGCTTTAAGGTCCTACTGCCTTGACTTTGCTGCCATGATGGTACATATTCTAGGACTGTGAGTCAAGGTAACTCTTTCTCTACTGTTTTTGCCAAGAGAATTTGATCACATCAACAGGAAAAGAAGTTAATACAGAGACTATTATTTCAACAGGTAAATAAGGATATTAAGGGGAGAAAGGGAATTAAAAACCATCCAGTGTTGGCTAGCAAGTAGAAGTCACAAAGCCTGGACATGTCACAGCAGAGTTCCTGACCCTACTCCCTACCCATAGCTTACACATGACCATCAGAGTAAGGGAAAATGTACAGTCTCTGACAGCAGCTGTGGTTGATCGTGCAAAATCCTTGCTAGACACTAAAGCTTTCGTTCCCAAAGATTTCAAAAGATCACATAATAAAATTAACAGACAAATTGATAATATTGCTCATACCAAGTGAAGACTAGGCCCAAATAAGTAACTTAGTTCTTTTTTTTTCTTTTTTGATACATGACAATGGCTAATAATCAATTTTATTTAGTAAAACCATGAACTCAGAGCACCCAGTGATTAAAATAATTGTGTTAAGGCAAAACAACATGGCTTTATAAATAAATGATAATGATTAATAAACATTAAAACTGATAGAAAATGTAAAACATTTAGATTTCATGTCTTACACTGTAAACACTACAACAATGAGGGGCTTAAAAAGACCGCATTTCAAAATTATTCCATTGGATAGCTATGTCCTATGTGAGCAACAAAGATTAAAAAAAAAAAAAAAAAAAAAAAAAAAGAGCCGGGCATGGTGATGTCTGCATACCCATCCCAGCACTTTAGAGGTGAAGAAAAGGGGATCAAGAGTCTAAAGTCACCCTTGGTTACTTAGCAAGTCTGAGCTGGCTTTCGTTACATGAGACCCAGTCTGGCAATAAACAAACAAAACTAATTGTAGCAGAGCATGTGTCTGCTATACACCATGACTCTGCACATACCCACAACTTATAAACAGGAAAAGAAAGAATCATACTTATATTTCTATATATGTTATAAAGATGTGAATAGACTAGATATAAACAAGGGAGTGAAAAGGCCAGGCATGGTGGCCACAAAAAGAGTCAAGGGCAGTCTGATCTACAGAGCTCCTTGAAGGCTAGGTAGGGATACATAGGGAACATGTTTAAAAATAAAAAGAAACAAAAACAAAAAGGAGACCAGTAAGATGGTTCAGTGGGTAAAGGTACTTGAACTCACGATGTGGCCACTCATGCACTCAGATTTAATTTGAGGCTTGTTTAACAGAAGGAAATTCACACCAGATACTGTAAACCAAATAAACTCATGATTGAGGGAGGTCACAGGTCCTCCTAGGAAAGCTCACTCCTACTGTTTAGCTAAATAATGTGGTACCAAACTACATGCTAAATATTTAGGCTTAAACCCAAAGACAAATGCTATCCTCGGTCTTACTCAGAGAAGCTTTTCTTTGCAGGGAACAGTGAGGAATGCAAAGCCTCTTGGCTGCTCAAGAAGCTAAGAATAAAAGATAGCTGAGGTCTTGGCGCTAAACAGGAAGGACATTTATACCAACCCCTCTGAGGCTCAGGGAACATTGAGAAAGAGGAGCAGAGAAAACACAAAAGCTGGGAGCTAGAGGAAAGGCTGAAAAAAGACTGTCTTCCAGGAATGCCCCTACAAACATGATCCTCACAGCAGCTGCAGCTGCCTGAACTGGGCCTGCAAAGACTAGCCTCCTAATGCCAATCATGAACTGGGGAGTTGCTCCTGGGGCTCTACCCTTCCCTGCTGAACAACATACAGGCTACTGAAGGATGCACTGTCTTCAGCTTTATACCAACCATGAGCTCACCACACACAAGTGGATAGTTCTAATCCTGTGAACACACATCAGTGAATCACACACAAAACAAAAATGTGAATGTGAGAAAGGACTTGCATGGGGAAGGAAGATGACAATGGTGAGAGGAAGATGAGATGATAGGATGAGAGTAATCAAGGTGTATTATATACGTGTAAAAGGTATCAAAGAACAAATGTAAAAATCAAAACAAAACAAAACCTTTCCAAAAGGGGTGCTGGAGAGAAGTCTCTGTGGCTAAGAGCACTCTTGCAGCAAGCAGACTCAGGCTCAGTTCCCAGCACCCACATGACAGCTCAAAACTGTCCACAACTCCAGGTCCAAGGGATTGGACACCCTCTTCTGTCCTCTTTGGAAACTACACACTTGTGGTGCACACATGCCCCCCCCACACACACAGACACACAGGCAAACACTCATATACATAAAAATGAATGAATCTTAAAAAAATAAAACTTTTAAAAGAGGGAGGAGGGAAGGGGAGTGGGGGAAAAATATATAGCTCAATAAAAAAAATTGTTGGAGGTTCTAAGAAACAGAAGAGAAAAAAAAAAAAAAAAAAACATTTCCAAAGAACAATTTAATCAGAAAAAGGAAGAAAAAAGCAGGGCTGGATCTAGGAGTAGTTAGAGGAAAGGGGAGGGACCAAAACACATAGTATGTATATATTAAATTATCAAAGAATGAAAGACTTTATTATTTAGAAAGGGAAGGAAAAGGAAGTACTTCATTAAAGTGCACTTGTGACGCCCAATGAAAAAGACATAGAAAACTCACCTTCTCGCCATTCACACAGATACTGAGGACTCTGATGTTGACTTGTAGCCAACGGTCAGTTGGGTTGAGGACACTAAGGAGGGTCTGTGAAGCAATACCGACACAGCAAGCATGAGGAAACCTCAGTTCTTCAGGTACTCTGGCATTCCCTGCATAAGAGCAATCAAAATGCAAGTTACACTAAAGATCTGATTGCTTAAAAGGAAACCATTACATAGGCGTGCCTCATTACGCCCACAAACTATAGAATAAAATGCCCTAAAAGTGCATGAATCCTTGACATAAAAAGTCTCAGTGCAGTTGGGTACACGCTTTTAATCCCAGGAGGCAGAAGCAGGCAGATCTCTCTGAGTTTGAGGTCAGCCTGGTCTACAGAGCAAGTTCCAGGACAGGCTCCAAAAGCTACCTTTGAAACCCTGACTCAAAAAAACTGCAAAGAAAATTTTTTTCAGTGGAAGCTGCCAGCAGTTTCTATCTCTTCTATACAGCTCTGGGAAAAATGAACAATGTAATACAAGCAACGCTAATCAAATCAGAATTTACAGCAAATCAAATCTTTGTTGTTGCTCTTATGCCCTTTTCTCCCAGGTTATAAGGCACTGGCAAGTGTAAAGAGACCTCCAGAGGCTCTCCTTCAGATGTGCCTGGCTACACAGTGCCTTCACAGCACTGTCTTACACCTTCTCCCTATCCTCCCACTCAGGGGGGCTATGGTCAATCCCCATCTCCACAGAGGGATATCTGATATCAGGGAAAGCATGCTGTGGATGACAGCAGAGTTCTGCTCCTCACTGTCATCACATCACACCCATGAAGCACCGTGGAAGCTAACTCATTCTGGGAAATGATCATAAACAGGACATTTCCTAATTAAAAGAACAGCAAAAACCAGCAGAGAAAAAGAAACATCAGGACAAAGACAGAAAACTCTCACCATCAGCCTACTGCGGTTCTAAGTCAAGTGCAGTAACCCAGCATAGAAACATTCTGATGCTCTCACTCTCAGACAAAGGAAGAGCTGGTAAGAAAGAACCCAAAACAAACTGAGTGATCACATCTACGATCCTAGCAGTTTGGAGGTGGAGGCTTGCGATCAAAAGTTCAAGGTCATCTTCCCTATGTAGTAAATATGAGTGAAGCCAATCAGGGTCCTGTTTTGTTTTTGTGTTGTTTGTTTTTAAAGGGAAAAATAAAACAGGGGAGGAGGGAGAGATGGTTCATGGCTCAGCAGTTAAGAGAATGTGTTGCTCAATAATGAGGTCCTAAGTTCAAGTCCCAGCACCCATATAAGGCAGCCCACAGCTACCTACAACTCCAAAGAGATCCAATACCCCTCCTTCAGCCACCATGGGCACTTGGGTATGTATGTGTGCAAACAATCTCAAAGATACACACAAATCTTTAAAAAAAATTTTTAATTAAAGAAATTAATTTCAATCAGTGTTTCTTTGAAAAAAAAAAACCAGCTTTGTGGACCCATTTGAGAAAATTCAACTTTTACAGAATAACAAAAAATATGACAAGAAAAGTCATCTTACCAAATCCAGACCTCATCCCCGAGTCCCATGATTCAGTTTCACAGTTTTCACCAACAGACGGCACAGGAAACGGCTTTGCTGTACTCGGGATGCTCTGGTGTACAGCAGTAGAACATAGGTTATAAAGAGAAGAGGGACCCATCATTCCAGAGGCAAGATTTGGTCCTACACACATCCCGGAAGCCACATGTTCTGGCACAACAGGAGGATAAGGAGAATACCCTGAAGTCCCACAGACCTGCATGCCTGCATGGCACTGAGGCAAGGTGGCACTCCCAGATGGAGGGACCGGTCCCAAATACTGCTGGGCCACAGGAGCTGTGTATAGAGAGTGTCCAGTCCAGAGTGCAGGGCACAGAGCAGGCTGGTTCTGTACCTTAGCAACAGAAGCATGAGCTGGAATGTGAAGAGGAAGATTGTGCTGGTTTGCAGAGGTAACCAGGTTAGGAATCTGGCTGCTAGATTCACTGCTAGCAGTTGACATGCCAGTAGATGTTAACCTTTGACCTTGGTCCACAGCCTTCTGGCTCAATACAGGGAGGCTTGGTATGGCTGGCCCAGACCAGTGGCTCAGACCTGGCTTGTTCAGGAGAGCCTGGCCAATCAGGTCCTGTTCACTGAAGCCAGATGTTGATTCTACATTAATGGCTTTCAAGTATTCCCCACTTTTGGAAGAAATATCTTGACTCGATGTAAAATTAGGTTCTCCATCTTCAAATCTGCTACTCAGAGAAGGAGTTTCTGTCACTTTTCCTAAACCAGACTCAACCTGGATAATATGCGGCAATGCTACTTTTTCTGCATTCTGACCTGGAACTTTGTTTCTCAGCTTCTCCATAGTTTCTTCTTCTTCTGGAATCGGACTGGCTCGAACAATGGTTGTGCTCAGTTCACTGGTGAGATCACTCTAAGTGTAACAAATTTTGTTTTTTAATAATTCATAGATTGAACAAAATATAACAGATTCAAACAATGCTGGTATAAATCTCAAAAACATGAAATCTACAAGGTATCTTGAAACACAGAGTGTACAAAGGAAAATAACTGCAAATATGAAATGCAGGCTCACATATGAAAACTGCACCCATTGTTTCAAAAGTCTTATAGTAGTAGTGAAATAAAAGGTAAACATCAGCCGGGCATTGGTGGCGCATGCCTTTAATCCCAGAACTCGGGAGGCAGAGGCAGGAGGATCTCTGTGAGTTCGAGGCCAGGCTGGACCGACAGCCTCCAAAACAGAGAAACCCTGTCTCGTAAAAACCAAAAAAAAAAAAAGGTAAACATCAATTGCATCTAAAACGTTAACATTTTTCAAATTAAAGGATTCATGGTAAACTTTTTAAAAATAATATAAATTAATAAGTAAAAGTATAAGGGGCAGACAAGCTATCAAATGATAGGGCCATGTGATTACAGTCAGTACAACATCAGCTCCCAGACCCTCCCATAACCCTTATTTGTCTATACTATATTAAATATGCTTGAAGACTTAATAATAGGAATATTTTGAGTATTAAACATTTTCCAATTTTTTTAACTACGTTATGGTTCTTTTTTATTATTTCTTTAGAATGTATAACCTGAGGAGTAACAGCTACAGATCTGTAAAAGGAACAGTCAAGAACTAACTAACACACATAGAAGCACACTTAACTCTCATTTATTTTTGAGTATACTGCATATTTATCATGAATCAAAGCTTTAGAAACAAAGATATAAACTGGGCAATAGTGGAGCATGCCTTTAATCCCAGCTCTCTAGAGACAGAGACAGGAGGATCTCTGTGAGTTCAAGGTCAGTCTGGTCTACAGAATGAGTTCCAGTACAGCCAGGACTACACAGAGAAACCCTGTCAGGAAAAAAAAAAAAAAAGAAAGCAAAGATGTAGTAAACAAAAAATATGTCCTCAGGGTGAATTACTAAGTGATAAGCACTGACTTCATACCACAAGCCTTCACAAAGGTGAAGAAAAAAATAGGATTAAAGAGAGCTAGTAAGCAGCAGAGAGGTTCCCAGGGCCCATTATTCAGCAGTTAAACACTGTGCTAAGAAAACAGACTCAGGGGATAGAAGACAGGAATCAGTTCATTTAAAGGAAGGATATGTAACAAAAAGCGTTATGGAACTCCGCTACTTTGTAAACTAATTAAAAATGTAAGTTTTAAAAGAAGTCTGAATGGAGATACCCTGTATGGGCAAACAATGCTTCACCTAGAAGATATGGGTTTGAAAGTTCCAGCGCCAGGAATGGAATATCTCCCTATGAGCTAAAGGTCAGGGAGATCCTAGAGACCCCCAAAATAACATAGGCTACTGCTGCTACTCTTGAGTGCTTACCATAACTAGATGGTAAGAACCTATTAATGAAGGCACAACACACTTGGGTTGCAGAGCATAGGGAAATCAAGCTAGACCTGACACCAGAACTTCCTCCCTACTAGCTAGCCTTCAAAGCACTGAAAAATACTACGCTGACAACAAGAGAAAAGTTATCAATGGACTTATAGTGATGCACCATGTATGCTACAATACTGATCTGCCAAGAGATGCCCTCACTAGGGCAATAGTGGTACTACCGTTACTGGGGTACTCAACTGTTTTCTAACTGGATTTGAGGGCTGTCCATGGGAAGGAACTCATACCTGACACTGTAAGCCTGGTCAAAAGCCCATGGCTAGGGAGGTCATAGACCCTAGGGGAACCTATTATTATTTCACTAAAAGCACATGTTGTCAAACTATCTCCCAAATATTTATGTTTATACCTGTCAATCAATGCTGCTCTCATCCTTGGTCAAAGAGACCTCTTTTTGAAGTGGGCAAGAGTCAAATGTAAAGGCTTAAGTACAAATATATGCATGCATTAATTCATTCTAAAGATAGAACAGCAACACAGAAGTTAAACAGGCCAGAATTCCAATTTGAGTCAAATATCACTAACACTTTTGGCCTTGAAGTCGTACTAAAGAAACAGTCCAAGTGGCACCCACCTTGTGGTCCTCTGAGCTTTCATCAGCAGCTGGGACAGGAAAGGTGTTTTCCTGTTCAGACACATAAGTCAGCCTGCTCATGTCAGCATGGGAACATGCCAACTCAGACAACTCACACTCTGAATGGCGATTCTGGTGATGAGCTAAATCAAGAGACTCTACAGCACACCTGAAAGAGTTACAGAAGCATGGCATTATACAGTCTCCATAAACAATGACCACTGCTGCCTCTCTATAAGCTTCAAGTAACTCAACCACAAACTTGCCATCTTAATTAAAACAATCAATTATATTCCTGCTGATGACCTACCTAGTAAGCTACCGTTAAAGAAAAAGTTGTCTCATTTTCATTAGTAAATACCATATACAGACACATAACAATTAGTTATTCATTTAATAAAAATTTATTGAGTACCTGACATGCAGCAGTTAATAAAACCATTAAAAAAAATCCCTATCCTCAAAGAGCACAAAGAGAAAAAAAAATTAGGTAGATAAAGCAACAAAATGCCTACGTATTGCTAATCAAAAGGTAAAGAGTAGCTTTTGGCTGAACAATTAAGCAGCACCTAGAAAAAGCCCTTTGACTCAAATATTCTATACATGAGCAATTCGTCCAGAAAGAAAAATTAGCAATAAATATAAAAACGCTTCATAAAAGGTATATTTATTGTTAATACAGTAGGAAGCTCAAATGCCACACAAGAGGAATGAATGCAAGGCACAAGCATACAACAAAACTAAAACTCTTTAACCACTAAAAACCATGCTGTTAGGGCTGAGGATGTACTTCAATGGCTGAATGCTTGTTAACATTGCTAACATGTAACAAAACAAAATCCCTAAACCATGCTGCTGAATACTATGCTCTGGCTTAGAATGATAATGACAAAATAGACCAGACAGACAGACAGACGAAAGAATGCTGTTCACAATATAAAATTCAATGGATAAAGACTAGGAATGTGGCACAGTGGCAGATCATGCTCAAAAACCTGCATATTGATCCCTAGTATGAATACAGAAAATGGATAAATAAACAAACAAACAAAATGAAAAACCAGCCTTTGCTATGGAACCCACATCTGTTTACCACAAATACACACTGGCATTACTTCTAGCTTAGCTTATTTTGTTTCTCAGCAGCCATATCAGAGCCTCCAGCCCAGATCTGGGAAGAAGGGAAGCAAGCTGAACAGCTGCAGCCTAAGGAGAGCTGCCGAGATGGCTGAGCTGGATCCCAGGACTGACACATGGAAAAGAAAACCACCCCCTACAGGGCATATGCACCTTCATGAACATGAGTACACTCACAGACAACTATGCATGCCCCATAGCACACAAGTAAATGTAAGTTTAAGAATTTATTCCACAAATGTATCATGAGCGTTCCCTCCTAAGGGCAGAAGGGAATGAAGCAGGAAAAATATTTTTCAGAAATAATGCCTGAATTCATATAGCTTAAAAAAAAAGGCAGCTTGGGAAAGTTAGATTAACTCTCTGAAATCCACTATATTGTAAACTGTAAGATTTTCAGTCATTTCAGTAAGTACTCAAACTTGTCCATTTAAATTTTTCAACAGAGCCAGGTAGTGGTGGCACACACCTTTAATCCCAGCACTCAGGAGGCAGAGGCAGGCGGATCTCTGTGAGTTCGAGACCAGCCTGGTCTACAAGAGCAAGTTCCAGGACAGCTTCCAAAGCCATAGAGAAACCCTGTCTCGAAAAAACAAAAAAACTTTCAACAGAAAAACACTTGAATGATCTCTTATGAAGCCACAAGAGAACATTTGCAGAATTAAAAGTTAAAAGGAAACTATTCATTTTGATATTATCAAAATAACAAAACATGAGGCTGGAGAGAGGGCCCAGAGGTTAAGAACAATGGCTGTAGCCGGGTGCTGGTGGTGCATGCCTTTAATCCCAGCACTCGGGAGGCAGAGGCAGGCGGATCTCTGTGAGTTCGAGACCAGCCTGGTCTACAAAGTGAGTTCCGGGACAGCCTCCAAAGCCACAGAGAAACCCTGTCTCGAAAAACCAAAAAAAAAAAAAAAAAAAAAAAAAAAAAGAACAATGGCTGTTCTTGCAGTGAACCTGGGTTCAATTCCCAGCACCCACATGGCAGCTCACAATTGCCTATAATTCCACAGAGGATTCAATGTCTTCTGGCCTCCTCAGGCACCAGGCACACACATGGTACACTTACATATATGTGGGCAAAATAATCATACACATGAAGTCAAATAATCTTTAAAAGATAGTAAAACACAAATACTATACTAAACAATACTAAAAGACTGAATAAACCATGAAAGTGCCTATCCTAGTTAGCATTAAACTGTCAACTTGTCTGTATCAGGTCGGTATGAAGACCTACCTATCTGTGAGGGACTGCCTTGACTGTCTTGAGTGGCCCCATCCCTAGGCATGGACTGTAATGAAAGACCCCTACCCAGGGCCCCCCTAGGAAAAGAAAAGCAAGGCCAGGCCGTTGCCTAATGAAAGAAACCCTGACCAGGTGTCTCACCCTCAAAACAGGATGTCTGTGATCACTATAGCAGTCATGGGACCCGGATAATAATTGCTGAAGCGTGCTGGGAACTTTCATATGACAATACTAGAAAACCTAGTCCTTGGCAACTACCCTGGCCCCAATTGTGTCTGATCACTATAGCAATCATGGGACCCGGATAATAATTACTGAAGCGTGCTGGGAACTTTCATATGACAATACCAGGACACCTAGTCCTTGGCAACTACCCTTGCCCCCAGTTGTGTCTATGATCACCATAGTAGTCATGGGACCAGGATAATAATTGCTGAAGTATGCCTGGGTCTTTCACAAAGTAATACCAGGAAACTTAGTCCGTGGGAACTACCCCTGCCCCCAAGATGAGCCAATGAAATGCCTGTTACTTATGTAACCATTGAAACTCTATAAATATTGTACTCCCTGAAAGCCCGGTATGCTCTGCATCCGCAGGCGCCTGTGTACTCAATAAATCACCTCTTGCATTTGCAGCCAGTGGTCTGGCCCCGGTTCTTGGGCAGAGGGTTCGGTTCAGTGCCCGGCGCTTTGATGCCAAGGTTTTTCAGTATAGGCTAGCTAAGCATGATTCTTTCAAGCAGAGAGCGAGCCATCAAGCAGCATCCACAAGGTTCCTGCCCTGAGTTCCTAACCTGATGTCCCTCAATGATGGACTGTGACCTGAAAGTGTAAAATGAAATAAACTTTTTCTTTCCTCAAGTTGCTTTTGGTCGGGTGTTTTATCCCAGCTACAGAAAGGAAGCTAAAACAGGCCCATTTTGCATTCTAAAATATTACTTCTAATCATGTTGTTTTCTTTTTAAACAAACAAAAAAGGAAAAGCAGAAAGCAGAATACAGGATCTGAGGAGATGGATCAGTGATTAAAGTGCTTACAGGCAATCCTAAGGGACTGAGTCTGAATGCCCAGTACCCACATAAAGAAAAACAACAACAAAAGCAAACAAACAAAACTCCATGGCAAATATGCATCTATAACAGCAGCATGGGGACTAGAGAGAGGAGGAACCTAATGGCTTACTAGCCAAAGCTTCCTGGCTTGAATAGAAAAATGAGTGAGCTGCAGGCTCTGTCAAAGACCCTTTTTCTCAATATAAAATAAAAACAATTGAAGAAATAGCATCAGTGAGACAGAGGCAGGTAGATCTCTGTTGAATTCAAGGCCAGGTATAGAGCCTCTACTTCAAAAAAGGTATTTTAGTAGCCGGCATTGGTGGTGCACGACTTTAATCCCAGCACTTGGGAGGCAGAGGCAAGTGCATCTCTGTGAGTTCCAGGCCAGCCTGATCTACAGAGTGAGTCCCAGGGTAGGCTCCAAAGCTACACAGAGAAACCCTGTCTCAAAAAAAAAAAAAAGGTGCTCGAGCGACCACCTTTAAGAGATGAACCTAGTCAGGCAGTGGTAGTATACACCTTTAATCCCAGCACTCAGGAGGTAAAGGAAGGCTAATCTCTAAGGTCAAGGCCAGCTTGGTCTACAAAGTAAGTTCCAGGACAGCCAGAGCTACAGAGAAGCCTTGTTTCAAAAAAAAAAAGAAAGAAAGAAAGAAAGAAAAGAAAACCAACAAAAACAACAATAAAAAGAGATAAACCCAAAAATTATTTTTCTTCTTTAATGATTTTTTACAATTTAATTTTCCTATATATTGTTAAACTTAACAATCAAGGTGAGGTATATCTAATCAAAACACATTATATGCCTGTATGAAATTCTCAAATAATGGAAATAAGCAAAAACAAAGTAAGCACGTACCCTGATAAGCTTCCCGAAGTTTCACTAGGAGAAGAATGACTGAGTGGTGAAGTAGACAATCTGAAGCTCCCCTGGTCTTCAAACCCAGATCCACCACTCACGGGAGAGACAGTCTTCAAATCTATTGGAAAGGTATATTCTCCAATAAGAACCAAAAACAGTAACAAAAAGCATACAATTTAAATGTGATCCATCACTGATACTTACCAACCCTTTTAGGTAAGACTATAAAATCTTCTTCAAAAGTGACGTGCTTGTCACTGCTGCTTGTCTCACTGACACATTCTTTTTTCCTTCCGTGTTCTCTATTATCTTGCATTTCTTCACATTTTTCTAAAAGGCGAAGGCATGGCACTCTGCAGTTCCCTATTGACGAGTAACTACCGGGTGTAGGAATGGAAACAGAGGCAGCTTTCTCATTGTTCTGCACATCTGGTACTTCATCAGAGGAGCATGCCTTCCTCCCTATGACTGTGCTGCCATTCTCTCTTACGTTGGTAAGAACTGACTTTGAAGAGGCTATGGTTCTAAGTGACTCTTGGGTTTCACTCTCCACATTTTCACCAGAGAAAACAGCTGCTGAATCTCCTTTGGGTTCCCTTGTACTGGTAGCACAAACATCCACTAGACTGATGTCTTCAACAGTCTGCTGTGTGGGCAAACATAAATCCCAAATGTCTGATGTGCCTGCTCTCACAAAGGACTCCTGCGCACCTTCACAGCCACTGACTTCTGTTTTTGTAAGGTATTTCTCCATGTCAAGCGCATTGGATCTGTTGCTTTTCTCTACATCATTGGTTAACAAATGAGACATGGTGGAACAGTTCTCTTGTGTATCATCCTGGGAAGTCTTGCCTCTTTTTTTATTGGTAAGTGCCTTCATCATGGCAACCAGCTGGGCAGGATCAGTACTCACTGACACATCTGCAATGGCTGAAGCAATGGTGCTTATTCTAAGTACAGAATCTCCACTGTCAGACGTGTTTCTGTGTTCTTCACCTTTGTTATAAATGCATAACGTGTCCTAGAAATAAGAAAACTTCCATTAAATAAACTCACTCTACTTACAAGGACAAATACAGATTAATCTTTATTGTAGTCTTCTCTCACCCAAGGGCTATGTTCCTAGTGCATGTCTGAAAGCACAGATGGCATCCCAAACTATATACACACACTATGCTTATTCCTAGACAGCATACATACCTATGATAAAACATATTTATAAACTGAGCACAAGAAAACATAATGGGAGCCACAGGTACAAACTGAGATGGGCCCAACAGCAAAAACTATAAACTACTATTTATGGAAAACACATATTAAAATATCTACCTCTGGTGACAACAGGATAGGGGATGCTAACCTTCTGCTGAGAATAATTGGAACCCAACAGTATATTTAAAAGTACCCTATTTGCTCAGTATGCTGGCACATGTCTATAATCTCAGCACTTAGAAGGCATAGGCAGGAATATAGTTATTCTCAGTTATACATGAGTTCAAGACCAATCTCGGCTACAAGAGACATTGTCTCAAACAAACAAGAAGGAAGGAAGGAGGGAGGAAGGAAGGGAGGGAGGGAGGGAGGGAGGGAAAAGGAAGCAATTATCAGAAGAATACAAATTAAAACAAAAAAGTACCACTACAGAGGTACTCAAATGGTTAGTAATCCCATTCAGGGAGGAGAGGTCACATGTCAGCATGAATTATTACAGAAGATTGGAGACCCTACTCAAAAAACTATGCCAAAGGTACTTCAGTGTGTGCACAATCAGTTACATTCAACATAGAACAGTGGGGATGTCAGCCAACAAGGCAAAGGTACAAGGTTGTTTACAACATAATGTTGCCCAAATATCCCAAACATTCACTAGCATTCATGTAACAGAACACAGGATACTAAGTAAAACGACCTATTGCATTCCTCTAATGAGTAAGAGCTGAAGCAAAAGCAATCAGAGAAAAAGTACACACTACATAGTTTCTTTTATATAAAATTCAAAAGTGGGCAAAACGAGGGCTGGAGAGATGGCACAGAGGTTAAGAGCACTGACTGCTCTTCCAGAGGTCCTATGTTCAATTCCCAGCAACCACATGATGGTTCACAACCATCTATAATGAGACCTGGTGCCTCCTTCTGACATGCAGGCAGAACAGTGTATACATAATAAATAAATCTTTAAAAAAAATAGGCAAAAGGAACATAGTAAATAATAAGTACTGTTTAGAAAAGGTTTTTTAAAAGAATTCTGAATTATTGGCATTTTTTTTTCTTTTCTTTTTTTGGTTCTGAAGGTAGAAGTTGATACTTCCTACTGGCCAATCAATAACACATGAGACAGGAAAAAACAGTGTAGGCATACATCTCAGTGTTTTTTTCTTGATCTGGGATACACAAATTGTGATGACTCATTCATTTTAAGTCTGTTTTATATATTCTTCTGTATGTACATTATAAATTGATTTTTAAAATGTTCTCATTTAAACAACACTGTAACAAACTTGAAACCAGGAAAATTAGGGCATACATTTTTTACAAGTGGTCTTAGTCCATCCTATTTGAAAACCTTATCAAGATAATATAAAAATTCCTTCAGGAAAAGTTTGCGCTACCTCTGCCTTGCTTTGATTGGCAGTTAGAGTCACATCGTTTTCATCCACCTGGGAAGCGCTCTGCAGTTCTTCAGCCTGAAGTGTAACTGATCCTTCACTTAGCTGTGCCTGGGAGAGTTCACTTAAATTTCCTACAGGAAATAAACAATGTTCAGTTTAAAGGCATGTATGAGCCCTCATTAATAATCTGAGATAAGGAAGTACCAGTCAAAATGATTGTCAAGAAAATATCTTTGTACTGCAAATATAACTTGTCCTTAGTAAGAGTGCTTAAATGATAGTCATCTAGACAAGGCCAGGCTTTGAAGGAAGGCTCTGGATTTTAATCTCCCCTACAAATATTCATATAAACTAATTTAATATATTTTGGCTTCAAATACTGATTTCAAAATTACATACTTCTTCAGCATGATAAAAAAATGAATGAACTGCCCAAATAAGCCCTTTGTCCTGTGTTGGAACTCAGGCTCTGTAAGAATGGGCACATCTTGGGGATATGAAGATGGTTCTGTGGTTTAAAGCACTGGCTGATCTTCCAGAGGACCTGGATCGATCCTTGGCACCCACTTAGCAGCTCACAACTGCCTATAACTCTAGTTCTAGAGGATCTCCTAGCCTCCATGGATACTAGGCATACACATGGTTCACAGACATACATAAGACAAAGCAACCATACACATAAAATAAAATAATATTAAAAAAGAATGGAGCACATATTATTCAACATCATATTCATGCAGCAAAAGGCATTAGGTTAGCAAAGAGGAATGGCTCAACAACTTAGATAATCAAGAAAGTCTACGGAAAGTATTATCCATTAGCAGGGAATGGTGACACACATCTTTAGGATCTCTGAGTTCAAGGCCAGCCTGATCTACAGAGTGAGTACAGGTCAGTCAGGGATACACAGAAAAACTCTGTCTCGGAAAGTCCAAAAAAAACAAAAAAACAAAAACAAAAACTTTTCCACAGATAATCACAGGAATGTTATGTAATATATAGACTATTACAAATTTCAATGCATCTCTTTAAAATCTATCTAAATGATAAATATAATTCCTACTATTCCTTAACAGCAAAAATTTAATAAGCCAAGCTTAACTAGGCCATTTGAAATTATTTTCATTTACTAGTAATTTATACAAAAATTTGGATGGATTTTTGCTTTCTTCATTACTGTCAATTGAAAAGAAAATGTCAAGTTATATGAATAAATATCAAATCTGTGCCACGAGGTGGTGGCACACGCCTTGAATCCCAGCACTCAGGAGGCAGAGGCAGAGGCAGAGGCAGGAGGTGGTTCTCTGTGAGTTCGAGGACAGTCAAGACTGTTACAGAGAAACCCTGTCTTGAAACCCCCACTCAAAAAAAAAAAAAAAAAAACCCTCAAATCTATAACCAATGTTGAAAAGTTAAAACAAGGTTTACGTCTTCACCCACAGAAACTTTGATCACACGATTCACATGACTACAAGACAAAAGTCCCTTCAAGTCTTTCGTTTAATCCACTACCTGAAAATAAATCATGGTGAAGATGAGTCATTTCTTTTTCCAAATTACTTCTTGACACATCAGATTTTAGTAATGCAAAGGGTTCTCTCTCCTCCGGTGATGTAATAAAATAACCAAATGATGGCTGCAAAAACAAACACAAATTAATCTTCTTTAATTTCCAACCACCTTGAAAAGCTCTAGATTACTTTATAATACTACTAAAACAACAAAATGACTTCAACCAATCAGTTCTTGCCATATAACTTCAAGTCCAGACAGAACCTTCAAGTTGGTTCTCCGTAGAAAGACCTGGGTTCCACATTCAACACGGAGAGAGGAGGAGAAGCATTAGACAAAACCTTTTGTTTCTTCAATTCTAGCTACCATTTAATCATTGTAAGTGACGTTGTGAAGTAAGCCTTCCTAACAACTCAGATGTGACACATCAAGTCAGTCTTCACTAACTGTAATTATGAAGAGTCACTATGAATTAGGCACTGTTCTGAATGGGAGGGCAAAAATGTTGTAGAACTTAAATATAGCATATTCTGCTCTGTAGATTCTGCAGAAAACACGCCTTGAGACTAAGCATACTCCCATTGACTTTCATGGAAGTTTCACAAAGACCCAGGCTCAATCAAGCTTGTTAAAGAGAGCTAAATTTGCACTTTTTTTTCAAGACTTTGATACCACAGATCTAAAATATGAATTCAGTATTCTGGTTGATATTCATTTGGAAGTTTCTTCCCTTGATCCAGTAAATTGAATACCAAAATAAAACTTCTGAGTCAGACCACTTTTCCTAAGATCTAATGCTGTGTTCATCTGTTTAGGAAGGAGTTCAGAAAGCTATGCATGGTGGTACCTGCTTATAATGCCAACACTTAGGAGGGAGCAACAAGACAGATCTCTAGGATTTCAAGGCCAGTTTGGGCTACAATTTTCAGGTTCTCCAGGGCTAACTACATCCACTACATTAAAAAAGAGTTCACAAGCAAGAATAATGGCACACAACTACAATCTGAGGGAGATAAAAAACTACAAGTTCAAGGCCAGCATGGGCTACATAGTAAGACATTGTTTCAAAAACAGGACAAAACAAAATATCTTTGCTGATGGTCAGAATAAATGAATCCCAGCTTTAACTATTTAACAATATCAAAATTTACTCAGTGTATACTTGTGTTAATTGCTTCATATGTAGCAACAAAATTTAATCTTATGACATCCTATAAAACAGCACTATACCTTGGAAAGGGAGAAATTAAGACATAGAAGACAATTGTTCAATGTCACAGAGCTAGTTAAGAGGCAAAACCAGAACCAAAGCCAAGTCTGACTGATCATAAAAAGTAAGCTTTTAACCACTATTCATTCTACCAAGTTCCTCGCCTGTCTCTGCCTTAACGTTGCTATGCTCTAACTATACCATCACAGTATTCAAAGTAAAAGACCTGGTACTGTGATCCCTCTACCAAAACTTGTACTGAGGTTTGGTCCCCGGTATAATGGTGTTGCCAGGTGGTAGGGACTTTTGGAGGCTTTTGGTCCAAGAAGTATGTGCTCTCAAGAAGACATTGGGGTAACTCTCAGAAAAAGTGGTCAAGTGAAGGCAAAAGTGAGTTGTTAAGTAAGCCTTTAATCCCAGCACTTAGAAGGCAGATCTCTCTGTGACTTCAAGGCCAGCCTGGTCTACAAGAGCTAGTTCCAGGACAGGCTCCAAAGCTACACAGGCTTCTAAATCCTGTCTCAAAAAACCAAATAAATAATAAACAATAAAATAAAATAAAGTAAGTCTGGTTCTCTTTCTTCCTATTACACACAGATGCCTCTCACATGCCCCCACTTCTCCATGAGGAGCTGCTGCAACAGCAGAGGACCCTCACCAGAAGCTGATGAGGTGCAGCCATCTGATCCTGGACTTCCCAGCCTCCAATACTGAGAGCCAAAAACGAGCTTTTCTGTATTTCTTGTCCAGACCCGAGTGCTATGTGACACCACTGTGACAGGAGTGACTTCTACCACTTTCTATACGGGGCACACTTACTCTTTTCACACTGCTGCCACCACCAAGACAACCAAGAGCCTCGGATCTCTCTGCGAAGAACTCTCCTAATGACAAGCGTAGGTAACTGCCCTCATCTTTGTCCAGAACTGACGTGCCAAGGGATTTCCTCAGCAAACGGTAGTCAACTGTCGCTACCCACGATGTATCACCAAGTGCAAGGGAAGCATCCTGAACATCTATTTTTTCCTCCTAGAAAAAAATAAAGTTATTGTTCCATTTTTCCCCTCAACAAGGCTTCTTATTCTTCTAATGTGTGAAACTAAAAATAAAAGAACTAAGGAAACTTAAAAATGAACTTTTTCAAAATGTGGCCTGTAACCTTTAGATAAATATAAGGATGAGCAGCTACTGAAGTCTACAAAACTCATTTTTGTATACATTATAGTAAGCACTGTCTGAATATATTAATCAAACACTATCACAGATTAGAATATATACATCTTTACCAAAAATAAAGAGAATTACCTTGCTTAAAATATGTTTTTAAAAACACAGAAATATCCACAGAAATTTTAGGAACTCTTAGTAAATTAAAATTTCGGGGCCAGAGAAACAGTTCAGTGGCTAAGAGTGTGTGCTACTCCTCCAGAGGACCCCAAAACCACTCTCAGCACCCACATCTGATAGCTCACAGCTGCCTGCAATTACAGCTCCACAAAATCTGATACCTGTGGCCTCTGAAGTTACCTGCACTCACATGTAGATACTTAAACATACACACACACAATTAAAAGTAAAACAATTTAGGCCAGCAGCCTGACAACCTGAGCTTGACCACCAGGACACTTGGTGGAAGGAGGAAGTCAACTCCCAAGAGATGTCCTCTAACCTCCCACACATGTGCTATGGTACACACATGCTGGCCCTAAGTATCCCTACCACAGACACACAATAGATAAATAAATACATAAATACACAAATACATAAATACATAAATAAATGCAAACCTTTTTAAAATTACGATATAGTCATGGTTTTGTTGCTATACCTGTTATATGCAGTACTGGAAATGAAGTACGGGCTTTCACGCAACAGGCAAGTGATATGCCAGTAACCTACACTCCCCTCCAAAGATATATTTTGCTGTATCAGTTTTCAACTAATAATTTAGAACAAAACAGTGAAAGTTGTCATTAAATGAAAAAAACGTGAAATAATTCTAGAGTAACTGCTGGGGGAGGATCTTTTTTTCTTTTTTTGTGGGGGTTTCTAAATTTAAATACAACAAAAAATTTAAACCTAAGTTAGAACAAGTAATTACAAACCTGTATAAATGGATGTTCTTTATTGAATATTTCTTCATCTTTTGCAATTAAATCCAATGCTTCAGCTTTAAAAAGAACAAGTTTATACAATTACATTATCTTAGCACACACAAAAATAAAATTAGGGAAATGAAATACTAAGGAAATACTGTTTTTCATGGGGATAGGTACGCATGTTGGCAGTCACACCTCTGCAGGTACTCTTGTCTGGTAGGACGGCCAGAAGTCAACTTTGGATGTCTCTCTGTATTGACCCAAACCTCTTTTCTGAGACAAGGTCTCTCCCTGAACCTGAAGTTCACTTTTCCACTACAATGGCTGGCTAGCAAGCCCCCGGAGTTTTATCTCCAACCCCAACTAGGGTTATAAGTGCTGCACACCCCCTACCACCTTCAGTTTTACATGAATACAAGGAATCAGAACTCAGGCCCTCATGCTTACACAGCAAGCACTTGCTTCTAGCCACTGAGCCACCTGCTTTTAGCCAATGTAGTTCTGAAATACAATGTTTTAAGTACGTAAGACTTGCATCACATGACTTACATAATTATATTAAGTATGTAAGGCTGTCAAATTTCCACTAAAATGTACAACACTGTAATACTGCTGGTATTAAAGGTGTGTGCCACCACTGCCCAGCTTGAAGGGGATTTTAAACATGCTAACTCCCATGAGACCAGGCTCTGGTGTACTTGTCTGTGGTTTAGGTCTCTGCCTGCTACTTCAAGATCGTACAAAAAGGGGAACAATGAACTAGAAGGGACAGTCTCATGGCCCAAACAAGGACACTGCCCTCTTCTGTGCCCACAAACAACTGGAGACACAAATGAGAACAGGCACACTTCTGCTTCAGGTAAGGAAAATCAGAGAGCCAGGTACAGCTCAGATTCCTATTGCCAGAATGATGTCTGCTGAAGCAATCACCATAACAGTAGACCTATGACTGAACATCAAGAGAACCATGAAGCCCTCAAAATTAGATGAAAAATAGTATAATCTATACAGACATGTTTCTGTGGATCTCCAACTCAAAAAAGCTAAAAACACTATAATGTGAAAGCATCAACCAACCAAACCCAGCAGTCCAAAATGGGCAAGTAGGAAACTCAGCCCATAGGAAGATAACCTTAATTTGCTTGCATGAGTTAAGCATTACAGTGTTTAGAAATCAATGGATTGATACCTCAAAATACTACTTATTATATTTCAAAGTGCTTTTCCTAATGGATTTCTCAGTTACTTATCTACAATACTCACTCTAGTGTTGCCTTTTCTGCTTCTCAAAAATCATCCATGAACATTATGGAAGAAAAGTTTCATATTTTTAGAAAAATATAAACCTAATTATTAACTAACCTGAAATAATAATCTCATTTGTCATTTGATTTTTTTACTGGTTAATTATTAAAGTAGTCCTTGTGTCTTTCCCTAAAAGTTTACTTGCTAGAACAACAAACAAGAGTAATGTTAAACTGCATCCTTTGTTTCCTTCTACCAAGCCCTATAACTATTTTCTACATCCTTTGTATTAATTCCAGAATGCAATTGTATTTCAGAAAGTATTTTATATGACTGACCAATAAAAACTGACTAGTCTCAAAACATCATGAATCTGACACAATAAAATTGGTTATCTACATACTTACTACCAGATCTGAAGTCTTCATTCATTTCATTACTTGGAGACATCTGTAAATCTTGCTGATCAGTAAAAGATGTGTAGTAGGCAAGGTCAGTGACCCATTTGCCATCCTCATTTTGGTAGACTACGCTCTGTGAGAGATCTGTTTCTAAAAAGCAAATTTCAAAACCACTGAATGATGCACATAACAACTAACTTACTTAACAATAATACTGAAGTCTGCTCTAAAATGAGTAAAAAAAAAAAAAAAAAAAGAAAGAAAATTCATTTCCCAAAAAGAAAAACTATCTCTCTGATGGCAACAAGTCAAACTTACCCAGAAGTCTATAATGGAGGATGAGGCATAACAGGGAAAAAGACTCAGAAAGCCCACATTTGTGGGGCTGAAGAAATAGCACAGAGGTTAAGAACACTGGCTGCTCTTCCAGAGGATCTGGGTTTAATTCCCAGCAACCACATGTTGGCTCACAACCATATTGAAATCTGGTGCCAATTTCTAAAATGCAGACAGAACACTATATACATAATAAAAAAACTTAAGTTTGCACTAGATGTCTGCTTAACATTATTATTTCTGAGCAACAGTCATACAATAGCAGCACATTTTAAAAGTCTTTAAAGTTCATAATAGCATGAGGAGGAACTCATAGGGTCCCACCATGCTCAGGGGAACCAATAGCAATCAAGGGCTGGGGATGGAGAGGGCACCATAACCATTTTCTTTATCAATGTAACCACTCCAGAAGACAGTCTCAAAACCCACACACTGGCTTTAGTTAAACCCAAAGGGACACAAAGTAAAAACACACAAAAGACATCAAACTTGGTAGGGAGGAGTTTGTGTGAGAGCAGGGTAAGAGGTAGAGGGATAAATGTGACCGTAATGTATTTAGTGGTTGTGAACTCCAGGTTTTTGGGAGACTCCCAACAGTGGGAGTAAGAATTCCTGACTCTTTTGCCTGCACGGGGGACACTTTTCCTCTTATTTGGCTGCCTCACTCAGTGTTGCTATGAGGGTTTATACCCAGTCTTATTGTAGACTCTTATGTCGCATATGGTTATATCTTACTGTATACTAATATCCCTGAGAGGCCTACTCTTTTCTAATGAGAAATGGAGGAGCAGTGAATCTGGAGAAGAGGAAAGGTGGGGGTGGGGCACAGGACTGGGAGAGTGAAGAGAGAGAAGACTGCAGTCAGGACGTAGTGTATAAAATAATAATAATAATCTGTTAAAGAATAATTTTTTAAAATCCATGAAAATACTAAAATACTTCAGAGAGTTTTACATGGAAGCTCAGCCTATTCTAAATATATAAACATTTATATACTTCTTTAATTCTGTTTATGATGAAATAATTACTTACTGTCATTAGGCTTTGTAACAGACTCATAATATTCACACGCTCTCCTTTCACAAGTTGGTGACCAATTCATTCCATTGCCACCATTAGTCTTTGAAGATGTAATGCAACCAACTTTCTGAATAAACACTGTAGGAGTCTCTGTGCTTAAGCCTCTATCCACGTTTAAAACTGTTTCTAAACCTGAAGCCAAATCTTTATCTTGGTGAGAAGACTCTGAATCCTGTTTTATGGAGTCAGCCGGGTTAAAGCCACCTTTCGAAGAGTTCATGTTGTGACTGTAAGTCAGGTTGAGTGTCTCATCCACGGTATGCTTCATCTTCCCCAGAACATCCTCTCCTGTACATCCCTTTAAAAATTATTAGCAAAATAACAGTAAATTTTGTTTGTCACACTTTTTTAACACTTGATGAAGAAAGCAATGTGACTGCTAAAACATGCTTATTACATAATTAAACCGCCTCCATAGCATTCAGTATATCCTGGACTATGTATGAGCCAAAGTTAAGCAATTTACCAAAACCCAATTTTAAAATATGGCCACATTCAAGTCTATTTGCAGATGCATTATGGATCCTAAGCTGAGTGTTCTCATCTTAGTTATTATAATTTTAAAAAAGGAGAAGGATGTTCATGGACTGACAGTCACTACTGTGCCTCATCACCTGGGGCCCAAAGCTGATGCTAGCTGTGGCAGAATCCAAACTTTTCAATCTCTTTAAAGATGATGTCTTGCTAATATGCTGTCAGACCAGGACAGCCAGGACTACACAGAGAAAACCTATCTTGAAAAAAAAAAACAAAAAAAGTCTTCCAACAATGGACTGGATCTCCTTAAACCACTGTCCAAAATAATCTTTCCTTTCTTCAGCTGCTTTTGTCAGGTCAAGAGGTCAGTTACTACACAGCCTTAGACTGGGAGAACTAATTCAGTCTAGGTAAGGAAAGGTGGGGAGGGGAGCTAGGCTAGACAGACACACACTACTAAAATCCAGACACACATAAAACTAGGAATCAGAAATGGCTACCATGTTTCAGGACAGGAAAAAAACAGGTAGCAAAAGTCTAACATGAAAAGCAAACATGCTTGAGCAAAGTAAAAAGGCAATGATTGCTTTCATGGTGGTTTTTTATTTATTTGTTTGTTTTTGTTTTGAGACAGGTTCCCATGTATCCCAGACTGGTCTGAACTCGGCTATCTAGCTGAGTTGACCTTCAAGTTCCAACCTTCTTGCCTCCACCCTAGTGCTGGAATTAAATGCATAGACCACCACCCCCAGAGCCAGCCATGTGCTTTATTAAATGATAACAAACAAAGTCAAACAAATTTTCAAATGAATAACCTAATTGCATGACATCAGATGTTTAAATCTAAGAAAATGTATACAATTGCTTGTTAGTGATACCAAAGATACACACAATCAAACACAAATCATATGAGTAGTGATTTTTATATGTTTCCATATTTTCAGAAGCTAACAATGGTGGTTTGTTTTGAAAATCTGGTATCATACAAACATGGGAGATTCATGGGAAGTTGAAATAAAATGCTCATCAACTTACTCTGCTTTGATCTGGAACAATATCCTTCTCAGTTCTCCGGGTATGAGAGGAAAACGGTAACACATTATCTACTTGCTGTACATTATCTACAATACCTGCATAGCCACCTGAAATAAAGAAAAAAGGTTAAATGAAACAATATCAGAGTTGAGGTAGTCTAATGCAATGTCTCTTTAGCTTAATACTTAGTATTCATATGACAAATTTAGCAAATTGTAAACAAGTGAAAATAAGCATCAGTAAGGAAATAAACATAAGAAACCTGGTAGCATAAAGAAAGTTGATTTCTAATTCTCAAATGTCTAAATGAAACACAACCATGTAAAATGGCCAACAAAAGAACATACTATTGTACTTCAAGCAGTACCAATTTACACGGGCATTATTATAACTTTTTTTTTGGTTTTACGAGACAGGGTTTCTCTGTATTGTTTTGGAGGCTGTCGGTCCAGCCCGGCCTCAAACTCACAGAGATCCGCCTGCCTCTGCCTCCCGAGTGCTGGGATTAAAGGCGTGCGCCACCAACGCCCGGCCATTTATAACTATTTATTGTGCAGGTAGTGATTGACCTTCTGCTCAGGTATTAAAGTTATCTAATAGCAAACCATAACAAAGATTTATGACCAAAGGAGAGCCAGATATGGTGGCTCATTCCTAAAATTTCAGCAGTCAATAGGCTAAGGCTGCAAGATTGCAATGAGTTGAAGTTTATCTGGATATACAATAAGATCCGGCCAGCCTAGATTAATATATAAAACCTAGCCTCAAACAAACAAAAAAAAGTCATACTCAACACTTACTGGTCCTCAGCAGACAACCATGGCCTTCCTCAAACTCTCTGTGAGTTGTTCCAGAACTTCCTGAAGCATATGCATCATGGGAAATCAGAGAGCTGTTATTTTCTAACTGGAACTCATAGTTTAACATACTGTTTTCATTTGCCTGTTAAGAAAATATCCTCTTTTAAATTAAAAAAGAACATTTTGTGGAAAATGTGGAGAACAGAAGTCTGCTTTACTGAGCAATGCCAAACAGAAAATAAGAAAAATCAGAAAAAAAAAATCATGGCAAGCACTAGTGTAATTAACACTTTATTCCAAAAGGCTTTACCACCAGTTCGCGAAGACTTGCTGGAGACAGGATGTTTTCAAGCCCTTTATATGTCATCACACAGATGCTTCAACCACAAAGGAAAAAGCATCTGCATTAAGAGACATATGACCAACAATGACATTATCAAACACAAAAATGGTAGAAACAACAGATGCATCTTCTGCTGTGAAGTAGTGAGTACACAGCACCACATATGTTTAATCAACTTGTTCATGGGAAAAATGGATCACTAGAATTCTTCCAAATGTTTAGCCTATTCTAATCAGGGAAAAGAGTAATCACAAGTTTCCAGGTTATGGGGTCATTCTACAAAACAAAGAGCCTCAATTTTATAAAATACTTAATATATGGAAGAACTACAAGTTAGAATAAAGAAACCCAAGAACTACAGGCCATATAACCTTTGTGAATCATAAACAGTAAAAACTAAAGAATATTTTAGAGATCACTGGGCAAGTTTGAACACAGACATTAATTTAAAACAATGTATCAGGTGCTGGAGAGTTGGCTCAATGGTTAAGAACTGCTGTGGAACAACGCTTTTCTACACTATGAATATGTATTGCTCTCATTGGTTAATAAAAAGCTGGCAGGTCTGTAGCTGGACAGGAAGTTAGGCAGGAAAGCCAAACTGAGAATGATGGGAAAGAGGGTGAAGTCAAGGAGACACCAGCCAGGCACTGAAAAAAAAACAGGGTGTGTGGAAATGAGCTAACAAGCCACGAGCCACATGGCAATACATAGATTAATTAACAGAAATGGGTTAATTCAAATGTAAGAGATAGCTAGTAACAAACCTGAGCTATTGGCTAAGCATTTACAAGTAGTATTAAGCCTCTGAGTTATTTGGGAACCAGCGGTGAGGACAGGAAACTTCCAATTACAAAGAACACTGGCTGGTAGTCTAAAGGATTTGTGTTTGGCGCTAGAACCTAATCATCTGCAACTGTAGTCCTAAAGGATCTAATACCCTATTCTGGATTCTGAGGGCACCAGGCACGCAAGTAGACCACAGACTAAACACCCACACACATAAAATATATTTTAATTTTAAAATACAGCATCAAAGGTAGATTACTAGCATTATGATTATGTGGGAAAATGCCTCTTATTCATTGGTAATAAATTCTAGTGTACTGTCACAAATCATACGCAATTTGTTTTCAAATGATTCAGAGATTAAAAACTGCTATGGCAACAAGATGTTAATTGTTCAATGCAGAGAAAGGATGCCTACTGACCATACTTCCTTCATTTTCCTGCCTTCTTGCATGTGACCCAAGCTAACCTTAAATCCCAATCCTCCTGAATCAACTTCCCAAGTGCTAGAACTCATAATTTCCTTTTCACTTTCTTAGTTGCAGGCAAAGTAAGAGAAATCAGAGAGAGACAAATCAAATTTTTCATCAATTTTAAGTTCACAGAAAACCACAGGCTTAAATTTAATGTTAACAAGAAATGAACTAGGTGTGGTGACACACAATTCTAATCCTAGCAACTGGACAGGTAGAAGCAGATGGATGAGGAGTGCAGGATCATCCTCAACTACAAATTAAGCTGGAGGCTAGCATGGCCTACATGAAACTACATCTCAAAACAAAACAGCAACATAAAAAATCTAACCAGACAGACAGTAGTTTACAGCATCAAATAAAAAAATAAAAAAGACCTGGACATACTAGACTGAAATCACTTACAGGTAAGCTAAAAACATTTTCTGGTGACTCCGGTCCTTCTGCTTCATATATCATCCCTGGAACAGCCAGTTGTTCAAAATATGCTTCTAAATGATCATCATAAAATTCTTCATCATTAATATCATCATCTATTGATAAAGCAGAATGAAATATAAGGTAGGTTTTCAAGTAGGAACTGAACTACACATAATTTTCAATCACAAAGGCTGACAAGACGTAAACAGGGCAGTGAATGACAATGTTTTTATGCTTAGCATAACAAACTATCATAAAGCCAGGTGAGGTAGTGTATACCTATAAACTCCTAGCACTTGGAAGGCAGGAACAGAAAATGATTGTAAACTCGAGGCTACCCCAGCCTACAGAGCAAGTTTCAGGACAGTTACAGCTACACCATCTGTCTCAAAAACAAAATCTGAGAAGTGGGAGAGGGTTTAGGATACAATTCAGTGTGGTAGAGTGTCTAACATGTAGGAGGTCCAGCGTTAAGACAAAAAACCAAGAAGGCAGAAAAAGTGAAAGAGCGAGAGATCAAGAGAGCAAGAGAGGTTGTCCGACATAGTTATCTGTGAAGCAGAAGGATCATGAGCTCAAAGCCATGTGAGCCACACAGCAAGACCTTTTCACTTGAAAATTAAATAAAAATAAGAATAATGCTGGGTGTGGCAGCCCACACTTTTAACACTTAGGAGGTAGAGGCAGGCAGATCAGTGGTGAGTTTCTGGGTAGTATTATCTACCTACGGAATTCTAGACCAGCCTACACAGCGAGACCCTGTCTCAAAACAAACAAATAAATAGCCATGCCACTCACAATAGTAAACAGAGTCTTGCTAAAGGGAGAAGGAAAAAAAGGAGGGGGAGGGGGAAAAAAACCAAAGTATAATGAACACTACAATACAGACAAAAAGAAAAGTGGCAAAGGAAAGGCAAAAAGCACAAGTCATTCTGTAGTACCAGAGGAATCTTCCAGGTTTGTCAGTGTTAAAAGTTTCTCATTTTCTAATAAGCTGATATGGCTGAAATCACTGTTTGGAGTCTTGTCTTCAAGATGCTTCCTAGCATCAGTCATGACGATCTAAAAGGAAACAAATGGTAGAAGGCAACAAAAAAGACCAAGTATTTAATCTGCAATCCAGTTAATAAGTGAAAAATACAGGTCAGTCATTGAACAATTCTGGGCTTTTCATGGACTACTAACTTCCCTTCTAGCCCTACTCTACTTCCCTGCATTGACCCACCTTAAAATGCAGGCCCTATCAAACTGCTTCCACAGCTTACAAATCTAGTAACATAGTTAATATGCCACACAACTGAATTTGGGCGATACAAGGCCTGCTACAAGGACTGAATGTACTAAGAAAGCCGGAATAAGTAACCTTAATCCAACCAATCTTTCCTATCATTTTTTAGGACGACTTATTTCTCTTCCTCCCAACCTAAAGACCAGCTAACACTAAAGGGTACAAGCAACGTACCAAAAACAGTTATAGCCCAAAATGAAAACTTAACACTTCCTGGTGTCACTTATTTCACACCAATATTTAATATATATTAAAACAGCAGATAATTTAAGAGCTAACTGCAAAATATGCCTAATTTTAAGATTTAAAAACACTGCATGTCAATGTGATTTTACATTTATACAAGACAGGATTCAGCTAATTCAATAAATACCTAAGGCACAGGCTGGTGCCAGAACAACTTTTATTATATTATTTTTTGAGACAGGGTCTCACTATGTGGCTGGCTTGCTGTACAACAGGCTGGTCTTGAACTCAGAGACCAAGTGCTAGGATCAAAGGCAAGCACCACCATACCCAGAGAAAACAACCTTTGAATCCCCTTATTACTAGATGTAAACCCACCCCACGCTGTTTTTTAGATAGAAGATGATGATCAGTGTTTCAACTTGACATTAGTTAGACTCACTTAGGAGACAGGTCTCTGGGCTTGTCCACTGTGATTACCTTGATTGCATTAATTAAGGTGAAAAGACCCACATGCTGTAGGTGGCACCATTCCCTAAGCAGGGAATCCAAGATTGAATACAAGTGGAGAGAAGCAGGCATGGCAGCACAGGCCTTTAATCCCAGCACTCTGACTCCTGGTCAAGGAGCAGAGACAGCTCTAACTCATGCTCGAAAATTAAATAAAAAATAGAAATAAAAATAATGCAGCCAAGCAGTGTCATATGCCTTTAATTCAAGCACACAGGAGTCTCGGGTATCTCTGAGTTTGAAGCCAGCCTGGTCTACAGAGTGAGTTCAGGACAGCCAGAACTGTTTCACAAAGAAACCATGTCTGGAAAAACAAAAACAAACAAAAAAGCTGAGTCTGGCAACCTTTAATGCCAATACTTAGGAGGCAAAGGCAGGCAGATCTTTCTCTGTGAGTTTAAGGCCAATCCCCTCTACATATCAAGTTCCAAGACAGCCAGGACTACAGAGAGACCTTGTCTAAAAAAAAAAAAAAAAAAAAGTAGAGAAAGGAATCTAAACCCATGCATGCATGCATTCACTGTTTTCTGTTCCTGAATATGGATTTCATAAGCAACCCACTCAAGCTCCTACTGCTATAAATTCCCAGTTATAATGGATTAAAATGTGGAATTGTGAGCTAATATAAACTCTTTCTCCTATGTTTTCATTAGGTGTTCACCATAGCAACAGGAAAGGAACTAGGACAGAGACTTCCCATATAGCCAAAGCTGGAAAGATATACCAAACACTGCTAAATTTCCAATTTTGCTACAAAAGTCCTGTTATGTACAAGGTTCTGTGTGTGTGTGCATGTGTGTGTGTGTGAGAGAGAGAGCGCGCAATATGAACTTCTACTCCATTACAGCACTCCAGACATTGATAGCAAATATATAAAAATTTACCTTGTGTTCTTGATTATTCATCCATGATTTCACGTGAAAATCAAGAGCTGGGTCTATTTAAGAAAAAACAAAAATTTAGGGGTGAGATTATTTTTCAACACAATTATAGTTATAAGCAACAATAAATGAACTACACATTTTTACATCTTGAAACAGAATAGAAGCATATTCAGATGATAATATAGAAATCTGTCATTAGCCAGCTAAACTTTTAAAACTATTAGGATGGGATATCATAAAATTATACACTTGAATATCAATCTAATTATATGTAACGGTAATTGATGGGGGATGTCCTGTATTCTGTGAATATATGTTTTTCTTATTGGCTGATGAATAAAGCTGTTTTGACCAATGGACAGGCAGGATGTAGCCAGGCAGAAAGTACAGGTGGGGCTACCAAAGTAGGAGAATTCTGGGAAGAGGAACTCAGAGAGTGAGTCTAGAGACAGAGACACCATGTAGCAGCCAAGGAAGAAAGAGGCCTGGGCATGCCAAGACCATGTGGAGATACACAGATTTAAGAGAAATGGTTAATAATTAAGAAAGAGCTGGTCAATAAGAAGCCTGAGCCATCAGCCAAAAAGTTTATAATTAATATAAACCTCTGTGTGTTTATTTGGGAGTGAACAAGTTTTTGTGTAAAAAAGTTTAGTAAAGGGGAGAGAAATGACACCCACATAAGCTAACAGACAAATTCAAACACAGAAATAAGCTATCAATGACAGGCCTCCCATATGTCAAAAAGCCTGGGCATACAGGACAAAATAAATATTCTTCAGACATCAATCAAGCACATCAATAGGTGTAGGGGGAAACTTAGGACTCCACCATTAGCCATGTGGCGCTCTAAAGACACATACGGATGTGGTAATGAAAGGGCGGAACTGCACCGCTAACCACACCCACTTTAGGCATGACTAGAGACAGAGAGGAGGAACTATGCCACTAGTCAGACCCACTTTTGGGCGTGGCTAGGGGCATGTACAGAGGAAGGAATAAAAGACTGAACAGCAGAGCGCTAGCTCTCTTTCAGCTTCCAGTTTGGTGGTGGAAAACTACTCGACTCATCTGGGTTCCTCGTTTTCTCTTGTGAGTAATTTCTATGATAAAGTTACCTATACCCTCAACAAGTGTGCCGTTTATCATTGCAGCATCAAATAGGGACTGCCAGGCTAGATCATAAGGCAAGGTTTACATTTACCAACTGATAATAGCACTATGACCATACAAGAAAAGGTTAATACACTTATGTTGTCTAAAATACATAGAAGAAAATAACACCTGAAACTTTACAGTGTCAGAGATGGTCATTAGAGTACTGGAGTACAGCTCCATGGCCAGTGCATGCTGAGCATGTGTGAGCCCTGAGTTTGACCCCCAAGTTCCCTGACCAGGAGTCAGAGGTTTGGCTCTACCATGTACTCTCACCACAAGTCATCTGGACAGGCCCACAGGAATGCAACCAGCCACACGTGGACCAAGGTCACAGAAACCAGGCATTCTCACAAATAAACAGTTTGATTACTGTATCTGCTGAGTCTATTGCAACGTTTTGAATACTGACAAACTGATTTGAAAAGCATTTTCTTTCATCCTAGCTGTTCTAAAACTTGCTCTATAGACTCATCTGGCCACAAGTGTACAGACTTCCCAGCCTCTACTTCTTCATACTGGGATTAAATATGTGTACCATTACATACAGGCAGCATTTTCCATTTCTACCATCAAGTATACATTTAATATCTACTTTAAAATAAAATTTTAAAGAGGGAGGGAAAACTGGTTGGGATATAATATATAAGAGAATAATAAATAATTTTTTAAAGATTTAAAAATAAAAACAAAATAATTACATCATTAGATAAATTTTTTTTTTTTTTTTGGTTTTTTCGAGACAGGGTTTCTCTGCATTGTTTTGGAGGCTGTCCTGGAACTCGCTCGGTAGACCAGGGTGGCCTCAAACTCACAGAGATCCTCCTGCCTCTGCCTCCCGAGTGCTGGGATTAAAGGCGTGCACCACCAACGCCCGGCTCATTAGATAAATTTTTTAAATTTTAAATAACTCACCTTTGAGTATTTCAAAAGTATAAACTTGACTTTCTGAAATAAACAATAGTTTATTTCAGAATTTCGAACTCATCCATTATGTTAATGCAAAAATAAATTTATGTTGGTAGAAGAAAAACTGAAAAGAGAACCAGCAATATACTTTGTTCTAATCATAAGCATACTACGCCTATCAACAGCATGGTTTCCAGGGCAAAGGAGATCCATGTTTATCACAGGACAGAAACCTAATCCTGATGTCAACAAGCAAAGAACATGGAAATTAAAACCATTAAAATGTATACACGAAATAATTTCTAACACATCCCACCTGGTATTTGTTCCAGAGGGGAAATTTCATCCAAAGGACGCAGACACCGATCAGGTGTTGTAGTGTTAGCTTGATTCTCTTCTGGTCTCGGTGTCATGAGAGCAAGAGACACATGTGCACTTTCCATGTAGTTCTTTTTCCTTGAGGCAGAACTTTTTGAAGGAGTAGAATTATGATAAAATGTTAATTACCTTAGGTGCATCTATAAAATGGCAATTAATCAGTTTTGCATTTCATCTTTCAAAAAGGAAAGTAGATATAAATACTGAGATAAAAACAAGAGTCCAGCCTGAAAATGCGACTGGAAATGCACTCTGGAGATGAGATTGGCACGCTGGATCCTGTGGTGCACAGTCCACCAGATCCAAAGAGAGCATCTCTCTGCTACTTTGCCTCTCCAGAGAAAACCTTTTTTCTCTACCACATAAATACAACAAGAAAAAAAACCCAGCTTTCTACAACTGAGTTATACTTACAGATACTAATAGTATGCATGCCAAAACAGCAAAATCTCTCAATTAATAAAGGTTCTGTAGCTGTTTTGTTTTTTGTTATGATAAATAGTCTCATTGGGTTCTTGGTTGCCCTGGAATTTGCACGCAGACCTGGCTGGCCTGGACTTCTGATATTTCTGCTCCTACCTCCCAAGTACAGGGATTATAGTATGGAATCACAGTATGCCACCATGCCTGGGAAATGAAGGTTTCACAAGTTTAATTCGAGTCCTACCTCTGTTCTCATACCTAACTTTCTATCTGCTTCTACAGTTTTGGGTGCAGACGAAATACTTCATGCTAACAGTAATTTTTGTTCCAACCTATTTCTAGCTTGTGTGTAGCAGCTCACCATGGTAAGAAAGTACAGAAAGACTCACAGGAAAAAATGTTCAAGTGCAACAAAGACACGATTTGATAGAGACCAAGGGCCAAGCTTAAACTGAGTCACAGGATCAACAAAGGATCAACAAAAAGAACACAGAAATGTTAAGCTTTAAGTTAAAGAGTTAAAAGCCCTTACATGCTTCCACACACCTTTGCCCTTTGACCTACAATTTACTTCCTATTTTTCCTCTGTCCTTTATTAGTCACCACATATGACATACTTCCAGCTTAAACCAAAGCACACACCTTTAATCCCAGCACTCAGGAGGCAGAGGCAGACAAATTTCTTTGAGTTCAAGAGCAGCAAAGTCTACAAAGGTACACAGAAAACCCTATCCCAAAAAACAAAAACAAAGCACACTCACAGACAATACAGGCAAACCTCACCTCAATAAAAGAGGGCAGGGGTAGATGGGCAGTGGTGACACACACCCTTAATCCCAGCACTCAAAAGGCAGAGGCAGGCAGATCTCTGAGTTCAAGGCCAGCCTGGGCTATACAGAGAAACCATCCTCAAAAAAAAAAAAATCAAAGAGAGGAAGGGAGGAATCGAGGGAGAGAGGAGGGAGGAAGGAAAGGAAGGAAGGAAGGGAGGAAGGAAGGAAGGAAGGAAGGAAGGAAGGATGGATATAACCAGTGTCTCTTATTTAGTTATCAAATAATAGACCTTGATGACCTTCCTAATAAGCACCTATATTTTTTACTTTTATTCTCAATGACTATGTTTCATTTACAGTCAGAAAAAAATGTAAAGGCTAAAGATGTAATTAAAAGATGTAAAGGAAGGAAGGGTCTTACTGATGCTAAGTAGTAGTCATCAAAGACAAAGTCATGCATTTTCCCCAAGACTAAGGGTAGCTTTACCAGAATGCAAATGAAGGCAAGAACTTACTCATCACCCTGAAAGCTGAGTTGTAATTTTTCTCTTGGTTCAGTGTTGTCACTCTGGCAACTGGGAGATGAGACAGAAGGAATTGAAAGTCTTCCTTCAATTAAGTATGACTCCTGGACATCAAGACACCTATACAAAATTGTTAAGATTTAAATTATTTACAATTAAAACTCATCTTGTTAGGTTAAAGATAGTTTTGTTTTGGGGGTTTTGTTTTGTTTTTTGGTAGAGTACTTGCATAAATGCACAAAACCCTGGGTTTGATCCCTAGCCCTTCTACTCTGGACATGGTGGTAGCTTACAGTTCCATAGGAAGACCAGAAATTCAAGGTCTTTCTGAGCAACAGTAAGTTTAAGGCCAGCCTGGTCTATATGAGACCTGTCTCAAAATTAACTATTGTCATAGGGCTAAACAATAATAAAACTAGCCACCATCAAAAAAAAAAAAAACACACACAGGAGTCCCAGTGTTCAAAGAGAGTTACCACAGCCCCTTCGTCCCACAGGTAAGATGCTGTCTTTCATCAAATGGTCAGGTTGGAAAGAGATGGAAGGCAAATACATAAGCATGGTCAGATTTTACACACTGTCCAGGCCACACATGAAATCAAGTGTGAAAACTTCATACATCTAGAGTACTATAAATAAAATTTATTTAGCCAAACATGTACTCAGTTGTAAAACTAGACAAATAAAAATAAAAAACTGGTTTGGTTCTTAAGAAAAAAATATTGATCTGGTAGGGTGTGGTGGTACTTGCCTTTAATCCCAGCACTCTGAAGGCAGAGGCAGGTGGATCTCTGTAAATTTGAGACTAGCCTGATCTACAGAGTTCCAGGACAGCCAGGGCTGTTATACAGAGAAATCCTGTCTCCAATCACTGCTCCCCCCAAAAAAAGAAATCAGATGTGAGGAACTGACCACAAGCTATGTCACAACAAGGGCAGGGGATGTAGATGAGTGGTAAAGCTCTGGCCTGACATACACAAGGTCCCCAGTTCAAGCCACGTGAGTACTACAAAAGGAAAGACAAAGCCAGAAGCATTTCATAAACGTGGCTAGCAAAGAAAAGGGGCCACACAAACACAGTAAAGCATGAAGCTGGCCAAAATGAAGTAAAAAGGGAATGGTCACATAAGAAGACACCATGATCCGACGCCAGGACCACAGGTCAATGCTGAGAAACAGTGTACCAGTCTCCTTGTGTAGTTAGAAAACTCAATTCATAGATGTCTTTTCAGACACAGTCTTGAACATGAAACAGGAAAGCATATAAAAGCAGTAGGCTGAGAAATAAGAGAATGACAGTTACCCAGAGAAGCAGTAGGGAGTCAGAAACCCAAGTCCTAACACATTGCGTACCCAGCTCTCTTGTGTTATCAGTATATCAAGGGTTTGTGAACCTGGAAAAAGTATGTTAAGTAAGTCTTACCTGTTGTCAGTGCTGGGTCTGTTCCTGGCAAGTGTAGAAACAGCAATAGGCAGGCCAAAATTTGATGTAAGAGTGACATTTTCCAAAACCTCACTATTACCAAGTGGTGAATTGACTGAAAAGCTTGGAAATGACTCCTCTGCTATACCTCGAAAATGTTCCATCTCACTGCAACAACAGCATTTTTAAATAAGTTGAATATTCTATTAACAAACCATTTTCCAATGATGAAAAGAACAAAGTATCTTAAAAAAACAAAAAACAAGGTTTTTGCAACATCAGTAAGAAAGAATACTAATAGGTACTCCAAGCTAAAGTAAGCTTCAGAATACCTTGCTACCACAAGGCGTACGTACACCTTTAATCCCAGAGCTCTATGAGTCTCTCTGAGGCCAGCCTGATCTACAATGTGAAACACTGTCATGAAAAAAAATAAATTGTCCCCTAGAAATGACAAGAAAACTTCATCCATGACACCACAACATTTGCTGCCTAAACAAGACCTGAACAATACCCATAGACAATTTAATGTGAAGGGAGACATTTCATAGGGCCCAACCCTATATATAGAACTACAAGCAACTAAGCTATGCTAGAGCAAAAGTAGTCTTATCCCAGAGAGGAGCCTTCTAATTGGTTATCTGATTCCAAGTAATCAGCCCTGTAATCATGTACACTGAATGGACTCAGTAAGTTGGGTGTATGCTTGCCTGCATGTGAGAAATTTGAGGGGAACAAGAAAGGAGTTGTAGGAAAGAAAAGGAATAAAGGGAAGTGATGAAATTATATTTTAATTTAAAAGATTTTTCAGAGTGCCTACTAGGTAAGCTCTAGTAAAGAAAATAAGAGAAGATAAAAAGATAACTCAGGAAAGGTGGCAGTTTCCAGGGTGACAGAGAGAAGCAAAGAGAGAGGACTGAGATTCATCGGTATCTACTACCTTAACTCATTGAATCCATAGACAGGTTTACGATCAGGAGTAATACACTATTTCACAAATGCAAAATCAAACTGGAGAGACCAAACTGAAATTTCCAAAACTTGCACAATTTTTTTTTTTTTTTTTTTGGTTTTTCGAGACAGGGTTTCTCTGTGGCTTTGGAGGCTGTCCTGGAACTCACTTGGTAGTCCAGGCTGGTCTCGAACTCTGCCTCTGCCTCCCGAGTGCTGGGATTAAAGGCGTGCGCCACCAACGCCTGGCTATACTTGTACAATTTTTAAGATTCAAACTTACTCTGATTTTAAATTTTCCTCTAAATTTATGGTAACAACTGCATTGTGGTACTGGATGAGAAAAAAATTACAGTCAGTGACATTAACACAACAGAACTGAGCTTCAAATGACGCATAAAAAATTTGAACTTTGGGGGAGGTACTTTTGTGTTTGTTTGTCTGTTTGTTTGTTTTGAGACAGGGTTTCTCTGTGTAGCTTTGGAGCCTGTCCTGGCACTAGCTCTGTAGACCAAGCTGGCCTTGAATTCACAGAGATCTGCCTGCCTCTCTGCCTCCTGGCACTAGGATTAAAGGCGTGTGCCACCACCGCCCAATCTGGGCTCTTGAGAAGCAAGCCTGTACTCCCAGCTAGTCAGGAGGCTAAGGCAGAATGATCACAAAGTCAAAACCAGCCTGGTAACCTTATTGAAATCTTGTCTCAAACCAAAACGTAAGAAGAGGCCTAGGAAGATGGTTGGCAGTAAATCACTTGCCTTACCACATGAGCAAAGTCCAGTATTCAAGCCCCACCACCCTAAAGCTTGAGTCTATATCCTGCAACTGACTGGAGGAGCTGGAGTTTGGGGCACAGGCTCTAGTAATAATAAAAGATGATGACTAATGCATAGATTTGAGGCAGTGTGGACTGACTTACTTATTCTTCAAGACAGAAAGCATTCAAGAGCCATAAAAATCTACTTGGTAATGAAATATCCATGCTCCTGCCTGAAGCTCTCCTTTTCCCACTACATTTGATCCCATCCCTTCTCACCAAGGCCCTATCAATCACTACAGCAAGTGGCCCCTCTTAAAACACCAAGTCCTCTCTCGGCATGATCCTTCCCATGTTGCACCTACTGTCAGATCGGTTTAAAAATCCTCTACTGCACCACACTCTGCTAACCCTTAGGCTGTGCCCTCACGGCTCTACGCTGCTTTTACTACACACTGCCTCCCCTATGGGAATCGCACTTGGCATCCATCAGGTGGACCCCAGTCTTCTCCTAATGCACTCCATCCAAACAGTACTTGTCAACTTTACCAGTAACCTCCCTGTTGCTGAATCCTAAGAAGATGCAGGCAATTTTTTAGTCCTCACCACCCTCAACCTAACAGAATGGGAGTCGGCTGATCAGTCCTTCACTGAAAAACTATTTCACTTGGTCTTCAAGATGCAGCTACTGACTCTCATCTTGCTCCCCAGCTGCTCCTTTTCTTTCTCCTGATCTCCAGGGCTTACTTGCACAGATGGAGCACAGTCCTGAACCTCTTCCACCAGTATCTTCTCTAAGTATCTGCCTTCAATTTCAAAGTTTTAAATCCCATGTTGTATACCTCCAGACTGGGCCCCTTCCCTAGGCCCTAGATATTATACATCGAAGAAGCACACAAGTATAAATCAGGATTCTGTTTCCTTCTCATCCCTTCAAAAACATCTATTCAATCTTACCAACAAGAAAAAAAAAATGCACCTTTAATCCCAGCACTCGGGAGGCAGAGGCAGGCGGATCTCTGTGAGTTCGAGACCAGCCTGGACTACCAAGCGAGTTCCAGGACAGCCTCCAAAGGCACAGAGAAACCCTGTCTCGAAAAAAAAAAAAAAAAAGAAAAAAGAAAAGAAAAAAAATGACAACTCCAAACCCTAGTCAGTTATACCAAAAACCTTAGTCATTGAATTCTTCAGCCTCCTAAATGTAATCCCCCATCAAATCTAAATGGCCTCACTTTAATAATACAACCTGAATCTTGCCACTCTTCCAGGTCTCTACTTTCCTCCCTGGTCCTTCCTTCGTTTGTTTTAAAAAAGACAGAGTCTGTCTAGATATATAGCTCAAGCTGTATTGGAACACACATCCCTCCTGTCCCAGGCTCCCAAGTGCCAGGATTATTACAGGCATACACTACACTTGAGACTCCTTCCCTTTTTCTAATGATGTTTCTCTTCTTCATTTCTACAAGCATGTATGTTCAAAGTTCTCCAACACTAGAATGGAGAAGGCAAAAAGAACACAATCTGCCTGATCTTACACCACGTTTCCAGCTACCTTCTCCTTACCTTCCTTCACAGCCAGGTGTGCAGGAAACCTCTTTACGGTTTGGTTACTACTTCTGTCTCATCTGACATCCTCTGCCTCTATCTGCTCCTTATACACTGCAGTTTCCAGACTTATTTAACTAACACATGTTACACAGTACACCACAGAGGTCTCAATCCAAATGCCTTTGGGGTAAATACTGTCAGAAAGTGGGACTATCACCTGGAAATTACATACCTCCCCTGAAGCCAATTAAATTCAATAGAGTACTCAAACAAAACACATCAACTGTGGCAGTGCATTCCTGAGTGCAAAATCAATGTCCAAAACCTATTCTGAAACAGCCTAAATCCGACTCTAATACTGCCACCCACCTTAAAGACCTCCAGTTCCCATGCTGTCATCCTTGCCACCTTACATATAGTAATTTAAAGGACCAAAATTCTCCAACTTTCCCACCTAGTCTCTCTCCCCACTCAGGCTTGTTCCCACATCCTATAATATTCCTAACTCTATATGCAGCTTGGGCCTACACTATTCTTTCCCCAGATAAGTGCAAGTAGTCTCTTATCAAATTTCCTTCAATCCCCAACATCCTTCATCATCAGTTTCATAACCTGGAGACCTGCAACCATTCTAATCTCTCCTGCTATCTCAGTTATCAATTTCTTTTTTATAATTTGTTTATGTGCATTGGTGTTTTGCTTGCATGTATAACTGTATGAAGGCTTCAGAAACCCTAGAAATGGAGTTACAGACAGTTGTGAGCTGCCATGTGGGTGCTGGGAATTGAACCCAGGTCCTATGGAAGAGCAGCCAGTGCTCTTAACTGATGAGCCATCTCTCCAGCCCCAGTTATGAACTTCTAAAGTTTCTAATTTCAAATGTCTCTCTAAGGCTGAGGCCCAATGTTTATCCCCAATGCATGCTATCCATTACATTTTATGTCACTGCACAAGTGTTCCAACTGTCCTGCCTAGCTATCCTTGTATAGCAATAATTCAGGAGGCTGAAGCAGGACTGCCTCAGGTTTCAGACCAGCCTAGGCTACACAGCCAGTACCATGCCAGACAGAACTACAGAGGAAGAGTCTGTATAAACAAATGTTTAAAAAACAAACAAAAAGCACATGGTTCATAAGGTAAAGGTATTTGCCAACAAGCCAGCCAACCTGAGTTGGATCTTTAGGACCCATATTATAGGAGAGAAACAACTCCCACAGGTTATCCTCTGAAATGTACATGCACACAAAATAAAAATGATTAATAAAATTTCAAAACTAAGAAAAACAAAACCCCATTCGTAATATAACACACCCCTAGAGCTTTCCTAGATGGGAAAAGGCCCTAATTTCCCTCAATAATCCATTATCCACCATGTAATGTTAAGATAATACAAGACTTTCTATTCTACTCTAATACTGTATTTTAAATAAGCAGCCACCTTTACAATTTCACTTGCTATTTTATTATTTTCCCGCGTTCATTTTCTCTGTGTAGCCCTGGCTGTCCATGAGATCACTTTGTAGACCAGGCTGGCCATCTTGCCATTTTCTTAAAAGACTATAGTGGCCTCAATTTTCACATATGGAATTACTTATATGACATTCCCGTGAATGTCCCATAAAAGATGACTTTCTGTAGTAGTTACAAGTCTATGTCTATAGTCACATTTAAAAGTACATCCTTTGGAACCCAAAACACAGTCAAAGTTGCCAGCAATCATCATTTAACTACTGGCACGGTCATACATGTCAAAATTAGGTGGGCATTTTGTATGTAACTCTTTAAAACTTACCGTGAACTTAGCCCACAAAGCTGTAATTTGAAGAAAAAGTTGGTTCGGATGTATTGGGAATACCAGAAGCATGACCTCAAAATGTTAACTGCAAATGGAAGGATTGTCATACACGCAGGATTCCTCCAAACGACTGCGTCCAAAGGGGCGTCATGCTTGACTACACAAAGTCTGAATCGAGAGCAAATCAAAAGGAAGGAGATAGTAAACAGTCTTTCACTTGGCATTAGCTGTTAGGAGTACGTGTGAATGAAGCTTAGCAGACACCGGTTGACATAAGAGCCAACAAAAACGTGACTTCCAGTTGTTGAAGTCAGTCGAAGGACGGGGACTGCCCATCACAACACAGCCAAGCAGTGGCCAGAGCACTTTGCAAGAAAACACCGCAAAGCTCAGAGGCCACGTGCCCTCCCTCAGAAGTGGGCAGTCACCAGCGCGACTGGAGAGCACAAGGATGCGGCCGCCCCAAAGCCCACGCCCAGGCCGGGAGCCTGGGCCACACGCGGGCACCTGATCTCCCAGAGCAGCCCAGCCTCCAACCCATGTCCTCACCAGGCCAGGCCGTCACCGCGGCCGCCCAGAAGTCCTGCCCTGACCCTCAGGTCCACCGCACCGACGACCCTCCTCACCAAGCCAGAACCCCCCCCAGCTTCCAGACTCACGAGAGCCGGGAAAACGTCCGCGGAAGGGGCGGCACCGCAGCGCTGCAAGTGCGCGTGCGCGCGCCGCGGAAGCCCGCGAGGTTCCCCGCCCTCTGAGAGTGAGAGGCGTGGCCTCGGAACCCTCACCGGATTGGACAAAGCGTCGGGAAGGGGTCGGCGGAAGCCTTTGATTGGTGAGGACGGCGCGTCCCTCGGTTTGAAGGCCGAAGCCGCGCAGCCTGGGCTCGGCCCAGCCTGCTGCTAGGCGCCGCCTTCAAAGACCTGAATAACTCAGTTTGAGGTCGCCCCAGGCACCGAAAGTCACCTGGGAAAAATCCCGGCAAAAAATATCCCCGCTATTTTTTTCATATCGCCATTTAGTCGATGCAGAAACTTCATGATTTGCTTTCAACAAATCATTCCTTGGATACACGTGTCACGACAGCTAGTTACACCAAAGCGCCTAGGATAAAGAAGCTGGTACCAAGTAGGAAAAGACTTCTTCCTTAGCCGCCATTATCGGTAGAGCACACAAATTCCATCATTGCGTATGCTCACCACCACAAGCTCTTTATCTGAAAAATTCTATAATCTACTTTAAGATATCAAACATTGACTCTCAAAGTGGGTAGGGGCTGCCTCTTTTCCTAAACTAATTCCTTAACGTCAACAGTTTTTAAATATCTTTTTGAGAGGCCGGGCGTTGGTGGCGCACGCCTTTAATTCCAGCACTCCGGAGGCAGAGGCAGGCGGATTTCTGACTTCAAGGCCAACCTGGTCTACAAAGAGAGTTCCGGAATAGTCAGAGGTACACAGAAACCCTGTATAGAAAAACAAATAAAGGGGAGGGTGGATTAAACAGAGACAAGAAATACAAAGTCAACAGTACCTGAGGTTAGCCTGGTGGGAAAAGGCATTTACTTGATCATTTTCCTTTCTGTGTTCTCCAAGCTTCCTGAGTGTTCACTCTTGGTTAACCTCCTCAGGGTTACTTTCCGGAAACAATGCCTATTAATGGCGCACACCCACAATCCCTGCGTTTGGCTGGCTGCGGAAATAGGATACCGTGCCCAAGGCCAAACAGCCTGTACATAGTAAGACGCTGCTTTAAAAACCAGGACTGGTCACACTTTTTTTTTTCCTTTTGCGGTTACCTGTGTATCACTCACATTCAATAAAAACTCAGGATCCAAAAAAATACCCTGCCAGGCGGTGGTGGTGCCGCACTCAGGAGGCAGAGGCAGGGTGATATACAGACTGAGGTCCAGGACATCCAGGACTACACACAAAAACCCTGTATCGAGGGAAAAAAGGAGAGAAGGGGGGGAGGATAGAGAAAAATTTTCCAAAATTCTTAGCTGTGGGGCTCAAAGGAATTTAAAATGAATTGATAAACTACCTTTCTTTCACAAAGGATCTCAACCCAATTAGAGGTGAGCTGTGTAAAGTGTCTTGGAGTCATGCACCCCGTATCACTGGGTTCCCAACTCAAGAAATATCCATAATCCTAAAGTCAGGACAACTTGCAACAAAACACTCGGCAACCTGTGGATTCTCTGGTGACAGAGATGATCGAGTGAAACAAAATGCTTGCAAAGATGCCTGAAAGTAAGTCTCCCTCCCTGATCCTAGCAATATACCCTAAGTTATCAGTTCATTTGTAAAATGGGAATAACTGGAGCCCTGGGTGGTTCAATTCACATGCCTGGGAAACCAGGGACACTCGGTGCACAAAAGTAACTTTTACACCAGTACCTTTTTTTGGTGTTTTTGGTTTTTTTGAGACAGGGTTTCTTTGTGTAACAGCCCTGACTGTCCTAAACTCGCTCTGTAGACCAGGCTGACCCTGAAATTGGACTAAAGGCATGCACCACCACTGCCTGGTGACATTCTCTTTCTTTTTAATGACACTTATTTTCCGTGTGCAAAACTCAGTCTCAATATGGCATTTGTGTGGAGTCAAAGACCTACCTACAGGAGTTGGCTGACTCCTGCCACTGTGTGGTTTCCAGGGAATTAATTCAGTCGGTCAGGGTTAGTAGTAGGCATCTTTACCACTGAGCGATCTCACCAGGCACTGTACCTTTAAACGTTAACATTTGCTTATCCCCTGAAAATTATTTATGTATGTGCTTTTTTGGTTTTGTGACACAGTAAAAGGAAACTAAGCCTGAACTATCTTTAATAAAGAACATTCTGTTTTAGCCAGGTGTGTAGTGCAATTCTGTAATCCCAGCACCTTAGAGGTGGAGGCAGGTATGTCAGGAATTCAAGATCATCCTAGGCTACATAGCCAGTTCCAGGCCAGCCTACAAACTCTCTCAAAAAACAAACAACTGAAGTACATAAAATTTCTTTTTTTTTCTTATTTTTATTATGTATACAGTGTTCTGTCTGCATAAATGCCTCCAGGCCAGAAGAGGGCACCAGATCTCACTACGGATGGTTGTGAGCCACCATGTGGTTGCTGGGAATTGAACTCAGGACCTCTGGAAGAGCAGTCAGTGCTCTTAACCTCTGAGCCACCTCTCCAGCCCCCATACAATTTCTATTAAGACAACAGACTCTTATCTTTTAAAATATTTTTATTAAATAATCTACTTGGAGAATAATTACAAAAGCTTTAAGCAGTAATTCCCAAGTAGTGAAAGGCATTTTCGTTTAAAAAACAAAACCAAAAATATCCTTATGATTTGCTGCTTTATACACAGGAATGATTTATTTTACAGTCATTTGTTAACATCAACCTATAAAATTCAAAACGTTTCTTAATGTCTGAAATGCACAGTGAAGTCCACAATGATATGCTTTCACACGAAGCTGCCTATTAACAGGCTAAACTGAACTCTATGATAACAATTCCACACAGAATTTACAAGACAGGCACTCTGAATCAGATACTGGAAATCTTTCACAGTTAATGTTGCTTTTTTGAAGCTCATCTCATCAGAGATAACCAACTAGTGATGCCAGGGTTTCCTGATTCAGAAGTACAAACAGGTTTGGTTCCAAACACTTCAGTTGTAATACATGCAAGACATGCCCTACGTAAGAAAGATCTTCTGAAAGAAAATGAAGAAAACCAAAAAAGCAGCCTGGAATAAAAGCATTTACAAGCATCTGAACAAGGCCTTTAAATCAGTGTTTTAAACCCCTTCATTCTCAGGTAAGGGATTAAGAGGCCGAGAGAGGTACCCTCGGCGAGCGTGAGGATACTGGAGGTTGGCAGTGTCGGCATCGCAAGAGTGCTCTACCAGAGGAGCAGGAGGAGGAAGGAGCTGGGCACAACTGGACCATCTTGATCCAGCCCGTGGGGAATCCAGAGGGGGAAAGAAATACCTGAAATAATGAAGACAGGAACAAAACACCAAAACAAAAACAACAGGGGGAAGGAGGGAGGGGGAACAGAAGAAAAAGAGAAAAGCAGTAAATACAAAGAGAACCAAAGAAGAGAAAACATGCTGGAAGGAACAACCAAAACAAAAGCTTGTATATTCATGCCAAAACCAATAGAACACAATAGTACAAATCAAGACTCTCACTGAAATCAAGGTTGCTTAAGCAAGTATAAAAATTTGAAAAAAAAAGTTAGAAGTTAAAATGCCAAAAAAATTATCAGTATGAGTGTTACAGAGACATTAATTATATAAATTATCTAATATCTCATTTGAGTCTGTAATTTACAAATCTAATATGCTTTTCATTTTGAGCAAGGCCGCATTCTTTAGTGCATACATGAAACTGAGAACCAATCCGAATACACTCTCACATTGTAAAGCTGGCTACTGCAACATGCTTTTGAAAAATATAATCATTGGACAGTTTTGGTTTCCTGCAAAAAAAAACTGAGAATAGCTACAAAATTTAGGTGTGTAAAAAGGCTTAAGAATTACAGCCTGTTATTCTGCCATCCTGTAACTTACCCGTATTATGTATGCAATTTAGTAAATGAAAAGGTGTATAACGTTATCAAAAATCATGAGTTTCAGAAGACAGGAATTCACTGAAACAACACATTAAAAATCCTGAGACATGGAATTTCAATTGCATGCACATTTTCAGCAAAATGTCAACTCTTCTTAATATTTCCAAAGTGTCACCAAGGAAACCAAGTTGTATAGAATCAATAAACATTCATGCACTTATTAGAAACAGCCATCTCTTTAATGAGTATGAGATGAAAACTTAAAAGTGCTTCCACTATTTTACTACCAAATAAAACTAACAAATGTTAATGTGATGTTTGGCTACAAACCATTTTATATCAACTCTACTGCTACATTAATAATCTGCCCTTTTACTAGTACTTTAAATTATAAGAAAAACCAGCTGTGTGGATAATATCACCTATAAAGCAATTCTACAAAAGGTAAACAAATTAGCACTCAAAACAATCTTTATGAAAAATATTTATTTGATTTTGAAATTAAAATTATAAAAACTCATCATTTTAGCTTGTTTTAGAAAATAAAAGACATATCCTTATATTCTCCAAATGGAATAAGACTATATTTTCCCTCCTCCCAACAGTTTATTTATGAGGATAGTAGCAATCTCTTCAGTTTTTAAACCCAAGTTAGTCTCCAGAACATTTCAAAAAATTGTTTTGGTGATGATGTCTCAACAAAAAGCCTTTCCATTTATAGTGTCAGTAAACTGACTAGTACAAAAAAATATATACACTGTAATTTTAAAGGCCTTTTGGACTGTATTTAGTAGTGAGCAGGCTGCTGGTGCATCTTGGGAGAGATCAAACGGCGCTGGGGAAGGGGAAAAGGAGTTCGAGTTCCATTCCTGTGTGCATGCAACAAGCAGCAAAACAGCAAAGTTATCCAGCTAGCTTGTACTCAGCTGTGCTTTCTGTTAAAGGACATAATACAAATGGAAAAGGGAAAATGCATCACAGATCCAACACAGATCAGAAAACAGATCAAACCATCAAGGCTATTTACAGAAGAAAATAACAGTATGAAAACTGTAACCTAAAACCAGATTGTTAAAATCAACTCTAGTATGCTTTCCTTCGTAAAATAACCTGTTCTCATCTATGGTAACTGGAAACTGTTTCTATCATTTTAAATCCTTAAAACCTCAAGATCAAATTGCAAGATTTCTTTATAAAAAATAATAGTATCAAGACAATTCAGAAAATGTAAATGTAATTTCATTTTCTTTTTGTTTAGGGTGACAATAAGATAACCACAGAGCAGTTTTAAGCTAGATTTTGTAGTTTCCCAAACTCTATTCCAAATTATGCCAAAGGCATACTAACATAATTTTATATTATAAATTTATGTATTTAAAATTTGAATATGAAGTCACTCTTTGTGTCAAATTTTGTTTTAGATGTATGCAGAATAGTCTAAACATCAAAACCTCAGATTTTATCAACTCCAAAATTATAAGCAAAAAAACAAAAACAAATCACTTCTCACAAAGCTGTAGCTGTGAACTTTATTTAAAATTTCAATGTGATCTTATGCCAAGCCCACACAACAAGCACTTTAAAAAAAAAATGAATGATGCCGGGAGTTGGTGGCACACACCTTTAATACCAGCACTTGGGAGGCAGAGGGCAGGCGAATGAATCTCTGTGAGTTCGAGGTCAGCCTGTTCTACAAAATGAGTTCCAGGACAGCCTCCAAAGCCACAAAGACACCCTGTCTCAAAAAAAAAAAAAAAAAAAAGGAAAGAAAACCAAATGAATGTTTATCTAAGAGTCAACCCTATTAAATCACATCTTCTCTTCCTCTCCCTGCTGCAGAAAAGAACACAGATCATGAACAAAGCTTTACTGACCACTGAATTTCAGAATATAGCTCAATGGTCACACACTATATTGTACATACAGAATACAGACCCCAAGAGTGAAATTCCAAGAGTAAGTAACACAATTATTGGTGAGCTACTTAATTCCACCTTAAAAGTCACCTTTTAGCTTGGCTACCATGAGAGGTGACTCAGCAACTCAAAGTATTGACTGCTCTTGCAAAGGACCCAGGTTTGATCCCCAGCACCCACATAGAGGTTCACATACATCCTTAACTCCAGTTCCAGGGCACCTGACTCTTCCGGCTTCCACAAACACTGTATGCACAGATGTACAAGTAGGCAAAACAGCCATACACACAAAATGCAGTGTGCCCAGGGGTGGGGGGGCGGGTTCCTAGTTTTCCCAAATTAGAGCCTACCTGCCAGCAGAAGATCCATGCAATGAGTTTTGAAGATTTGAAGTATTTGAGCTTAGTGAAGGATTTGAGTTTCCAAGCTGAGCACTCCCATTTACTGGGTTCCCGTTACCTTTCAAAATACCAGTACACTTCCAATTGTCCATGTAATTAGCTGGAAGAAAAAATAGCCAAGTACATTAAAATGATACCTATTCATAATACACATACTGCACTTTTGCAGGGTATTTGATCACACTGTAAACCCTGAGATTGCATTATATACTGGAAAGATGTGTTTCTAGTTGTGGTGTGGCTCAGCCCTGGCACACACCATTAATCCAAGAGCTTCCTGCTTGAATATTGTATACAGGATTAAATAAAGTCGAGCATAGGCCAAGAAGCGGAGCAAGAAACTTTGACAGGAAGTGAACATAGGATCATTAGGGAAAAGACCATAGATAGTAAGAGGGAGGAGTCAGGAGGATGGATACAGAGACACACAGAAAGTAGAAGGGAGGGACATTCAGTTTGTATTTTTTGTTTGAAGACATGTAGAGAGGAAGTTTTTCCAGGATGTTGTCTGAGGAGGAAGGTCAGCTAGCAGGCTTTCACCCCTGCATCTGGCTCCCAAGTATCTATTGCTAAAAATAGAACAATTAAGATTTTGTTATTAAAAACAACACTGCACTCTACTAAACCACAAGAAATGAGACAAAGAATGGGCTAAATTTTTAAGTTGTGTACATGTAATATATGCCTGGATTCTGCTCATGTGCATATACATGTGTGTACATACATGCATGTGGAAGCTAGATGGTGATCCTGGCATCTTCCCCTTTGACTCTTCACCTTAGTTTTTGAGGTAAGGCTCTCTCTGAACCTAGAGCCCACCAATTTAGCAACACCAACTGTCAGGTAGCCCCAGGGACCTTACTGCTTCCGTCTCCCTATAGGAAGGATGACAGCTGCACACTAGCAGGCCTGGGTTTTACATGGGTGCTAAAGCTCTGAACTTTGGTCATGTTTTACAGCAGCACTTTACCACCGGCCATCTCCACAGCTCCACATCTACTTCCATGTACGGATTAAGGGCAATTTTTAGATGCAACACATAACCGCATCTTTAAGGCTTCCAAAGAATTACTCATTTTAAACCAGTCATGGTAACTCATACCTATAAGCAGAGCTGCAAGAAGCTGAGGCAGGATTGCTCTGAGTTTGAGGTCAACCTGGGTTACAGTGAGTTCCTGACCAGCCTAGCCACAGAGTAAGATTCTTGTCTCAAAAACAAAGAATTACTAGTTAAAAACACTAGGACTTACAATCTAGTTCCCTTCCTTGCAAGAGAATCAACAGAGACCACTCTCTAGTCACAAGATTAAGAGTTACATCCAGGCTTGGGGGGGATAGTTCACTGAATAGAGCTTGTCTTACAGCCACCTGGACCTGAGGCTGATTAAAGAACCCGCCAGATGCAGCAGCATGCCCTTGTAATACCAGCAATGGGATGTCAGGGATAGACATGACCCTGAGGCTCAACCGCTGGCCAACCTAGCCTACTTGGCAAGTTCCCAGGCAAGAATGACCTTGTCTAAACCAAAAAGGTGGGTCATACCTGAAGGATATACAAGACTGTCCTCTAACCTGTGCCCATGCTTGTGCACACACAAGTTAATATCTAAATAAAATCTTTAAAAGAGAAATAAACCCAAATTCTTTTTCTTTTTACAAGGAATGGAGCTGTCTCTTCGATGCAAATGTGTACTACTTGGTACCTGTGTAGATTATGGTCAGAGAGATATTAATAAGAAAACCTCTGTGGCAGTTTAGTGGCTCATCCAACATGGTCTCATTCTTCGAATGCAAAACTGGTGGCTGAAGTCAGTTAACCCAGTGAACCAAGGTTAAGGAACAAATGGGATACAACTGGATTGTCCTTAAGCCAGGCGTTGGTGGCGCACGCCTTTAATCCCAGCACTCGGGAGGCAGAGGCAGGAGATCTCTGTGAGTTTGAGGCCAGCCTGGTCTAAAGAGCGAATTCCAGGACAGCCTCCAAAACAATACAGAGAAACCCTGTCTCATAAAAAAAAAAGACTTAGAAGCAAAAAAGGACAGTGAAGTCCTTAAAATCAAATTGAGGAAAGAAAAGTCAGGGCTGGTCCTATAGCATACATCCTAGGATTGAACACAGGGGGCCATCAAGTTAGCCAAACTGCATTTTAGGAGGCAATAACTGCTCAGGGTAAACGATCAATTGCAGTTCTAAAGCTGGTATTTAGAAAGGGGTGTGCCCACTGTGACACTACAGACACCAATGTCAGTGTCAACAGATTAGACCAAGTTCCCTCAGTGTGGCACTATAAGAAACTCAGAATCAGAAACCCAATATTCTTGAATTTTGGAGTTGAAAGAGAGGAAACAGAAAAGACAGTGGATTTAAAGTCTGTGTGCACATGAGTGCACAGTATCTTGCAGAGGTCAACTTCAGTTGTCAGCCCTCATCTTCTAACTTTAGTGGCGCATACCTTTAATGCCAGCACTCGGGAGGCAGAGGCAGGCAGATCTCTGTGAGTTCAAGACCAGCCTGGTCTACAAGAGCTAGTTCCAGGACAGCCTCCAAAGCCATGGAGAAACCCTGTCTCCACCAACCCCCCAAAACAAGATAGGGACACTATGGTTCTTCCACTGTCACTAGTATAAGGGCCGGGCGCTGCTTTAGATTCTCTTTTCTCTGCCTCCCAGGTCCCTAAAGGAGCACTGGGATTGAGGCAGCTGAGTATGTGTCTGGATGTTGGTTGAGTTCTGGAGATTCAAACTGCACTCCTCACAAATTTGAGACCAACACTTTGACCACTGGAGGCCTTCCCTGGGCTCAGAAAGCAGTCACACAAGCTAGCTTTTGCTGAGGAGGGTGCATATTCTAACTAGTCCTAAAACAGGCTTTCCTCCACACAGAAATAAAACATTGCAATTGGCTATTAACTCCTATGAACTAGGTAGTCTGGTGTTTCAAAATAGTACAAATAAGACAATTCTTTTTAAGCAATATTAAAGACAATTTTAAAAAATATATTTCAGGGCCAGGCAGTGGTGGCGCATGCCTTTAATTCCAGCACTCGGGAGGCAGAGGCAGGTGGATCTCAGTGAGTTCGAGGCCGGGCTGGACTGACAGCCTCCAAAACCAATACAGAGAAACCCTGTCTTGTAAAAACCAAAAAAAAAAAAAGAAAGAAAGAAAAAAATATATATATTTTTCAGTAGTGAGTTCCAAGACAGCCAGGAAACACACAAAAACCCTGTCATATACACAAACTTATTTCAGAGTTTACACTTTTAAGTGAAAAGTGAATAGAAGAAACATCTACCCCTCCACTAAAAACCTTACCTTTCCACAACCTCACACAGCCGTCATCTCCTGAGGATGCTAGCACTGTTCCTGTTATGTTCCAACTCACCCTCCAGACCTGAGAGTTGTGATTATCAAACTGAGCCACGATATGGATTTCAAATTTTGTGGGACCACCAGAAGAAGTAAGTTCTTTCCTAGAAAAAGATTAACATAGTTTTTCAAAGTGTCATGTGTGTAAACACGCTCTCACATATGAACACACATTTTAAGTAAGAAATATAAATAAATATGCTTCCCATACTTTTCCCTAACATGCATACCTTGTCCCCACCACTTCCACCACTCAGCCCTTAGGCTACAGAGGTGTAACTTGCATTTGGTTCTCCAAAACCTGGACTTACTTCACCCCACAGATGGTACTCAGTGACCTTGTTTTGGAAGAAACAAATGAGCACATTACTCCCCAAAACAAGGTTCAGAATCCAATAGACATAACAATTTTAGAAGACAGAGTAGAATAAAGGAAGCATAGAAACAAGAAAAGGACCTGAAATAATTCAAACTAAATCCTCACTCCAAAAAGCCACATGAAATGTTCACTGCAGGATGCAATCTTCAGACTGTACTATTCTCTACACAGACACTGAAAGAATGAGTACTTTGAAATTCCTGGTTTTTCCTTCAACTCACCTCACAGGTTTTAATGTGAAAATTCTTACATCTTTGGTGGCTATTGCCAGGATGTGGAAAGATCTCCCCAAATTTGGAGCAAAGGCAATATCATGAACAGGATCTGTGACTGTCATAAGAGTTTCCGCTTTTGCGTATTTCCTAATTCAAAGAAAAATTAATTAGAAATTTTGGAGACATAAAATTTGGGGCTGGAGAGATGGCTCCGTGGTTAAGAACACTTGCTGCTCTTCCAGGACCACAGTTGGATATTCAACACCTACATGAGGTGGCCACCACTGCCTTGGGTGGAGGTACACACATGCAACCCTGGTATTTGGGAGACACAGAAGAACAGGAGGAGAGTTACAGCACATATCAGGCCTGCCTGGTATACATAGTGAGTTCTATGCCAACCACAGACTCCATAGTGAGACTGTCAAAACAAACAGGGCGGCTAACAAAAACTTTTGGATTTCAGTCCTGACTCTTGATATTTGACCTTAAACTTGACCACAGGATGTTGGTCTGTTCATTTGTAAAACAATGTTAATATCAAAGCTTTTACCCTGCTTATTATATTCAGACTTCTTAATCACTTACATAAATGTATACACTTGTATTATCTTGCAATCTTCCCCCTTTCTCACTGTCCTTACTTAATGTCAAACCCACTATCTCCCAGCTGGACAACTGCAACAGCATCTTCACCCTGAATGCACTGATGTTCCCTTCTAAACTATTTATCACATCTAAGGAAGAGTTAAGTACCATCCCACCCTGTACTTGCACTCACGTGACCAGCAGGATGACACCATAGCAATGGCACAAGGTCTAGAATCTTACTATCCCATCACACCCCATTCGCCTGTGATGTTCCAACCACAATGGTGACTGCCATGTTCCCAGGTCTTTTTGTTTTGTTTTTCTGTGAAGCTCTGGAGCCTCTCCTAGAACTCGCTTTGTAGACCAGGCTGGCATGGAACTCACGGGTGCTGGGATTAAAGTCGTATGCCACCACCACCCAGCTATTGTTCCCAAGTCTTATCAAATATTGTCTTCTTCACACAGAAGGCTTTCTGCCCTGCAGTCTAGCTAACTTGTACTCACCCTATGGGTCGTCCTCTAAGTAAACATTCCTAAACTAATCCTCAGACCAGGTTTCCCCAGGGAGAAGACTCTTCAACACTCTGATTCTTTTGGTTCAGAAAGTTTATCCCATCCCTTAGTGTTCTTTTCCATTTTCTCTACAAGATAATACTGAGACATCAGTTACCTTCTCTTCCACCCAACAATATTGGCAAACTGAGCGCATGCCTTAAATACCAGGTACTCAGAGGGCTGAAAGGGAAAAATCGATTGAACTTGTTCAAGACCAGCCAGGGTATCATGAGACGGCTCAGCAGCTCAGAGCCCTGCTGCCTGGGCCCCAGCACCACATATGGTTCTCCCAACCAGACACAACTGCGGTTCCAGAGGATCCAATCATCAGGCGTGAAAATGGTACACAGATATATATGCAGGTAAAGCATTCAGAAAATAAATCTGTTTTACATAAGCACAAATAAAAACAACCCATAAAGGAAAGCATAGCACATAATTTGATATATCACAGGAAAGCAGTAAAGACACAATGAAGGATGCACAATGCAGGTAACAAAGGAAAAATGATTTAAAACTCAAACACAATTCTGAACAAAGCAGTACTGACCTGGTGTTTTCATTATACTCAAAAATCTGAACCTTGGCCATTGTGTTTGGACTGCTGTCATCACTTCCCACGGCGATCATGGGGGAGTGAGCACGAGAGCTAGAAATGAAGGGAACACTCTGTGAAGACAGAAGATGCTGAACTAACAGAATCAAAGGAACATGTAACCTACAAGTCAGCCCGTCGTCGCTGTAACATCGGGATGCCCACCATGGACCTGCCACACGGCGTGTGCTTGCGGACCTGACACCTGTCCTTCAGGACTACTCTTCAGCACCCTTCCTATGGCTCAAGTAGAAGGAGCTGTCTTTCAAGAGGACACATAAAAACGACACCTGTCGCAGGCAGTGGTGGCGCACACCTTTAATCCCAGCACTCCAGAGGCAGAGGCAGGTGGATCGCTGTGAGTTCGAGACCAGTCTGGTCTACAAGAGCTAGTTCCAGGACAGCCCCAAAGCCACAAAACCTCGTCTCTAAAAACAAACAAACAAAAAAAAGGACACCTGCCATACCTTTCATCCTACAAACATTAGCAATAGGAAAAATGTAGGTCCTTTCTTAGTAAAGCTTGCTAAAGTGGTTACCAAAGCGTCACATAATTAGGTCCACTAACTAGAAAAGTTCAGGTACACTACAAAGAGCTATGGTAATAGCATAAAGGTAAGGAAAGATTATTCTATGTAAATAACACCTTCATGAGTGTGTACCTATAACAAATATTCACATAACCCAACTGGTGCTCTAAAATTTATACACGCTATATACACCTATATACATGCTAAATATTCATAGAACCCAAATGTTATAAATACTCATGTAACAGAAAGGAACAGAAAAGATAAGGCTCAATATGAAAGAGAAGAAAATAAGCTCATATTCTCTCCCTCTCTTCTCCCTCTCCCTGTCCATATTCCTCTTCCTCTCCCCCCAACTCTGTTTTTCAAACAGGGTATCTCTGTGTGTTGCCCTGGCTATCCTGGAACTTGCTCTATAGACCAGACTGGCTTCAAACACACAGAGACCCACCTGCCTTTGCCTCTGGAGCACTGGGACAGAAGTGTGTCACCACTGTCTGGCTAACTTTCTCTTTTTTAAGAGTCCTCTCTTTGAGCCAGGCGTTGGTGGCACACCACCTTTAATCCCAGCACTCTGATTGCAGAGACATGAAGATCTCTGTAAGTTCGAAGCCAGCCTGGTCTACAAGAGCTAATTCCAGGACAGCCTCCAAAGCCACAGAGAAACCCTGTCTTGAAACCCTCCCCCGCAAAAAAAGATACATGTCCAGATAGTAAAGGGGAAACTTCCTTCTAGATAAATATCTAATTAGAAAAAGCATCTGAGAAATTAAACCAACAAATTCTTAGTTTGAAAAATCACTCTCTTGTCTTAGCAGAATCATCAAAGGTTTGCTATGCACACTTACCTGGAAGGGTTCCAAGAAATACAGCTACAGCTCAGCTTACATGAGATCTCGTGCTGTAGAGACCACTGGCTGAGATTCATAACATCTGGGGCCTCATATATTCTTACTATACCATCTGCTGAACAGGTTGCTAACATGAGACCCATATGTTTGGGAGCAAATTTCACATCAGTAACAGATGTTCTACTATCCACTAGAGTAGTCCTCTTCACCTGAAAAGAGAAATATACATGTGATTTAAATCATATACAAAAAGAAAATGTGATGGATCTGAAGAATAAATGTTTCAGAATCACACAGATGTTTCTGCCATTTACTAGGTGTTTATACTTCCATGAGTTACTTAAAGCTTCTCTTGGTCTCTATTTCCAGTGAAGCACTTTGTTTGTATAAGAATCGCTAACAAATTAGTGAACTGTAATTAACTGCTGCCTTTAAGACAGAGAAAGCCTGCCTTCAGAAAGGATAATGTATTATCCTAGTAATCTTGCTGTGCTGTTGGGGGGGGAACGGCCCTCAAAGACAGTGGCACTCTTAGTAGGTGTGGCCTGGTTGGAGGAAGTGTGTCACTGTGAGGGCGGGCTTTGAGGCCTCTTTTGCCCAAGTTTCCCTCAGTGTGACAGTCAGTGGACTTCATGTTGCCTGAAAGATGTAGCATGCTCAGCTATTCCTCCAACCCCATGTCTGTATGCACACTGCATGAGGTTGACGGACTGAACCTTTGAAACTATAAGGAAGTCCCCTCAATTCAATGTTTTACTTTATAAGAGTTGCTATGGTCGCCAGGCAGTGGTGGTGCACGCGTTTAACCCCAGCACTCGGGAGGCAGAGGCAGGCGGATCTCTGAGTTCGAGGCTGGGCTGGACCGACGGCCTCCAAAACAATACAGAGAAACCCTGTCTCATAAAAACCAAAAAAAAAAAAAAAAAAAAAAAAAAAAAGAGTTGTTATGGTCACGGCGTCCCCTTCCTAGCAATAAAAACCCTAATTCATGAAACAGACTGGTCCCCAAACCAGAAAACATTAGAATTTTTATACACATAGCTCTGTCATACAAAGCATGCTATAAGTAGTAAATCCAATGAATTAGGATTCTTTAACAGTAAACACAAGGCTTGCAACTTCTATCAACATCAGTAAAGGAACAGACTGCATAAAAGGCAGAAAACACAGCCAGGCGTTGGTGGCGCACGCCTTTAATCCCAGCACTCGGGAGGCAGAGGCAAGATGATCTCTGTGAGTTCGAGGTCAGCCTGGTCTACAGAGTGAGTTCCAGGACAGCCTCCAAAACAATACAGAGAAACCCTGTCTCAAAAAACCAAAAAAAAAAAACAGAAAACACCTGCAAACTAAACTACCCAAGGCAGAACCAGGAGGCAAGAGAAGTGAGAAATCTCACTGCACGCATCCTTTTACAGCTTTCAATTCTATATTACGTGATTATTAAGAAAAAAAATTGAAAGTAAAACACTTCACATAATAAACTTATATGAAAGGTCTTATAATCTAGTTCAATTTTCTCCTATAAATGAGGAGTATGAGCAGCACACAGGCACCGTTCCTGTCCAAAACCAACCATATGATAAAGGCTGAGGTAGAACTTACAGGAGCTGCACATAGGGAAAGCTCAAAATGTAGCTCAGTGATAGTGCACGAGGCCCTGGGCTCAATCCCAGGCAGTGCAACATAACCACAAATCCGAAGTCTAAAATCACGTACCAGCTACCATACAAAGTCATATAAAATAGGTAAATATGTAAAGTTGGGTAAGCAAAGAAAATCCTCTGGGTTCATCACTGGAATGATGATGGCCCAAGTACCGAACAAGCCAAGCAGAAGTGGAAGAAAAGAAGAAAATACGGAAGAAAGAACATGGAACAGTGGAACAAAGTGAGGAGTTGACAGTGTGCCAGGAGCCTGGCATTCTTGGATCACTACTGGTCTGCAAGCTCACAGCTTTGCTTTGCTGTACAATACTAAATTTCTCACCCAGTGACTCTGTCCTCGAAGTTTATCGTTTGATTCTCCTACTATTTCTTCCCAAACAGCTGCTGTTCGGTCAAAAGAACAGGAAGCCAAAACTTGTCCAAATTCAGGATGAGCCCATGTCACACGCCATACAGATCCACTATGTGTCTGGAGAATTTAAAAACAAAACTGAGTTTACTCACTTTACACATACAGTTTTACTTGAGAAAATACAATAGAACATGAGCAGTTTTAATTCCGTAAGACGAGAAAGATACCAATTTAACACTTAAATAAACATTTCTAAAAGCTTAGAATTTTTGGACGATATTTAGGATTGTGACCTTCTGGATCTGTTATTCTTTTAAAATTATTTTTTTTAATTTTGAATGTATGTGCATATGCATGTATGTGAGCGCACGTGTGCTCTTCATCTCTCTCTCTCTCTGGACTTAGCACTCACTAATTGGCTAGATGGGTGGCCAGCTAACTCCTGGAGACTCTCCTCCAGTCTCTACCACGCCAGCACTGGAATTACAAGCACATGCTGCCACATACATTTTAAATGGGTTCCAAACTTGGGTCCTCACAATTGCAGTCAGCACTTTACCAACCGAGTCACTTCTCCAGCCCCTGTAGTGAAGCTATTTGAATGTATGCTAATAATGACAAAGCCAGCTAGATGTTTTTGTTGCCAATGTTTATATTGGACACCTACTTTGTAACAGCCTGACCAATCAACTAAGTCCATCTTTTTCTTTTTAGTTATAAAATATTTCTGCAGAAAAGATTTAACTAGTCAAATTAATTAGATTTATCAAGATTTCTGCTTTACAACCCAGAGACAAAAGTAGATTTGTGGTTGCCAAGGACTAGAAGAGGAAAGAACCAGAAATGACTTCTGAATTCTTTAATGCAGGGTTTCTGTGTTAGCTGATGAAAATGTTCTAGAATTAAGCAGAAGATGGGTACACAATTTTCTGGGCACTGGTGATGCATGCCTTTACTCCCAGCCTTGTCTACAAAGTAAGTTCCAAGACAGTCAGAGCTATTACACAGTGAAACCCTATCTTTCAAACACCAAAAAGATGAAGCAAAAAAATTGCTTTTAAAAGGGGTAAATATGACAACTCAAAAAGGCACTACAGTACTGTAAACAATTATTTGGAGTGGGCATGCAGTCAGTAATAAAGCTTCCCTAGTATCTATGAAAATATATACACTGAGTCGGGTGCACGCCTTTAATCCCAGCACTCCAGAGGCAGAAGCAGGCGGATCTCTGTGAGTTTGAGACCAGCCTGGTCTACAAGAGCTAGTCCCAGGACAGCCTCCAAAGCCACAGAAACCTTGTTTCAAAAAATACCAAAAGAAAATATTCTATTCACTACAAGAGCTAACACCAGGAGCTGGAGAGATGGCTCAGCAGGTAAGAGCACTGGCTGCTCTTGTAGAAGATCTGGGCTCAGTTCCCAGCGCCCACATGCTGGCTCACAAACATCTGTAACTCCAGTTCCAGGGAATCTGATGTCCTCTTCTGGCCTCTGAGGTCACTGCAAGCTCTTGAAGCATATACACATACAGGAAAACTCTTTCACACATAAAATAAAAATAGTAAAATCTTGAAAGCTAACAATAGGCACAGTAGCAACAGCATGGTTAAAATGATTTTAACAGACATGAAGTTAAACAAGGGACTGTTTTATAGACAGAGGCATTGAGTGTAAACCTAAGAAGCTTAAAGCCTTGTACCCAAGGAAATAACAGAGATTGTTCACAACTTGCGATGATCTGACTTACAAATGCTAACGTTATGATGATATAAAGTAATACTTTAACATGAGTTTGATCTATACCTGGACAGTATCGGCTTCTGCCAGTGCTAAGCAGTAGCAGTGAATCACAGCACCCAGTCAAACGGGGTCGACCAGAACCCCAGTGTGCTGCACTGACACAGGACAATAGGCAAGCTGGGTATACATTTTCAACTTAGAGGATCTTCAACTTAACTCATGCTTATTGGTAAGTAACCCCATTATAAGTTAAGGAATACATTTAACTTAAAGGTCCGCATCATTTCATTTCATTTATATATAAAAAGTGTCAAATTACTACTATACATCCTCATGCTGTCAAGAAAGAAAATGGATTGATATATTTCACCATCAAAGGAATTGGCTAGAAGGGGGGCACACCTTTATTCCCAGCACTCAGATGCTTTGAACATCAATCTAGCGATTACATTTAGAAAACTCCACACATATTTCTTTATTGTTGTTAAGACATGGTTTCAAGTAGCCCAGAGTGGTTTAGAACTCCTTATGTAAGGGGCAGAGGGGTGCGCGACTTTGATCCCAGCACATGAAAGGTAGAGGCATGGCCTGTAATTTGTTATAGTGGCAGAAAGAAAGGAACCAAACATTTCTAACGCTGAAAAACTAACTAGAAGTCACTCAAATACCTGCCAGCAGGGGGCTGAATAAACAAATATTTATCTATTCATTGAGACCGCTCAGCATCATATAAAAATAATGCTGGTATACTGGCACTTGTCTTTAATGCCAGCACTTTGGAGACAGAAGGAGGTGAGTCTGAGTTTGAGGCCAAACTGGTCTAAGTTGAGTTCTAGGACAACCAGGGCTACACAGAGAGAATCTCCCTCAAAGAAAAAACGTAAAACACAATGTGGATGAACCTCAAAACCTAGCTGAGGGAAACTAGCCAGAGGCAAAGGACTATATAAGCTATTACAGTCTTGCATGATTTTCCGAGGGAGAATCCAAATAGAATTCTATCTAACAGATTCTATCCAAATAGCATTCTCTCCAAGTCTAGCTGAGGGAACAACGGACTTTACTGGAGAATGGATTAACACAATAATAAGTCCCACGTCAGCCTGGTGACGACTCACAGAAGCTGCCACTGTGGCATGCCCACCTTCAGTCAACCTTCCGCCTTGTGTACACTGTAACATCCAAGACCACTTGCAGCTAGAGCAGAAAGGAGTGGTGACTTGAATCTCACAGGAGGGCCTGCGGGCTCCTCCCCATCTCCTTTTAAGAAAGACTATTAGCAGTTCTATAACCTTTACCATTAGCATGGAGTTGGCAATCACTGTGCTGTCTACTCATTTCCTTACTACAGGGCCAGGAGGTCACCAGGGCAACTAAGTTTTATGATGGCAGTAGTCATGTGAGGCCAGGTGACAATGGTGCTGCTACAACATATGGTTTCCTAACAAACACTCAGAAACTGCTCTTGCTAAAAATCATGGACACTCACAGGTCCACAAGGCAACTAAACACAGGATGGAAAACTGCCTTCATTTGCATAAGTCAGACTCTTATTGTTGTACGTAGACTAATTAATCACTTACGGAGTACCCATCTCATCCCCCTTTCAAGGCTAAAGCCATGGAAAGAAATCACTGTTCTCACTAAACATGTAGTCACCTTGGGTTATGGGAAGAGTCAACCATTAGAGGACAGACCACCCCACATTAAAGGGCAATCAATCAAAAGTAAACATAAGGCTGCACCCAATAAGCAGAAGTAAGCATTCTGTGAGGACCAGATTGACCCTCAAGCAATGACAGCCATAAAGACCTCTTTAGACCAAATAACAGAACTAGAGGTGAGACAATGATTTAAACTTACAACTGATGTTAGTATCTGAAAGTCACAGTTGGGGTTGCCCAGCTATGAACCCTGTGACCTACAAGTGACCCCTCTGCAAGATACACTGAAGCAGTAGTGGCTAAGATATTGTGGAAGAAACCAACCACTTTCTGATTGGATTTAAGGCCCACTCCATGAAATAGAACTCATACCTGGCACTGCTAAATGGCCAAGTGCCTGTGACTAGATAGGTCACATGCTACTGTTATTCTGATAAGGGAACATTGTAATAAAATGGCTCCTAATGGCATACTGCTATACCCATAGTTGCTCAACCCACTTGAGAAGCTTCTTCTTGCAGGAGATGGGAATTAACACCAAGGACTGGACGATGTGCAGAAGGTGAGAGACTTTGGAGCACTCAGTCCTAAATGGGATGTTTTCAGCAAATCCCTCCCCTCAAGGATCAGGGATCTATATAGAAGAGAAGTGGAAAGACCATAGGAGGCTGAGGTGATAGGAAACAACAAAGAAACAGTGTCTTCCAGCACAACAGGACTGATACACATAAAACTCAGAGACTATGGCAGCATGTTCTGGGCACACACAGGTTCAAGCCAGAGGGGTCCCAGAGCTGAGAGGGAGAAGTCGACAGAGTCCCACCCCTATCTACAACTGGTACCTGTTGGCAGAGGAAAAAATCAGTTTTGTGCAATGGAGTCCCATTGAGTATATCAACCACACATCAGGGCAGGCCCCAGACCCAGGAGTAGCTGGCCAACACACAAAGACCTCACTGGAATTTCGTGGGGTTTTGTTTCACTGCCTCTGTCTCCCGAGTGCTGGGATTAAAGGTGTGTGCCAGCATCACCCAGCTGTAGGCATTTTTTGTGGGAATTTGTTTTTGTTTCTGTTTATTTTTGTTTGAGCAAGAAAGAACATAAAGTTAGGTGGCTAAGCCAGGCGGTGGTGGCACACGCCTTTAGTCCCAGCACTCAGGAGGCAGAGGCAGGCGGATCTCTGTGAGTTCGAGGCTGGGCTGGACCGACAGCCTCCAAAACAATACAGAGAAACCCTGTCTCGTTAAAAAAAAAAAATACTATTTTTCCATCCTTTGGTTTTGAGACAGGGTCTCACTCTCTAATCCAGGCTGGCCTCTAACTCATGGTAATCTCCTGCCTCAGCCTCTGGGATCTCATATCTGGCCACACCTACAAATTTTCTTATTCTCAAATTTCCTATTGCTTTAATAATAAAATAATTTAATAAACCAGAAACTATCTTTCCAGGAAGAATACCATATCAATTTTACCACTTTCTCAAAGCTGAACAACAAGTCATTAATACTAAAAGAGCAAACATTTCAAAATCTCAAACCATGAAAATACAAACTAACCTTCCAACTAGCAGTACAATGCCAATCTCCGCTTTCACTTTTATCCCAGACCTGCAAAGAAAAAGGCAGGTGAGTATAAGCACAAGGAAAACAACTCCACAGGAAGAGGCATTCAATGCTGAAGCCATATCCACTGGAAATCGTGTGTCGCACTGGACAGAGCACTAAGGAACCCAGACAGCTGAGCTCTAACAGGTAGAGTCAACACATTCCTCCTTTTTTGTTGTTGTTGTTGTTGCTGTCATCGGGGCTGGTGATGTACTGAAGACTGAGCCTAGGGTCTTGTGCCTGCTAAGTGTGGTACTAACCCAGTAGTGAGCAATTTCCAATTATGTTTTATGAAGTAACTGACTACCGAAACATTGTGCATAGCAGTTTAGGATCCTGTATATGGTGGTCATTTTCACCAACCAACAACACATACCTTTTATTAGTGTATGTTTCTGTTTAAAAGACATCTTATTTGATACAAACTGGCAATTGGTCAGCATCCACCGCACAACCAGCAGCACAGTAATCATGCCTGATGGGCACTTACCTACCAGGTTTTCTAAGGCACACCACAGTGTTCTTGTGCTTCAGAACACTGGAGAGCATTTCAGTACTAGCCCTGAAAACCATTTTAAGCTGTGAACTCACCAACATAAGAACAAAAATAAATGTATAAACTGTGGCCCTAAGTAAGTGGACTGTGAAAAAGAGCTTGCTTACAATACTAGTCAAAGACAAAGACAGTTATGCTGTTGCAGCTAAGCTAGAAAGGTGTAACCAGGAACCCTAGGAGGTAACTGGGGAGTTATTGGACACAGTGTCATCTTAGAATAATGAGAACAGATGGCCACCCCACATGATTAGGAAAGCACAGTGGGGCCAGGCATGGTCATGGGAGGCAGAGGCAAGTGAATCACTAAGCTCCATGCCAGTGGGGTCTGGTCTACATAATGAGTTCCAGATTAGCTGGGGAAGGCATAGTGCATATTCACTTTGAGGTAACAAATAAATTTTAATGAGGGAAAATCAGTTCTGGAGAGATAGCTCAGCAAGTAGAGCACTTGCTGCTCTTCCACAGAACCCAGGTTCAAATTCTCAGTACCCTGCACCCTCTTCTGACCTCTATAAGTACACAGATCTATGTGCAAACAGATCATCCATTCACATAAAATAATAAATAAATTAAACATAAAGATAACATTGATCAACTGCATGTGAAACAAAAGCTAAAGTTAAATATTCAATAAACTACCGAAAATAAACAACAAAAATAAGCCCCAACTTAATCTATCAAAGAAATGTACTAAGGCCTGGGAATGCTCTGCTCCACAGCACCTAGTATCACAACAAGACAGATCACAACCTTAATTCCAAGGGATCAGACACCCCCTTCCGACCTGTACAGCCACCAGGCAGTGCACATACATACATGCAGACAGAACACTCCTACAAATTAAAATAAATCTTTAAAACTGAGGGCAGGTATATCACAGGGGCTACAGAATTGAGACCCTGTCTCCAAAAACTAATACATCGCATCATATTCGATGGACAAGTGCTATAACTATCTTCAGAGACCACTTGAACATGGACAAGATTAAAAACTGCCAGGTTTTCGGGCTATTATGGCGTTGTGCAGGAGTTCATGCTTGTTACCCCAGCAAGGCTGAAGTTGAGACTGGAGGACTAACTTACAGCTAGGGCTAGAGTCTGAGAGTCTCAAAAACCAAGACGAGAACTACGCTGTGTGTACTTTCCCGTCACGGGAAAGCAATCAGGGAAGTGTCCCGGGCCCACAGAACTGAGACACACACGACCAAAGTAAAAAGACAACCCCACAGGAGCCATGGGTCAGCACGAGCGCCTAAGACCACGGTCGCGGCCCACTCCGGAAACCCGGCACGCGCCTGCGCTCAGCACCCCGAGGCCCGGGATCGTGCCGCGCAGGCGCGACAGACGGAGAGCACCGCGAGCGCGGGCGGCCGTGACCCCACAATCCGCCGGCGGGGACGGCTCTCGCCGCTTCCGGGGCGGCGGCGTCCGTGGCCGCGGGTCGCGTGCGTCTGGGTCGGGACTGGTCCTTTCCGCGCCGCCTCCCTCCCTCCCCTCCGTGCCGGGGCCTGGGCAGCCGAGAGCGCCGCGCGCACCTTGACGCTCTGGTCACTGGAGCAGGTGGCCATCCGGCGCCCGTGGAAGTCGAAAGACACATCGTGGATGAGGTCCTTGTGGTCCGCCGCGATGCTGCGCGCCACAAACATGGCCGCCGCCGCCGTCTGCCCGGCCCGCCTCCGAGAGGGCGGCGGTGGGGCCAGCAGCCGCCGGACCGCCGCGGAAGCGCGTACGGCACGTCGGCCCGCGTCGCCCCGGCGCGCCACGCCCCGAGGGACACGCCCTGCGCAGGCGGAGCCTGAGCCCGAACCTCGCTGCAGCCGCCAGGGAAGCTGGAGATTCAGGAGGATGGGAAAGTGAGTGCGCCTTCCGGGGTCAACCTGGAGGTGGCTGCCCGTGAGCACGTGATCGGAGCACCAGGCGAGGAGAGACGTCCCGCCGCAGATTTGAACCGGGCGCTCAGCCGCTTAACTAGAACCTCCCTGGAAAGATGGAGACGCCCAAAGAGGTGGCTTAGGGAGTCCCGCTCAGCGAGCACGAAGTGCGGCCGGAGGGATTGAGTTGAGACAGGTGTGGAGGACCTGAGACAGCGGTCACGAGTACAACAGGCTCTAGGGTCAGCAAAACCAGAATGAGGAAAAAGGAATTCTAGAAATTAAAGTCAGAGAGAGCTGGGATTGACATGTGAAACAAGTTTGTTTCTAACTTAAATTTAAAAAAAAAGGAAGAGAAAAAAAAAAGAAGTTAAAGTTAACATGAAGCCAGGCGGTGGTGGCTCTCGCCTTTAATCCCAGCATTCGAGAGGAAGAGGCAGGCGGATCTCTGAGTTCAAGACCAGCCTGGTCGACAAGAGCTAGTTCCAAGACAGCCTCCAAAGCCCTGTCTCGAAACCCCACCCACCCACCCCCAAAAGAAGTCAACCCAGAGGGATGGCAAGACCCAAAATAACGTTCAGTATTTACCTGCATGGAGCCAGTCTTTAATGGAGAAGTTACATGAAATGAAAATAGTTTTGCAGAAATAAGCCTGTGATGGAAAGTGCTCAAATCAAGAGATTCAGTCAAATCTAGGAAGTGGTACAACATTCATTCTACTAACGTTTTAGGTGGGAGGTTTGTTGTCGTCCAACATCTGCTTCTGCTTCCATGGGCACGGGAATGCATATGGTGCACAGGCATAAACACAGGTGAAACATGCATACATATGAAAATAAATATTTTTAAGAAGAATGTGAGTGGTTAAGAGCGCTGACTGCTCTCCCAAAGGTCCTGAGTTCAATTCCCAGCAACCACATGGTGGCTCACAACCATCTACAATTCAATCTGGTGCCCTCTTCTGGTGTGTAGACATACAGGGAGGCAGGATGTAGTCATAGTAAATAATAAATAAATCTTTAAAAAAAAAAAGAATGTGAATCATGTTAAAAGGAGACTAATAGCCGGGCGTTGGTGGCGCACGCCTTTAAACCCAGCACTTGGGAGGCAGAGGCAGGAGGATCTCTGTGAGTTCGAGGCCAGCCTGGTCTACAGAGCGAGTTCCAGGACAGCCTCCAAAGCCACAGAGAAACCCTGTCTCGAAAAAAAACAAACAGACAAAAAAACAAAAACAAAAGGAGACTAATGAGGCTAGAGAGATAGGTCAGAGGTTAAGAGGACTTACTGCTTTTCCAGAGGGTCCCTTGTTCAGTTCCAGCAATCACAGGTGGCTCAAAGCCATTCATAATAATGAGATCTGGTGCCCTCTTCTGGCACACAGGCATACATACATACATGTAGAACATAATAAATAAGTTTTAGATGCTGAAAAAAGTCTCGAAATTATTGGCCCGAGTTGTTCCCTGATGGGTTTGTACAGAAACCTGCAGAAGTAGGTAGTGATATGATCTTACCAATCTGAAATTTTCTTTAGTCTTCTTTAAATTAAAAAGATTTGGGGCTGAAGAGATGGCTTGAATGGCTCACGAACTTTAATTCCAGCTTCAGAGAATCTGAAGCATCTGGCTTCCATGCAAACCTGCACTCTCCAGTAGACAACAGACACATACACAGAGAGAAAGACATAAATAAAAGTAAAAGTAATTCTTTTAGGAGGTACAGGGTTAGAATCAGGATTTCTCTGTGTAGCTAGCTTTGGAACCTGTCCTGGAAATTGCTATATAAACCAGACTGGCCTTGAACTCACAGAGATCCACCTGCCTCTGCCTCCAGAGTGCTGGGATTAAAGGCGTTCACTGCCACTGCCTGGCTCAAAGTAATTATTTTTTTAATCCTATTTTAGAGGTAGACTCCCAAGTCCATCAGTTGCACATAAAACTAAAAGCTGTCACCTTTTTTTCTTTCTTTCTTTCTTTTTTTTTTTTTTTTTTGGTTTTGAGACAGGGTTTCTCAGTATTGTTTTGGAGGTAGTCTTGGAACTCGCTGTGTAGACCAGGTTGGCCTGGAACTCACAGAGATCTTCCTGCCTCTGCCTCCCAAGTGCTGGGTAACTGTCACCTCTTTTTTTTTTAGATTATTTATTATGAATATAACATCCTGCCTCCATGTATGTCTGCACACCAGAAGAGGGCACCAGATCTCATTATGGATGGTTGTAAGCCACCATATAGTTGCTGGGAATCAAACTCAGGACCTCTGGAAGAACAGTCAGTGCTCTTAACCTCTGAGCCATCTCTCCAACTCAACTGTCACCTCTTTAAGTTCTGAAATATTTCCAGAAAAAAAAACACTATTTTATTTTTAAAAATAAATATTTATGGAAGCTGTTTATCATTTTTAAGATTAATTTTATTTTATGTGTATGAGTGGATTGCCTGTATGTTTGTAGTATATCACCTGTATGCAGTCAGTGTAGAGATCAAAAGAGTGTATCTGGTTCCCTGGAGTTAGGGCCAGTTGTGAGCTACTCACCTACTGTGTGGGTGCTAGAAGCTAAACCCAGGTGCTTCAAAAGCAGCCAGAAATCTTAACTTCTGAGCCATTGCTCCAGCTCCTGGAAACCAAGTTTAAATAGAGACAGTAAACATTATCTGAAAGTAGAATATGAAATAGAAGGAAGAGGATTTAATAAAAAAAACAACTGCTGGCCCATGGTGGCACTTGCCTTTAATCTCAACATTCCAGAGGCAGAGGCAGGTAGATCTCTGTGAGTTTGAAGCCAGCTTAATCTGCATAGTGAGTTCCAGGACAGCCAGAGCTACAGGGCTACGCTGAGAAAACCTGTCTCAAAAACAAAACAAACAAACAAACAAAAAAAAACACCCAAGTTTTTAAACACTTTGAGATTCACAGAGAACTTGAGCAGAAAGTACATTCAGAACCCTCCTAAACAGACCCTTGCATGCATATAACCTCCACTGCCTACATTCAACAATTGTTATTTGTTATTGCTACTGTTGGAACCTACAATGACATTGTAGCAACAGAACCAAAGCATAATTTACATAAGGGCTCATTCTTGGTGTGTGTTCTATAGGTTTTGACAAACACAAAGTAACTTTTATCTATTACTGCAAAGCCATGCAGAATAGTTCCCTTACTCTAAGGATCCTATGCTCCCCTAAAAATCACTCACGTCTCCATCAAACCCTCCAAACCATGTGTGATGCCATCCCAACCCACACTGAAATGTTGACTGGCTTGATCTTGTACAGGTCTTGTGCAGGCAGTCACAGCTGCTTCCAAGTCATGTGTGCAATGTCCAGAAAAGTTTCTCAGCTATCCCTCTCCTCCATCTCTGGCTCTCGTAATCTTTCCATCCCCTCTTCTGAGATACGTGCTGAGTTATGGTGGGAAGATAAAATGTAAAGTGGATGCCCCATTTATGGCTGAACACTCCACAGATACTTTTCTCTGTCCCTTGAACAATTATGAATCTATATTAAACCCCATACTCAGTAAAAAAAGAAACCTCTCTGGCAAGGAATGAGAGCAGCACTAATCCATAGGTATAAAGATAAGGTAGGTTTATACTATATCCATTTAGCAAAATAATAATAGTAGGTTCTGCCTAACAGTTGATGATTTCCCCAGCAATGGATTTATAATACTAGCCATGAGTTTCCTTCTGTGGAGCACGCCCTAAGTCCAATCAGAAAACAACTGGTTACCATGTAACAGTTATGCCACTATGGCACCCATGGGCATATCTTTTCAACCAAATTATTATTATAATTTTCAGGGCTCATAGCTAAGTAAGGCTGTTATTAGTTTTTCTTCCCTAGCAGCTTCTACAGCACCCAGCACCTTCAGTAGTATGAAAGCTACCTGGCCAGAAAGAAATCTTGCAGTCAGTTACAGCTTGATTTTTCTTTTCTTTTTTTTCTTTCTTTCTTTCTTTTTTTTTTTTTTTTTGTGCCTCGTGACCAAAATTGTCTTCAGCAATAGGGTCTTATCATCAAATTCTGAAGGGTAGCTAAGAGATTGTCCTGTATTGCATTAGGGAATCTCTAAAGCATCTCTGTGTGTGTGTGTGTGTGTGTGTGTGTATTAATACCATTGTATTTTCGTTCATTAAGCTTCAACATTAACTCCCTTAGGAACATGAGTTTTTTAAAGATTTATTTATTTACTATGAATACAACATCCTGCCTTCCATGTATGTCTGCACAACGGAAGAGGGCACCAGATCTCATTATGGATGGTTGTGAGCCACCATGTGGTCGCTGGGAATTGAACTTAGAACTTCTGGAAGATCAGCCAGTGCTCTTAACCTCTGAGCCATCTCTCCAGCCCAGGAACATGAACTTAAAAAAATTGAAATTGAGCCGGGCGTTGGTGGCACACACCTTTAATCCCAGCACTCCGGAGGCAGAGGCAGGCGGATCTCTGTAAGTTCGAGGCCAGGCTTGACCGACAGCCTCCAAAACAGAGAAACCCTGTCTCATAAAAACCAAAAAAAAAAAATTGAAATTGATGTTATATCAATAAACATCCAATCAGAAAAACATTTCCCTCTAGTCATTTCAGTTTCAATCTGAGAATTCTGAAATGCACACATACACACACAAAATGTTTCAAATGTACTGGAGTAGCTAATTAAAAGCAAAAGAACAGTCTATTCCCAGTGTGGCAATGCATACATGTAAATCTAGCACTCAGAAGGTGGAGGCAGAAAGAGCACAGATTGAGGACCAGCTTGGGCTACAAACAGATGTCATCTCGAGAAAATGGACAAAAAGGTGGAGCAGTGCTCATTTCAGGCTCCAGTGGGACTCTAACTGAGACAACAGAACAC